ATCAGCATGGGTTTAATTGTACTCCTGTGTGCACTTAAAGGCCCATCCACCAAGACATTATCAATAGCATTAACTCTCAAGCTCATGTTGGTTGCAAAAGCCATATCATAAGGGCCAACAACAATGCCTCAGTAGATTACAGAATTCTTAGTGGGGTGCTTGAGTGTCCATGCAAAAAGGGCGTGACACTGTGTCAAGTCGGTCAGAGAGACATGCACCGGGCCCTGCCAAACAGGGGAGCTGTTCTCTTCACACCTTCATGTCATCTATACCTACTGCATGGACCCCAGCATCACAAGGTTTGAGTTAGTGCGAATTCATGATGGTCTAAGCAGAAATTCTTGCTTCCTGTTCATTTTTTCTTTTAAAATAAATCCTTGAAATGCATTATTAGATCATTCAGTTGAGATATTTTGATTGCTTATAAGCACCTGATGCAATAAATGTCCCTTTCAATACTGTTTTTTGCTACATCTCATGGATGTCGATATTTTTGGTGTTATTTTTATTTCTTCAAGAAAGTTTTTTATTACTTTTTTAGTGACACATAGGCCATATAGTAGCATCATTTTCTTCAAGAAAGTTTTTGATTTTGTTTTTAATTTATTCAGTAACACACTAGTCATTCAATAGCATGTTATTTAACTTCATGTTGTTGTAAATTTTCTGTTTTTCTTCCTGTTGATTTTGTTTTATGGTTTTTAATTTAAGGGGATGTATAGTAACTGTAGTAGAGACTGTCACATGCAGGTGTGAACATACAATGCAGTGAGCATCTCTACTTTCAAATCAAAGATGGACCTCCAATGAAACTATTAAATATAACTTGACAATAAGATGCTGGACTGTCTGCCATTGTCTGTACCAGCAACGTCAGGACACACTTAATTAGCAGAATGGTGGATTTATGATTGTTTATGAAACTGTTGTAATAATATAGGGGAAAGCGGTGGGGGAAGGGGATTTAAGGAGCAAGGAGAGGAAATCCCAGAGCCCATGGAACTGTATCACAAAATAATAAGATAAACAAATAAGAAAATATATTTACTTTCAATATTAAAAAAGAAAAAGAAAGCAATTCCATGTTGAGTTATTAATCTTTTGCCTTGCTATGTAAAAGTCACTAAGAATTCATGATGATTTAAGCAAGAACTCCAAGGCAAAAATAAGGAAAATCAGAAAGAAAGCAAATTAAAGCAAAGGTCAGTTTAATAACTAATTTATTAATGTAACTAACTATATTTAAAAAAGCTTATCTCATACATATATAAAATACACTTCTATTTGTAACAAGAGCTCATAGCAAAGGTAGCAGAAATTTTTTAAGCTGACCAAAAACATCTACAAAAATCCAGGCAAATATTCTAATAATGGTGAAACATGAAAAAGTTTCCCATAAATACATAAATCATGCATTTTGCCTTCTCATCTATTCACATTATACTGGAGTCTTAGCTCAGTAGGACAAGCAGAAAAAAAGAAAAGACTCTATAAACATTGAAACAAAAGAAGCAAAACTTAATAGATGCAGACATCATGACTGTTTACAAAAGGGAAAGTCCCCAAGATATCTACATCACAATGACCAAAATTACCAATGGAGTTGGATACAAAGACCAACATCCAAAAATGAATTTCATTTCTGTATCTCAACAACAAAGAGATCAGAAATGCTATCATTGACAAGGACAAAGGCTCTGCACAGACATCTCTCAAAAGAAGAATTACAAATGGCCAACAAATACATGCAAAAAAAAATTCTCAGGATCATTAGCCTTTAGGGAAATGCAAATCAAAACCACAATAAAGTATCCTCTCCCTCCAGCGAGAACTGCTATTATCAAAGAGATTACACAATTAACAAATACTGGCACAGAGAAAAAAGAGTCTGTATACACGGCTGCTAATGGAAATTAGTGCAACAATTACAAAGAATAGTATGAAAGTGACTGAAAAAAAACTAAAAATACATTTACCATAGGACTCAGCTACCCCATCTCTGGGTGTGTTTCTGAAGGATATGAAATCAGCATATGAAAGAACTCCTTGCACTCCCATGTTCACAACAGCCAAGGTATGGAAACAGCCTAGATGTCCAATCTAGATGAACAGATTAGGAAAATGTGATTTATCTACACAATTAAGTATCTTCCACACAAAGAAATGATATCCTAACATTTTCATGGATGCAGCAGCATGGATAAAACTAAAGAACATTATGTTGTTAAGAGACATAAGCCAAGCACTGAAAGACAAATGCCATATGTTCTCCCTCAGTTGTAGAAGTTAAAAAACAAGTTGATCTGAACTTAGAACGTGGATGACTGGAGGTTGGGAAGGTAAAGAAAGGAGACAGATGGAGCTGGATAGCAGAGTCACATAGAAATAACAGGTTCTAACGTCTCCCAGCACAGTGGCACAACTGTAATCCACAGTAATGGATGATATACCATATAATGAAAGGGAAGGGGACAGCTGGTAGGGGCCAAATACATGTGATTAGGAAGTAGAAACGCCCTTTGCCTATTTTGATTGGCTTATACTGAGCATATGTGTTGAACTATTGTACTGCATACTAAGAAAATGTAGACATTAGATGTTAATTTAAAGTTTTGGGCCCGGCACAGTAGCCTAAGGGTTAAAATCCTTGTCTTACACGTGCCAAGATCCCATATAGGCACTGATTGTAATCCTGGTAACCCTGTTTCCCATCCAGCTCCCTGCTTGTGGCCTGGAAAAGCAGTTGAGAATGTCCCAAAGCCTTGGGACCTTGAACCCATGTGGGAGACCCGGAAGAGCCTGTGGGCTTCTGGCTATGGATCGGCACAGCTCCAGCATTGCAGCCACTTGGAGAGTGAATCAGCGGATACAGGATCCTTCTCTGTCTCTCCTCCTCTCTGTATATCTGACTTTTCAATCAAAATAAAATAAAATCTTTTAAAAAAAAGTTTTTAGGGCCTGGTGCAATAGCCCAATCGCTGAATCCTGACCTTGCACATGCTGGGATCTCATATGGGCACTAGTTGTTGTCACGGCTGCTCGACTTTCCATCCAGCTCCCTGCTTGTGGCCTAGGAAAGCAATAGAGGATGTCACAAAGCCTTGAGATCCTGCACCCACCTGGGAGACCCAGAAGAAACTCCTGGTCCCTGGCTTCAGATTAGGTCAGCTCTAGCCATTGTGGCCACTTATGAAGTGAACCAGTGGATGGAAGTTCTTTCTCTCTGTTTCTCCTTCTCTTTGTAAATCTGCCTTTCTAATACCAAAAAAAAAAAAATCTTAAAGTTTTTAAGATAAAATAGGTTTTGAAAAAATGTTGGCATTCACAAATGTGAAGGTAAATTTGTTAGAAGATAATTTCTAAATGTGCAATACCTCATTGATAAAATTATAGAATTTTAAAAAGATTTATTTATTATCATTAGAAATGCAGATGTACAGAGAGAAAGAGAGCCAGAGAAAAATATCTTTGTCACTGATTCACTCCCCAAGTTGCTGTAATGGCTGGAGCTGAGCAGATCCGATCCAAAGCCAGGAGTCAAAACACCTCTCCCACTTAGGTGTGCAGTGTCCCACGGTCTTGGGCCAACCTCTGCTACCTCCCCTTGGTACAAGCAGGGAGCTGGTTGGGAAAGGGAGCAGCCGGGACGTGAACCAACGCCCATATCAGAGGCTCGCACTTGAAGGCGGGGATTAGCCTGTGGAGTCACACGCTGGCCCAAAATGGTAGAATTCTTTCAGGCTAGAAACAGCCTAAACAAAAAGACAAATCTAAGTCATTTCTGATAAGGAGATTTGGAATTAGGAGTATATAAAATTCTCTTTCAAATTACTGTAGAATCAGCACAATTCTAATGAAAACCGCAAGCTTTTTCACAGGCAAGATGTTCTTTTAAAAAGCAGAGTGGAAGGGAATTAGGGGCTTGTTTGACAAAATGTTAAGATTTAAGATGAAGTTCAATTACTAAGAATAAGTTATATAAATTACTGGAACCTATGAGAGCCTGGAAGGGGGCCAAATCCCATTAGTGAAAGTAATACTGGATTATGCTATAGTGAGGAAATTCCTCACAAATCCTGAAATAGCTTTACCTAACACAAAAAGGGTTTGTTCTGTCTTAGTCTTTGGGCCACTGTCATCTCAAACCAGAGGTGCCTTATAAACCGCAAGCATGGATTTCTCATGATTCTGGAGGTTGAGAAGCCTAGAATCAAGTCACTGGCTTGTTAGCCAGCCTGAGAGGGTCTGCTTCCTCATGAACTGAATGTCCTTGCTGTATCCCCACATGCTGGAAGGGGAGTGGTCTTCCTAATAATATCCTAATAACATTGCCCTTGAAATGAGGGTTTCTATTTTTCAAAAATACATTTATTGATTTTAAAGGAAGAGTTATAGTGTGTGTGTGGCAGGGGTGCTAAGAGGGTTAAGAAAGATACAAAGAGCGAGGTCTTCCACCCACTGTTTCACTCCCTAAATGGCTGGGGCTCAAGCTGGGCCAAGGTCAAACCCAAGCAAGGACCTTCATCTGGATCTCCTACAGAGAGGGTGGGCCAAATTGCTGAACCCATTGTGTTATGCTGTAAAACACCAGAAAGAGAGAGAGAGAGAGAGAGAGAGAGAGAGAGGAGATATAGATACTGGAGCAGCAAGAATGAATGCTTGTTCTTTTACACTTAGTCGGTGGGGAGTTCTAAGCCTTTACTACTTGAAGGTTTTTTTTTTTTAAGTTAAAAATGACCTAGATGGGGAGGGTGGGAAATTGGGTGGGCCTTCTCCCTTAATACCCTCCTTTAAACATGAAGGAAACAATATGGAAAAAATAATAGTCTTACCCACTTTCCTGTAGCCCTTGAACCTTTTTACCCTAATTAACTATGCAAAGATTGTCTATATATATATTCTAGGTCATTTATATATATATATAAATGATCTAGAAAATCCTTCTAATATAATATATCTCTCTTACTTCATGTCACAATCCTGTTTTCATTGTTTTCCAGTGGCCAGGTTTTATCTGTTCTTCCTAGAACCTCTAGGCAAGTTCAAGTTCTGCAGAATCTCACTACAGCATATGAGGTAATTTCTCTGACGTGTCATTGTAATGATCCCACTCTGCCTAAGCAGAATGCGCTGTGTTCCCCCCGCATGTGTTCCTCCCCTTCCAATAATCACTTGATTTTGTTGGTTTGCAAAATTAAGCTGTATTCCTTATGCTATTGGTTTTCTTCAGACAACTTCATAATATTGCCTAGAGACTTTGAATGTGTACTTAAAAAATACCATAGTAATACAAGTTCAATAGTACATTGCTATAAAACTATGGTTCTTCAAGAAATAAGCACACAGAGGAAAACTTATGATAATTTTCATGCTTCGGACCCTTCTCTCAGATTGATGAAGGTTCAGAAAACTAACAAATGCTACTAAAGCGTGATAGAAAGTTCATCGGTTCCTGTTAGTGCTCTCCGAGATGCAGCCCGGGGAAGCGATGAGAGGTACAGGTGGTTAGGAGAATGATCCTGAAGAGTAAGGCAGAAGGAACTGCGGTGACAGGAGGCATTGTTAGAAACCCTCTATGAGAAGGAAGATTTTGCATGGAGAATTTCTGGCTGTCGGGCAGTTACCGGAGGGCTGGGCAAGCACAGTGGTGAATCCTCAAGGCAAAATTCTGTATTACAAGCACTCCATGTCGGCTCAACTGCTGCCTGGCTGCAACCCTGGAGTAGCGAGTCTTCATCACCAGGGACTGTAACTGGAACAGCCGATGAACTGTGTGCTTTGCACAAAGCTCACACCCTGCAGCAAAAAGGAAAGAAATATCAGGAGAGGAAATCATTGAGATTCCAAATTTCAGTTTTTTTCTGTTCTGATACTTCATCGGGTATGACTTCAAACAAGGTAGTTACAGTCCTTAGTTTCTTCATTGGGTTATGAAAACAGTAACACTCGCCTAGTGTTTGTCAAAGTGTTGTCATGATGAAAATGAGAGTGAGAATGCTTTGGGAAAGTGTAATAAAAAGAAAAATGTATAAATATGCCTTGCCTGAAGTCCAAATTAGATTCAAGAAAAAGGAATCAAGCATGATGATAGCAATAACAAGGGCATGAAGTTTAGATTAATAAAATCAATGTTGAATCAACTTTTGTTTAGACAAAGATTTCATTTTTCTTTTTTCAAAACGATTTATTTATTTGAAAGTTGAGTACAGACAGAGGGAAAGACAGAGAAAAAGAAAGCCCTTTCATCCTCTGTTTCACCCTCAAATGCCCCCAAAGGTAGGGCTGAACCAGGTGAACGCCAGTAATCTGGAACTCCATTTGGGCCCCATGTGGTTAACAGTGTCCCAAGTACGTGAGCCTTCCTTCTGTTGTTTTACCAAATGCATGAGCAAGGAATTTGGCTGGAATCGGAGCAGCTGAGACTCCAGTCAGGATCTGAATCAGTGGTTGTGTGGGATGCCAGAGTCACACATAGCATTTTAATCCACTGCACCACAACATTGGCCCCTCATTGTTTAAAATTTCTGATTTAAACATTCAGTTTTACAGCTGAGATAAATTGCTCACTCATCCATTGTTTTACCAAAGTTGCTCAAATATTTGGTCCCTTCTAGGTCACTTTTAGTTAACCAGAGTTACAGGAGTTTTTGAAACTCCCTAAAATAAGCGCTTGTATTTTCACATGTGTGGATAACATGCATTTGTCAAAAAATGTTCTTTTCATTTCCCTTACAAGCACAATGTTCGTGGCTCTAGCTACAGATGAGAGTGATGTGAATAACTGTTTTTCTTTTATCAACATTTTCCCCTTGAAACTGTAGATTGTTCTCTGGCAGCCAGTCACAGCTGAGTTCATTGTGAAGCATAAAGAAGTCCATTTTTTTGTGAATGCATCTGATGTAAGCAATGTAAAAGCCCATTTAAACGTGAGCAGAATTCCATTCAGGTAAGCATATGCTGCATTACTATCCTAAGCGCCTATATTGCATGTGACTAGCAGAATGGTGTCATGGCTGCCCCGGGGGAAAAATATGATGCTTACCTTGAACATGGCAGCTTGGAAATGTCTGAAATGTATTGCTGATAAAACCAAAACCCAGGTTTCTGACCCTGGGGCTGTGGTTTAGCTTCCCTTGGCTTTGGTCCTTTTTCTAAGATGGTTAGATGCAAGAATATGTGCGACCTCTCCATACTCCCCTGCCTGTGACTACTCTGTACCCAGACCGTGGGAGCAAACTTCATGCACGATGGCAGGCTTGGTTGGGTCTCTTGGAAATAGCCACTTCTCATGCAACTCTACTTTTTGCTGGTTCTTCATTCACATTTTTAATAGCTGGCTCAAAACTAAAAGGATAGCTGGTTGTCTGCAAAAATACCTAGGTTGAAGCCTGGTACTGCTTCTTACCACCTTGTGACTTTGTGCAATTTATTATGACCTCTGTGTGCCTCTGTTTATTAAATTATTGATAAGAACAGCTCCCACCATTTAGACTAAATAAATTTATATTTTCAAAAGTGTACTGCATGAGATTTCTGGTCGAAGGCCATGCCTTTCCTTTTTCATTCCCCTCTTCGTATTCACTGTTTAACTGTGGTATCCTCCTGGTGCCATAACGCCTTCCTCGAGACCAGGCTGCCTTCTTTGTGTCAATAGGTGATGTGCTACAGTAATGACAATCAATGAATTACAAGTGTTCAGTTCCTTCAAAGAACTGTGTTGGACCTTTCCACATATTTGATCATGCAATTCTTATTTAATCCTGTGTGCTAATACTATACCCAATAAGGAGACTTTTAAAGTTATACTTACTAGATAAGTCTGAGCAGCAGAGTGGATGTCTTACTCTCCCAGTCACGATGTGGCAGGGAGGACCCATGTCATACTAGGCTGCCTGCTGGGGAACATAGTGCCCCATCTACTGCTGTGGGGTAGGGGTAGGGTCATAGGCTTGTGGGAGGCCAGAGCACCAAATGGAGCTGGGATCTACCCACTGGCCACCCAGCAGTGAGCTATGGGGTCTTGGGGGTATCAATTACTGCCAAGGGACATCCATGGATAAGGCCACTGTATATGTAGGTAAGCAACAAATTCTGAGGGACACTAAACAACAAAGCTACTGAACTTGCAGGTAAGCAAGAGGACTGAGACCTGGTGTTTTGGAGGGGAGAACCTGGAAGATCTGTATATGGGTGGAACTGATTCACCAGCCCACATGGGAGTTCTGAGATGGGCTTATAGTGTAGAGCATCGCTGAACAACACACACCAGAGCACACAAAAGCTATGACTGGGGGCGTATCTAGCAGAGCTAGGTCCCAGTACCTAACTGAGTGTCGGAACAGGGGACAGGTCACATTAGACAGGGTCATGACACTAACCAGCACGTGAGAGAACCAGGTCCCAGGGCAGATTCTGCGGGGGATAAGTGGGCCCATCCCTGTGAAAATACAAATCCCGCTGGTTAGCTCAAGAGTTGAGGTGGTGATGGGCTGAGCTAGGTAAGAACATGGAACCTGCCAACACTCACGGCTACCGGGGCCAAGAATAGGATCAGCAGGTCCAAGCTGCAGCACCTGCATGTGCATCCTAAAACAAGGTGTGGTGAGCACTTTCCCTGGAAACCAGTTCACCTTACATCTCATCCCCTAGTGTATTGGTGGAAGATGTGGAATATCTCATCCGACAGCAGACATCCAATGGCACAGTCAACCCCCGGGCATTCTCAGCGTACTACGAGCAATATCACTCATTGAATGAAGTAAGTCAGCTCATGGCTCTCCAAAGCCTGTTAAGTTTCAGCGTTTGACAATATTGTCCTTTATGAGTTCTGAATCAAATTCTGGCTGTTCTACTTCCAATCCAGCTCCCTGCTAATGCACCTGGGAAAAGCATCATAAGTACCACAAGTACTTGGACCCTTGCCACCCGCACGGGATACCTGGATTCTTGGCTCCTGGTTTCATCCAGGCCTATCCCCAACCACTGTGGCCAACTGGGGGGGGGGGGGGTCAACCAGTAGCTAAGAATTTCTGACTTTCTTTTTTTCCTCCTGCCCCACCCTGTCTGCCTCGTTCTTTAACTCTGCCTTTCAAAAAATAAATCAATACTTTAAAATGTATTTACTAGAAAGGCAGAAAAATATACGGAAACAAGCAGATATGTCTTACTAGCTGGTACATCACTCAAATGCCCATAATAATCTGGTTTGGGTCAGGTTAAAGCCAGGAGTCAGAAACTCCATCAGAATTGCTCATTTGGGTAGCAAGGACCCAGGTACTTGAACCATTATTTCCTGCTTCCCAGAGTGCATATTAATGAGAAGTTTGGATTGGAAGCAAAGCTTGGACATACTTGAATCCAGAGATACATGGGATACAGGTATCCCAAGCAGTAACTTAGCTGTGCCAAACACCCGTGTGCCTTCACCTTTGCCTAGCAGCATTCCCTCACCCCATTGCTCTTGCGCAAGTCTTGACTGAGGCTCAGTTACACTTCCATTTATCTTGCAAAGAGGCTGTGTCCAGGGATCCCTTTAGCTTGAAGAGTTTTTAAAACATTACCAATACATAAATGACCTTTTGAACAAATGATATAGAATCTCAAAGGTAAGTACTTGTTGTGACAAACTCTTTTTTTTAAAAAAAACATTCAGGGGTCATAATTTGAAGGTCAATATGTTTTAGATTTTCATATGCATTTTACTAATTTTTCACATCTCCTCTAAACTTTGACATTGACCAAAAGTTTAGTTTTACTATTTTTTTTCTAAACAATGAAATAAACACTGTTGTCCAAACATTTGAGTTCATTCCATTCACATCCAAACATCTTAGAGGAACATCCTCCCTTTGAAGAAGTTGTCTGCTGATTCTGGTGAAGAAATGCTTTAAACTTGCTGTGTAACTAACCACTGTGTTTCCAATTTGATAGATATATTCTTGGATAGACTTTATAACTGGGAAGTATCCTTACATGATTACAAAAATCCACATTGGATCCTCATTTGAGAAGAAGCCACTTTACGTTTTAAAGGTATGTTGTGGGAGTAATTGATCCGTCAGTTGAGAGATCAGTTCTCCAGCGGCACTTGTTATAACAGATTTTTTTAAAAATTTGAGTTATGGAAGTATTTGCATTACAGGCGTTTCTCAACTTTACCATCCAGCTGTTAACAGGGTTGCCTATTACCTTGTATTTTTTCTTCCTATAATACTGCAGGGTCAGTGCAGAAATTCCAATTCCAGAATCAACCCTCTGTTTATGTGGCAATAGAGGAGCTATTAAGCAATTGAGTTAATCAGTAACAGTAGATCCATGTCATTATGGCATATCCACCCACATCATGTCATTTGCTTTCAACTATGTCATGTATTCTTCTTGGAACATATGAATCTAGAAAGTGGATGTTCACATTGAAACCATGCAACCTAGATGCTCTAATCCTACTTTTACCCAAGGATGTACATATAATGGGCAACTCAGAGGATTCTCTATCTTTCCAGAATCAGAATCAGTGCCAAGAGAGTTTGTTCAACCATTGGAAAGTTCAAACAAGGCAATGAGTCCCAGAAACTCAGAATTTTCTTTACACTGAGTAGATTACATTAGCCAGATATGTATGAAGATACAGCTCTCTATTCTTTTATTCTGTGCTTTCACATACAGCTCTGATATAATCAGGTAGTTGAGGGGGAATAAACAAGCTTTAAGTCAAGAGTCCCGGCTTCAACCATCCATCCTAACTATATAAGATATGTGACCTTAGCTCATGTTCCTGAAACTCACTAACTTTTAATATTCCCTTGAAAATTCTCAAAGGACTGCAGAAAACAATGTATATATTATAGATTTGTCAAAAGGACTAAATATAAGCACTCTATGAGTGGAAAATATTATCCTAAGGTGTTATTGTTTTTGCTGCTTTTGGGGTTTGTGGGGGCGCAGGTTTCAGGACAAGGACAAGAAGCCCGAAATGCCATATGGATTGACTGTGGAATCCATGCCAGAGAATGGATCTCTCCCGCATTCTGCTTATGGTTTATAGATTATGTAAGTACCTACTCTCGTTACATCGATGTTTCTCCTGATGTGGTCCCAGATCACTTGGTCAGCTTTAAATCTATCAGAATTTATGTTCATAAGTAGTATTGCTACTTACATTAATTAAGACTTTCCTGGATTCTTCTGTAGCTATACAATTCTGCCCTTAGTTTCTGCACTATATGAAAAGAAACATAGGTTGGAGAATAGCTAAGAAGATATTATTGTTGTCCACTTTAGTTAATCAGAAAGAATACTTGAAATCCTGAGGACGCTGCACTATTGGCTAGCTGATTCATCAGGTCAACCATGTTAACACTGAAATAAGAAAGAGGGATAATGACAAGTTATATAATAACAAGATGCAGAAAAAATGGAGTGCACATGTGTCCTTACTGGGATGTAAAAATGGTGCAGCCACTTGGCAAAAGAGGTTGATAGTTCCTCAAATACCAAGCATGAAATGACCATATTACTCAATAATTCTATAACTAGACATGTACCCCAAATAACTGAACACAGATGTTTACAAATGCTCATAGCAGTACTTTATAATAGTCAAACAATCCAAATGTCTGTGAATCTATGAATGGACAGACAAGCGGGATGTATCCATATAAAGGATGTCATTATCAAGGAAAGGGGTGAGGTAGGAAGCCATCCCTGCTGCAAGAATCGCTACCTATTAGGTAAGGAGATCCTGGCCCAACATCTGTTCTGAGACTAGTATTTTTCTGAAAGATACATACTCATTCAGTGCAGAGGAAGGAAGAAAATAGAGTGGAACAAAGAAACACACTTTGCCACATCCATTACAAGATTAGCAAGCTTTGTACAAGTGGAAATGATACTATTTTATGTTTTTTTGAAAGTAAAGGCCTCTTGTTACTTTTTCTAGTAGTAAGTGCTATATTTTGAAAAATTATGCCAACAAAAGTTCATAATAAATTTATAACACAAAATTATACTTAATAGAGCTGTCCAACTATTTAAAAAACAATGTTTTGGGGCCATCTTTGAGGGTCAAGAGGCTAATCCTGCACCATCAAGAGTTGGCATCCCATCAGGGTGCCAGCTTGTATCCAGCTTCTTTGAACTTCTCATCCAGCTCCCTGCTTTGGCCTGGGAAAGTAGTGAAAGAGCCCAAATACTTGAGATGCTGCACACCCACATGGGAGCCCTGGAAGAGGTTCCTGATTCCTGGTTTCAGCTCAGCTGAGTTTTGACTATTTTAGCCATTTGGGGAATGATCCCGCAAAAGGAAGAACTTTTTCTCTCTTCCTCTCTGTAAATCTGATTTTCTAATAAAAATGAATAAACATTTTTTAAAAAAAATTGCCATTCCTACTCCACAAATATAGCTTTTTTCCCTCAATTTATTCCTGAGCTACTGTGGATTTCAAAATAACTTGTACTTTCTTTTCTTTCACATACTTCACATGTGATTGTTCACGTCAAAACTTTTTTCTTTGTTTATTATCTGAGAGGCAGAAACACACACACACACACACACACACACACACACACACACACACACACACACATCACACAGACACAGACATGCATCCAGAGAGATACATCTGCCATCTGCTGGTTCACTCCCCAAACACCTGCAGCAGAGATGGGTGGGCAGGCCATGATGAAGTCGGAAGCCGGGTCTTCTATCCAGGGTTTCCCTCATAGTTGTAAGAGATCCAAGTGCTTGAGCCATCATCTACTGCCTCCCAGAATGTAATAGGTAGCTGGGATCAGATACAAGCTGCGTCTCTAACTCAGGTGCTCTGGTATGGAATGCAGCTGTCTCGAGTGACATATTAGCCACTGCACCAAATGTCATCACAAAGAATCTTAACCTGACTCTTAGGAATGACCCAGGGAAATGTGGATATAAAATTTTAAAAATTAAAAGGGAAAATGATAAATTTTACCTATACACAGGCAGGATTTTATAAACATTCTTTTGTTAACAATTTTAAAAAGATCTTAGTAGTATTTGTTCACTAAAGTTCAAGGCAACAAATGATTGTGAAGTAACTCAAGAATTAACAACTAGCAATTTTGCCACAAATGAAGATCTTAATCCAAAGCTTATCCCTAGATGAGATTATTAGCCACTTAAAGGCTGTCTTTGTGGTTTTTCTGACTGTATGTTTAACATCTGGGGATGAAGTTTACAGACATCAGAATGTGGGAACCCTTGGATCATGTTGAAGAATTTGAACCTAAGTTAGGCATTTTGGAACAGCAGGTAAAGTCACCACTTATGATGCCCTCGTCCCATATGCTTTCTAGTTGGACATCCTCCTATTCCACTTACGATCCAGCTCCCTGTTAATGACCAGTGAATGAAAGATTTTTCTGTCTTATTACCCCTCTCTTTCTGTGACTCTGACTTTTTATATACATAAGTAAATCTTTAAGTAAACAAACAACAACAAAAACAAAAAATGACCCAAGCTATTCACTGCCACTTATAAGAACATATAGTGTTCAGTGTTTTTGAAGAATTAGTATCTCCTTAATAGCTACATCTCTAGGATCTGATGTTATGGAGTAGTAGGCTCATCCTCCACCTGCGGCACCAGCATCCCATATATGCATCATTTTGTGTCCCAGCTGCCCCACCTCCCATCAGCTCCCTGCTTGTGGCCTGGAAAAGCAGAGGAAGATGACTCAAGTCCATGGGCCCCTGCACCAATGTAGAAGACCTGGAAGAGCTCAGCCCGCCTCAAGCCATTTTGCCATTTGGAGAGTAAACCAGCAGAAGGAAGACATCTCTGTCTCTCCATCTCTCTGTAACACCCTGCCTTTCAAATAAAAATAAATCTTTTTTTAAAGTTATAGCTACAAATCTATCAATGCCAAATGGCTCCTCAAAAAGGGAGGGAAAAAAACACATAGAAGAAATGAACTAAGGTTAGAAGGACTTGAAATGTTCCTAAGCATACTTGGTTTATTTTGTAGGTAACTAAATCCTCTGAGGAAGAAAGGCCATCTAACAGTCTTCTGAGGCATGTGGACTTCTATGTTATGCCAGTGATGAATGTGGATGGTTATGACTACACATGGAAAAAGGTAAATAAAGGCAAAGAAACAAATTTTTAAAACTTGCTGTAAGGATATAGGAGATGTACGCTAAATTATTCATAGACTCCTGGATCTTGGCACAAAGATCTTAGGGAAAATTTAAGTTTTTATTATGGAAAATTTAAACATATACCAAGTAGCAATGCCCTATAATACATTGCCTCAATGACAAGCAACCCATGACTGACATTGCTTCATCTGTATCCTCCACCTCCTTCCACGTACCTTACCAATATTACTTGGAAGCAAATCTCAGATACCATATGTTACCTTATTAAATTCTTGGTATGCATCTTGGAAGGGACTCTACAAAATGACCCTAGTGCAACTGGGCCTACAGGCTGGCATTTGGCTTAATGGTTAAGATATCAACATCCTATATTGGAGTGCCTAGGTTTAACATCAATCCCTGACTCCCGACTCTAGCTTCCTGGTAAGGCAAACCCAGAAGGCAGCCCTGAAAACTCAAATAGTTGGGCTCTTGCACCTATTTGGGAGATCTGAATTGAGTTCTAGGCTCCTACTCTGGGCATTTGTGGAATGATTTCAGTGGTTAGAATCACTTTCTCTGTTTCTCTTTGTTCCTCGAGCAAATCAAATAAAATCATTTTAAACCTGTGGCTGGCATTGTGATACAGTAGGTTAAGACACTGCCTGCAGCATCAGCATCCTGTATAGGATCCAGTTTATGTCCTGATGATTCCACTTCTCATCCTTGTTGATGCACTTGGGAAAGCAGCAGATGGTGACCCAGGTGGTTGTGTGCTTGCCACTTGTGTAGGAGATCTGGAAGAAGCTCTTGGCTCCTACTTTTAGCTTGCCTCACCACTGGCCATTGAAGTCATTTGAGGAGTAAAGTAGTGGAAGTAACATCTCTCACCCTTTCTGTAACTCTGTTTTTCAAACAAACAAATAATTAGAACGAAATGTAATAGTAACTGGGGCCAGAATGTGGCTCAGCTGGCTAAGCCACCATATGCAATGCAGCATCCCAAATCAAAGTGCTAGTTAGAGTCCTAACTGCTTTGCTTCCCATTCAGCTTCCTGCTAATATACCTGGGAAGGCAGCAAGTACGTAGGCTCCTACCCCTCACGTTTGAGATGCAAAATGGAGATCTAAGCTCCCAGCCTGCCATGGTCCACCCCGCTGTTATAGCCATTTGGGGAGTAAAACAGAAGTTAAAAGATTCTCTCTCTCTCTCTTAAATTAAAAATTAAAATAAAAAATATTTTTTAAAAATTTAGAACTACTGAATTTTTAAAAATGTGTGACCCTACATTAAAGTTTCCAACTAAGTTGTAACTCTAAAAACTGTGTTAATTTAAAATCCAGAAAAGTTTCTTATCATGCCACTGGTTCATACATCTGTTAATTTTATTTGAATCAACAGGGACTCCCCCCCCCATCTCTTGTTTTTTCTCTTTTCTTTCCTCAAATTTTACCTGTCAGAAAAGAATTTTCCATCATGAGCTTTGCTGGTTGCATGCCATGTTGTTGTATAACACATTCTTGTGTTCTCTGGGTTTATTTTTTAGTTTGACAGCATCGTGATTAGTAGAGAATGACTCAAGCAATGTGAAGCACGACCCTTGCAATTTAATGAGGGACAACAGAAAAACACAAAAGAGCATGTATAGATTTGGACAACCTACCTGAACCATACATGAAAGGACTGAGAATGAGTATAGATGCCAGGACTAGAAATATGTGTTTACATAGGAATTATCTCAAGGAGGAGGCCATAGTGATGGCAAAAATGTAGGAATCTGATGATGGTTTTTTGTTTTTTTTTCTGAAGGTGGGTGACTGCTTAACGAAGTAAATGAGAACAGTCTGGCATAACACTTAGCACCCACTGGGCATTCAATAACTGGGTTACATCCCTAGACCAATATCACAGGAAATTAACCTTAACTTGAATCACAGTGGAATTCATTCACTCTGTAGATATGCCTATTCCTTACTGCCATTCGTGTAATTGCCCTACCAATTAATTCCTGCGGTTTATGTGCCTATTCTTCATTGTCTTTTATGTTACTGCCCTACGAATTAATTCCTATGGTGTAAGAAACTGATTTCCCCAGGGTGATTTTCGCTACCCAATCACAGACCTATGAGTGAGATGAGCATCAGTGAGAGTAAGAGAAAGGTTACTGGAATCACTCCAACCTCACAATCTATTCACTTATTTATTTTTATTTAAAAGGCAGAGAGATGTCATGAGGGCTGGGGGGAGATTAGGAGAGAGAGAAAGAGCTATAGATAGACACAGGGAATGCCTATTCACTGGCTTACTCCTCAAACACCCACAACAGCCGAAGCTGGGCCAGGCCACACTCAGTTCAGAGCTCCCATGTGGATGAAACTGATTCTTTAACTCATCACTTGATGCCTCTGGGAATGCACATTAGTAGGAAGCTGTAACTGGAAAGAGCCATGACTTGACCCTGGGTATTTCAATGTGGAATACTTACTCCCCAAGCGAAACTTGGGAATTTTAGTCTGTGAAACACGATCACATTCTCAGCCACCTTAACAACCCAATATAGAATGTGTTTCATATTTAAAAGTTAGAATCAAATCAGTATAATCAGGGCAGCCATCAGGCTAGAGGTGTTGTCACATTTTTACCTCTTACTCCTAAAGAAGAGGGTTGAAGTTGGTTTAAAGCAAGCACTGAAATGCATGACTAATGCATGGGTTTGTTTTGAGACAAAAAATTACTTTTCTTTCCTTCGAAGTGCCTAGTGGTACTTTTGTATAAACTTAAGGGAAACAAGATTAAACAAGAAGGCCAATGGGCAGACTAGTAAAACCAAATGAAAATTTTGTGTAGGTAGAAATCATTTCATTTGGTTCAAACTGAATCAGTTTGTGTGAACCTGCCTGAGGTCTGCCTAGTGGAAGGGTGTCTGTTGGAGTGAATATGTGAAAACAGTGACAGGGTGTAGCAGCAGAAGGAATGGGCGCCAAGAAGAAAAATCCATCACTGGCCACTTGGACTGTTACTGCTGTTTTTCATTTGGGGGACAGAAAGAGATGATTCACTTCACAAATGAACACAATGGCCAGGATTAGGCTAGACCAAAGCTAAGAGCTGGAAGCTCAGTCCAGATCACCCATGTGGGTAGCTGCTCCAACCAGCAGAGCCAGTAAGGTAGACACGGAGAGGGTCTGGGGATGAAGCACCGACAGGAGATCAGTGATGGTAGAAGTGTCTGCGAAGTCTTTCTTGCTCCTTCACCTCTTCTTATATATTCTCCCCACCCCCAACATCCTCATTTAGCAGGATATTGGATACAGATGAGTTCAATTAGTCTAGGTGCTTTTAGCCACAAGCCCAGTTCCTGTTCTGCCCAGGTTAACTAGTGTAATCAACTCCTTAGCCCACAACAGGTAGCATGAACTAATTTTCTTGAAACATCTTTGCTGCGTCCCAGGGTCGGTATTAGCAGGAAGTTGGAGGAAGAAGACATTGCTGGTGTCAGACCAATCAGCCTGTATGGACTGTGGACATCTGAACTGATATCTTAACCACTAAGCTAAAAGAACCCTCCACCACTTAAGTTTTTGTTTTTTTTAAATCACACCTTTCCTAAGGGTGCTCAATGAGAGAATGCTAAATAACTGTCTACATACCTCACGCAGAATATTATTATCTAGTAAAATGAATGAAATGTTGCATATGACTAAGAATGGACACTAACACATGTTAAGTTAAAAATGAAACCAAGTACAAATGAGGATTTGGAATAGGCATAGTAAGTATAATTTGTCTTGTTATGTCAAATGAGAGGGACAAAGCAGATTCACATTTGCATTCCCATGCTGCCCACAGGTTACACAGAAAGGCAGGTGCATAGCTTCTGGGGAGATATCCAGTTACCTGGAGTAGAGAGTAATGGGAAGGAAGCTGGCCTTTGAGTATTACTGCATATCCTTGACATTCTGAAATATGTAAATGCATTACTTATTAAAATTATGGGTTACGGGTTGACACAATGGTGTATCAGGCTAATCCTCTGCCTGTGGCTGGCATCCCAGAAGAGCACTGGTTGATGTCCCAGATGTTCCACATCCAGTCCAGCTTCCTGCTAATGCAGCTTGGAAAGTAGCTGAAGATGGTCCAAGCATCCAAGTCCCTGAATCCATGAAGGAGACCTGGAACAAATTCCTGCCTCCTGGCTTTAGACTGAACCAGGTCCATCCACTATAACCATTTGGTGAGTGAACCAGTAGATAGAAGATCTCTGTCTCTCCTCTCTTAAATTTGCCTTTCAAATGAAAAAAAAAAAACCTTAAAGTTAATAGATTAATCAATAGATCTAAATATGGTGTAGATATTTTCACTGTATTTTAAAAATCTTTCCAAAGATGTGTTTTATTTTATTTGAAAGGCAGGGTGACAGAGTGAAAGGGTTTCCATCTATTGGTTCCCTTCCAAGCACATGGATATATTTTCCCAGTGTGTAGGTAGGAAGCTGGATCAAATGTAGAACAGCTGGGAATAGAACCGGCATTTATATGGAATTTTGATCATCATAGGCTGTGGCTAACCTCACTGTTCCAGCAAATGTTCACAACACATTGCTAAATCAACAACATATATTTCAGAACTGTATATGATGAACCTCTGTAGAAAACAGGAAAGTAAGACAAGGAACAAAAAACTACATTATACACACATATAATTTGTTGAAGTGTATGACCACGCCTGATTTTTATGATTAATATAGTATAAAAATAGACTGACATTATTTTTTCATTTAAAAAAGTCATATCTTGCTTGAAACAAACATGAGGCAGCCCTGGTTATGTGTTCATGTTGTGTTTATTTAGAACCGAATGTGGAGAAAGAACCGTTCTTCCCATGAAGGCAATCGTTGTGTTGGAACAGACCTGAACAGGAATTTTGCTTCCAAACACTGGTGTGGTAGGCAGTTTATTTAATTTTTAACACTATCTCCTCATTAAAAGGGTGATAAGAAAGACCCTGAACTGTAAGTACACAAGAGATGTATCTGAATTAGAGAACAATTGAAATGCTAAGCTTTCCAGGTAAGGGTGATACTAACAGTGGTGACTACTTAGCAAATTGGCTCATCTCTCCTCACCTCATCTCTCTGCTGTTCCTTCATCTTTAATACAAAGAGGTTGGGGCAGCAGCTTTGTGGTGTTGCCTCTCTCACCTGCATGCCAAATGCCAAATGAATGTCGGTTCAAGACCTGGCTACTCCACTTTAAATTTAATTCCCTGCTAATGGTTGATGGCCCAAGTACTTAAGCCTCTGTTACCCATGTGGGAAATCCGGATGGAGTTCTTGTTGTGGCCATTTGAGCAGTGAACCTATAGGAGGACACTCTCTCCCTTTCCCTCTCCCTTCTTGTCCTTCCCACTCCAACCTCTCCCCGTCCCTTCTTCTTCTCCCTCTCCCTCAACCTCACCCTCTTCCTTTTTGTAATTATCTTTTAAATAAATAAATAAATAAAATTTTAAAATAAGTATGTTCATTTAAGTGACATCTAGTTTCAAAGCTATAAAATTTTATTATCCTAAAATAATATGAATCATACTATTCAATATCCTATGTTAACAGATAACATTTCTCATTAGGACAACACAGATCTTGGAGACAGGAGACTTTTCATTTCCAATTGTACAGGCAAATGTTTATTTCTGTAGTGACTGAAAACATATTTATTTTGTTCTCACCCTCCACTTTATTAACAAGCTTTTGTTTCATGACCGATATAAAGAATATATAAATAGTAATATAAAAATTGACACATGAAACTTATTCATTCCTTGATTTGAATGAGATAGAGTCCTCAGGGGGTACAGAGTTAGCCTTTCTTATATAGGACAGAGTGGAATACTATTTACAATAAAACAGTACTATACATAAGCTGTGTTTACAAAACAAACTAAATGAAACAATGAGCTTGTATCACTTGTTTTTCTAAAATCAGGCACATTTCTCCACAAGGAGAGATGCTGTTGCAGTCACAGAATAATCTTCCACACGCTTGTCATATACAATCTTATGTAAGCGATCTTAGATATTGCCTACAGAAGAGGTAAAAATGCATGATTTTGAAAAGTTTATCATCATCCCAAAGTATATGTGAAAAATGCACAACAAAATCCTCACCTTATTTCCTTCCCTTTTGTGTTAGAAACTCCAGCAGGGCCTGACACATAGAGGGTCCTCAAAAATGTCAATTAAGCGAATCCATGAATGGATTACGCTGCTCTGAAATATATATATTGAGGTTGGGACAAAGAGGCAGGAGCAAGTGGTCCTGACTCAGGGAGCACCTGGTGGTGTCCATCTAAGAGCCGTACTTAAGGTTACCTAGACAGCTGTTCATCAAGGTCCACAGGCAGCTGCAGCAGTGATGGTTGGCCAGGGGCTCATGGGAGTGGTGCTAATGCCAAAAGATATGAACAAATAGAATGACAGTGACTAAGTGCCCAGCAGTTTATATATTTAATCTGCTACATATCACCCATAGAAAAACACAGACTTAAAAAGTACGTCCCTGTCCCTTGCTTGGGGCACCTTGGTAGTTAAGTGGTAGTGGAGCTAGGATATAAACCCAGACTAACTGATTCCAAACTTATTAAGTTTCCTATGTCTGACAATAACTCCTCAGCAACTTCCCTTTTGTAATTTCCCATCTTTAAGCATTTTTGGTACTCAATCTTTTTCTTCAATCTTTAGTTTCTTCCAATATTGAAGGCCAAGATGAATTTTCAGCAGAGTGAGTTTCTCTTGAAATCTCTTTCATTGGCTCACTGTGTCCTCACACAGCTTTTTCTCTATGCAAATACCTTCTCTCTGGCTCACTCTCTCCTAATCAGAGCATCATATTGGGTTAGGAATCCACTCTTGTGACTCTTAACCCTGTCTTCAGAAACAACCTGTCTTTTAAGAATAGTCCCTTTGGACCTGGTGCTATAGCCTAGTGGCTAAAGTCTTCACCTTGCACATGCTGGATTTCCACAAGGGTACCGGTTCTAATCCCAGCAGCCCTGCTTCCCTTCCAGCTCTCTGCTTGTGGCCTGGGAAAGCAGTCAAGGATAGCCCAAAGCTTTGTGGGAGCCCCAGAAGAGTCTCTGGACTCCTGGCATCGGATTAACTCAGCTCTAGCCATTCCGGCAGCTTGGGGAGTGAATCTTCACATGGAAGATCTTCTTCTCTCTCTCTCTCTTTCCTTCTCTTTGTATATCTGACTTTCCAATAAAAATAGAATAAATATTTTTAAAAAAGATTTTGTATGCATTAGTTCAGCTGATCCTTACTCAACTGCCAGTTAAATTATATATTTTTCATATCGTGGATAAAATAACTTGAGGTTTAACCAAGTTTAACAAATTACCAAGGCTACTTAGTTATTATATGGCAAAGCCAAGATCAAACTGGGTGAACTTAACAGTCTGCTGTGTGAAGGACAGTTACTGCCACAGTGCCAAATTTTTATCTCCTAACGTAACAGTGTATACCTCACAGGATTGCTATGAGGATTCCTTGAGTAACTACAGAAATGTTTGGAGAGTTCCTCTGTGGGTGTAAGCTGCTACCGTTACTATCTTTGTTCAAGAGTGCAGCTGGATAGAAACAAGAGTTATTACTGAGAGAACTAAGATTGCCAGCCACACATGTGTCTTCTGCTATTCCTAGAAGAGAGTGAATTCTTGGGTCACATGTGCTCCCTGTGGCTCTCTCACTGTGAATCAGGCACAGAGGCGGAAGTGTCGGAAGGCAGGCATCCATCTGTAAGGATGCATACATATATACTTCTATCTCTCCAAGGAATGAATAAACATTATTCTGACACCAAATATCACCATGTGTTTTATTGACTAAATCACTCTGGCAAGTGTTCAAAAAGTAGCTCTGAAGACAGACTTGCATATTCTGAGTCCCCAAGTGAGACTTTTATGGACTACATTGCTGAATTATTTTTAAGCTATAAATATCAGGAAAACCAAACTGACAGTGGAGTAAATAAAATGAGGCTGATATTGTCATGCTATAACCAGATATTTTGAGGATGGTTGTCCTCTTCCATCTTCTTAGGCTGCTTTCTCAAGGCTGCATGTTAACTGCTCAGGCAACACGAGAGGCCAAGGCTGGGAGGGATGTCTAGGGAGTCGGCTCCGTGGGTATGAGAATATTTGACTCTAACAGAAACATAAACAATATTAAGCATCAGAAATACCTTCTTGGGATGGACACTTAATACAACAATTAAGACGTTGCTAGGATTGCCCACATCCTCTTGTGGAGTGCTCATTTAGGTCCCAGGCACTCTGCTTCTGATTCCAGGTTCTTGTTATTGTGTACTCTGGAAGACAGCAAATGTTGGCTCAAATGCTTGGGTCCCTGCCACACACCTGTGTTGAAGAGACCTGTGTTGAATTCCAGGCTGTTGGTTCTGTCTTGGTCCAGCCCTGGCTGTTGCAAGAATTTGTGGAATGAATCAATGAAAATGGTCTCTGTCTTTGTCTCTCTTTCAAATAAATGAAAAATCAGATTTTAAACATTAAACAAACAAATACGTTCTTTAAAGAACACTACCTCACCCACAGATGTTAGGAAAACATGTCTTCAGGGGAACAATATATTATGATCATACATGCATTCTGGTGATTTCATTGTATTGATTTTACTACAGGGGAAGGTGCCTCGAGTTTCTCATGCTCAGAGACCTACTGCGGACTTTACCCCGAGTCAGAGCCAGAGGTGATGGCAGTGGCTAATTTCCTGAGAAGAAACATCGACCACATTAAAGCTTATATCAGCATGCATTCATACTCCCAGAAGATTGTCTTTCCCTATTCCTATAATAGAAGCAAAACCAAAGATCATGAGGAGCTGGTAAGTGTAACTTCATGATTTTTCCTCATTTATATATCACAAATAAAATAATGCTTAATCGAAGATTCAAAACTCCCTGGGAAAATACTCCTCCTCAGGAGGACCCATGCATGAATATTGCAGACCATGGTTTGGCTCAGTAAAGCATCGCCCTGTGGTCAGAGATCACTGCAGGAATTGAGAGGATGGGTCTTGCCCTAAGGACGTGACCTTCATTCCAGCAAGTTCCTGGAAGCTCAGAAGAAAAATATTCCACTGACCTGATCTGCACACAAAGCCATACAAGCAAGGACACGAGAGTTATGGAATGGTGGGATTTCTATGTGCTCCTGAGCTTCCCACATTAGTCCACCACAGTTGAAGTCTCAGCCCCACACTCCTCATTTGGTGTTAGCTGTGGGAACTGTGCAGACACTGGCCCCTTGACCTCTGGAGGTTTGGTCCCATGAAAGTATGCCCAATTTCCACACTGAGGCCAGCCTGATCCATCAGAAGGTAGTGGAAAATACAGGAATTTTAAAGAAGACCCACATATTTTGCTTTTCTCTCATCATGTTTTGGTGTCTGATGTTCTGTGTTTGGATTAATGGGTCAAAGGCAGCCTGGTCAAGTTCTCATCTCAAATGCTTTCAGGACAATGATGTGTTATGGCAGTGACTTCATTCTTGGGCAAGAACTGCTCTTTATAGAGTAATTTGCATTTTACAGATTCATTTTTTTTTCTGTCTCTGTTACCAAAATCTAATGCAGTGATACTAGGGGTGCTAGCCATTGCTGATGACTTGTATATGATTATTTCCATTTTCTGAAAAAAGCACATTTGGTACACAAACATATGTGGTACTTACAATTCTGTTTTTTTTTTTCTCAAGGAAAAATTTTAAGATCTTTTTTTGGCTTTACCTTACAGAAATGAAATGATAATTATCATGATTTGCAAATTAGAATTAGTACAATTGCATCTTGATTTTGGATTACTACCAGCACAAATATTTATAGAGTTATTATGTGTAAAATACTATATTCTGGGGCCCTGCCATGGTGTAGTGAGCTAAGCCTCCACATGTGATGCTCGCTAGTATCCTATATAGGTACTGGTTTTGTGTCTAGCTGCTCCACTTCCCATCCAGACCCCTGCTTATGACCTGGGAAAACAGTGGAGGACGGCTCAAATGAATTTATAGAAACTCGTGTTACAATGACTTTTTCTACAAATTAAATAAAATATTTTAAGACATTGGAAGAGTTTGTTTAAGGCCACTTGTGTCTGATTGCATACAGTGAAAAACATGTTTTTAGTTCATTTATTCTTTTTCTTAATTTGCCTGTTGGATAAACTCAGTTTTCTCATGCACATTGTAGTTCAATTGAATGTATGGTAGTTTCTTAGGAACTTTTATCTGTTGTATTTAGAAGGGAAACATTAACTGAAATTTCACTTCCTATTGCTCCTAGTCTCTAGTGGCACATGAAGCAGTTCGTGCTATTGAGAGAACGAACAAAAACATCAGGTATACCCATGGCAGTGGCTCAGAGAGTTTATGTAAGTATTTTCTAAGATCTTGGAGAAATGTGACCAACTAAAGGAATCTATGTGTTGAGTTTTGCTGTATAGGCTTCATTTTTTTTTCTAAATTGCATATTTAAATAGAGCCACATGCAAAATGAGCAACAATTGTAACAGCTATAACAAAAGCAGAAGAAAAATACGTTGATGGGTGAATATATTAACAAGCTAAAATGATATTTAGGCTGTGCTTTTCACTATGCAGAGGAATTACAGCATTGACATCATCATAGCATTGTAAAGACGAAGAAGACAGGAAGATTCAAAAGACTGTGAAAATCCAGGACCACATGTAAGGCTGTGCAGGTTGTATACTGCACAAATCTAGGGGATATCATTTCTCTGAGCTGTTTTTTAGTGATAGACGGTACCATAGCCTATACTTTATGACACAATATAACTGGATGTCTTTTGTATAGAAAACAGCAACAAGAACTTGAATGTGGATGACTTAACAAATATTTTCCATTATTTCCACTGAAAGATATTTATGGAGAGACTCCAGTGGGAACACAGTGTTTTTTCTTTTTCTAAACAGGTGTCAGAGAGATGAAGAAGAATAGCAGAAAATAAACATAGTGTTGGCAGGTGTTGGCAAACTACAGCCTGAAGGCCAAAGTGAGCCCACTGCCTGTGTCTGTATAGCCTATGAACTAATAGTTTTTTCAATTTTCCATGGCCAAAACACCAAAGCAAAACAAGAGAATAAAATTTTTCAAGACCTGAAAATTATGGCATTCCTATTGTGTGCTTAAATAAAGCTTGACTGAAATACAGCCATGCTCATTCATTTGCATATCATGCATGATGACATTCTGGACAGCAGAGCTGAGCAATTGTAACAGATTGCATAACCCACAAAACCTGAAATAAGGGCTTTCTGGGTCTTTACAGGAAAACTTTACCAATTCTGCAGGTAAACAATTATGCAGTAAAATATAGTGTAATTTCACTGATGAGTGTTTTGAAAAAAAAATATATGAGGCTATGGGTTTGAGAATGAGGGCAGGTGACAGATGCAACTTATCTTTAGTGGCCTTGGATGGTCCTTATAGGTGACATTTCTGGGAGACCACCCAATAAATGGCTACCAGGAGAAGACCAGGGAAATGGAGTGGGTTGAGCAGAGTAAAAAGTCCAAGAGTTATCTTTAACAGAATATGCAGCAACATAAAAAGTCACAGGGAAAGGGCTGGAAGAATAAATACTAGATATTGATTACAGCTTTCAGAAACATATGATGAATGAATGAATGCCTTATTTAACCCACAGTTAACAGACATTTTTAAAGAAACATTTATTTATTTTTATTGGAAAGGCAGATATACAGAGAGGAGGGACAGAGAGAAAGATCTTCCGTCTGATGATTCACTCCTCAAGTGACCACAACGACCAGCCGGTACTGCGCCGATCCGAAGCTGGGAGCCAGAAGCTCTTCTAGGTCTCCCACACGGGCACAGGGTCCCAAGGCTTTGGGTCGTCCTCCACTGCTTTTCCAGGCCACAAGCAGGGAGCTGGATGGGAAGCAGGCCCGCCAGGATTAGAACTGGTGCCCATATGGGATCCCGGTGCTTTCAAGGCAAGGACTTTAGCCGCTAGGCCACCGCTCTGGGCCCGAGATTTTTCAATATTAAGTACAAGTAATGCTTTCATAAACAACCTTGTAAATCCATGTATAGGTACAAACAGTCATTCTTTGTAAATTAGTAGTTGTCTATCTAGAAAAATGCAGAAAATAAAGCAAAGAATTAGTTACAATCAAAGAGGTGAATAAGATACTGTGAGAATCAAACATACATACTTCTGTAACATTATTATCTATCACAAATAGAAAGGTAGAAAATAAAAATAGCACTCTCTACATACACGCACATGTATGTGCATATGAACACATAAGTATGGAGTATGTGTATGAATGCACACACACAAGAAATCTGTAGTAGCTACATGCAAGGCCTGAAAAATTCTGCTGGTTTGTATGAAAGAAAAAAAAGGTAGAAACCAGGGTGGAAAGGCAATATAAATTTTTCCTTAACTAAGATACATATTTAATACAATCTTGATAAACACTTAAACACATCTGAAGTTTACTTGAAAGAATAAATTGAGGGCCTTCTGACCTAGCTCCCTGTTGATGTTCCTGGAAAAAGCAACCGTGGATGGCTGAAGTATCAAGGTGTCTGCCAGCCACATGGAAGGCCAGGATGGAGTTCCAGGCTACTGTGGCCTAAGCCTACTCAAGCCCGTTTCATTCCAGATATCCGGGGACTGAACTAGCTGACAGAAGATCTTTCTCTCCCTCTCTGTAAATGTGCCTTTCAGAGAAAGAAGACTTTAAAAAGAAAGAATCTGATAAATGATTTCATAAAATTCTGAAAAGAATAGAATGTCTTTAACCCAATATTAGCATGCATTACAAACGTATGTGACATTGAACATAGGTTTAAGGAGCATAGAAATACAGTGTAATGATCTGGATACCTCGTTATGTCATAAAGGCATTGAAAAATTTAAGAATGTTGGATAATCAGTTAGAAATTAATTGAATTAATGAGAAACATGATATTTAGAGAAAAAAATTGGTTGTATCGTACCAATGAGTCTTTCAGTAAAAATCTGCATGTATTTTAACACTCTGCCAGAAATTAAAAGTCAAATAATAAAATGAGAGGAAACAAACTCCACATAATATATAGAGCTAATAATGCTACCATTGATTTGGTGAGCAATCTCTAAAATGAAACACAGGAAAATGAGCATGGATAATTGATGGGGATTATAATGATGTACAATAGCAAGTGAAATGTTCAAGCCACTGAGAATCAAAGAAATATAAATAACATAACAGATATCATTTTTCACCCATCAAATTGATGGCAAAGGCAATTCCTGTGGATTATTCAGGAAGGAGAAGTAGGCAGAACAGGTGTATGGAGTTAAAAATGAGCTGACTTCTTTGAAGTGTCCCTGGGAACAAGTTTGGTAAGTTTAAAAGCGTTTATGCTTGTTCTAGGAAACCTAGGGAAGACTATTTTAAAGCAGCAAAGAAGAAATTATGTTTAAACAAGGGTGCTTATTGTAAAATTCTTTCCATTGGTAAAAAATTGGTTAAAATTTGAAGGCAGCACATAGTTGAATTACTTCTTGCTTTATAACGTAATGGTATGAGATGACTGAACATCAGGAAGCAATTTCTCTTACTAATATATTCTAACATGTTGCAATGACTATACTAACCAACAGTTTGTATAGTGTGATTGTGCTTATTTGGGAAAAGGGAAATACAAATGGAATATATGCACGTAGGAAAAACCACGCTAAAACGTCATTGGCAAATAACCTTCCTTGATAAGATTATGGTGGGTTGGGGCAATTTTTGTGTTCTTCCTCAATCTGCTGGCCTTCAATCTCCAAGAATAGTTTGTGTGATTCAGTAATCAGGAAAAACAAGACATGGTTTCCACATTTAGAAAAAAACGATCCTGTGAGGCAACTGCATTCCTTCTTTTAGACTTAGCTCCTGGAGGTTCGGACGACTGGATCTATGATTTGGGCACCAAATACTCGTTCACCATTGAACTTCGAGACACGGGCAGGTACGGATTCTTGCTTCCAGAGCGCTTCATCAAGCCCACGTGCACAGAAGCCCTAGCCGCGGTCCTTAAAATAGCTTGGCATGTGGTCAGGAACGTCTGAGGCCTTGGACTTGGGGCTCCCCTCGTTTAACTCACAGCTTCTAACCGGGCCACATCACTGTACCAGCGTCCAAGCTTCATCCGATCCGGTGCTTCCCTAATCCTTGGTTTCATCAAAGAACAAAATAAATGTGACTTGGAAGTTAACGCCAAGGTACAGCTGTATTTTTTTGTTTTCAATATGTGTGCGCGGCTAGATCCTTTTGTTTCCCTTCATCTCCATCTCAAGTTTTATTAACGAGTGTCGTGGAGATGGTGGGACGCTAAGCACAACCCTGACACCCCCAGGTTCCTTCCCGGGGACCCCAGCGCCTAGGTGCCCTGCCCGGTTTCCCAGGGCACCAGGCCACGGGCGCCCGCGCCACGCCCACGAGGGGCGGGGCCTGCGCGCTGACGACTAATGTGGCAGCCGGAAGCCGCGGCGATCCGCCGAGGAGGAGGAGGGCGAAAGCTTGACTTCCGGCGGCAGTGGAGGCGATCTTCCTAGTGGCCTGGTCTTGTTTTTGTTGCGTTTTCTCGCTCTCGTGCTTCTTTGTCCCTTTTGTTTGTTTTTCGTTTTTCTTCCCACGTCCCTGTGTCCCTGGGCCGTGGCGAGGGCGCGGGCGGATTTTGCTGCGGCGTCGCCCCGGGGGCAGCCTTCGCGGAGCCAGGGCCGGTTCCCGGGAGCCGCGCGTGCACCTTCTCCTCCTGCCCCTTCTCGGCGTCCCCCGGTGCCAGCGCGGGGACACGGGGTGGCCTGCCCCGCTGCTCGGGGCAGCGCCCCCGGCTTGCACCTGCCAGGGGAGCTGGGAGAGGAGGTAAGCTCCGTGTGTGTGTGGGGGGGGGGGTGAGGGAGCGGGCGTGGCGGGAAGGGCTTCTCGCCCTGCTGGGCTGGGGTCTCCTGAGGACCCGAGTGCCCCCTCGAACACCCACCCCACCTTTAAAGCTGCTGCTGCAGCTCCGGGTGCGCGGACTTGGGCTTTTCGCCGCAGTTGGGGGTTCTGGCGATTGCGGCAGGAGGACCAGGGCCGTGTGGTGCAGGGCCGGGGGACTTGGCTCTGTGTCGGCGTGTCTGTGCCTTGGAAGGGTGCAGCGGTGGAGTGTCAGGCTCAGATTCGGCCCTTGGAGCCTTGCAGGGTTGGGGTTAGTTCAAGTGCGTCTGGTCTGTTTCCCCGGCAATGTTGACAGCTTGCGGGGTGGAGGCGTGCCGCTTTATCCTTGGCCACCTGTCAGAAATGGGACAGGTGGCCTGAAAGGTGTGATGTCTGGCATCCTAAGAGGTTTACATAATGTTTGCGGCGGATACTGAATGCTAGGAGGCTTCTGGGAGTTGAAACAACTTGGAAACTTGTGGGTCTGTGCACTGGGCAGGTTTCTTTTGGAATGTTTCAAAGGCCTTGACCCTTTTGCCAGTAAGTCTAGCTGTGTATGCAGCACCCTCTGATAGAATGCTGCAGATGCACCTGCGGGTGTCAGTCTCCATATCTGTGGTGCTATCTTGAGTACTTCCACGAGGTGTTTGGGAGCTTTCGTGGACGCAGTCTGTAGAATTTTAAATCGGTTCCAATTTCTCAGTGAAGTGTTTAGATAATAACAGTTTCAGGAAGAGACTAAGGAAATTTGTTGTAAGCATGTAGCAGTTTGTATCTGTAGAAGTAGTTAATGGCTTCAGGCCAACACCTGGGGGCGGTTAGGGCACCAGGAGCTCTTATCTTTTCCTCTGAAAAAATAACTGTTACATTGTGAAACTAAGACTGTTTATCTGGTAGGATTCAGTTTTACCGAGTGCTTAGGAAGATTTGTGGAAAAATCAAAGGAAATTTATTGTGATGTAAAACCTTACTGAAATTGATGTCTTTTTTCATAATACATTTTTTCATGAAATTTTGAAGACTTGTATATGCCTCTTACTGACTTCCTGATTTTTAGTGATTCAGAATGAAAATTGCACATTTAAGAAGTGCAGACTTACCTAACTTTTCAATCTGTACTATAAATTAAAAGTGGATGGCTTTTTTTTATACATTGCTAAATTTTATGAGTAATCACTAGTTTATATGAGAAACTGAATTATGTTTCCAAATAGACAACAGAATTACTGAGGAGTGGACTTCCAGCACTCCCCAGTTCTGTACCTGTGAACTGTACATTCTCATTTACACTTTAATAGGGTGGAGCTGTTTATTTTTTATCAGATATCTAATAGCATACATTGACTCTTGCTGATAAATGAAATCTCTGTTTTTGTTTTTGTTTTTTTTTTTTTTGCCCCTTTTGGTAATTTTGTATATTGCCATTCTATATAGGTCATTGCCTGCATGGGATATTCAGTGTGAAGTAGCACCCCTCCCAACCCTCCCCCCCCCCAAATAGTGCTAGAATATTGCCTTGCTAATACGTGGATGCTCAATTTAGTTCTCTTGACCTGTTTACAAGTGTCATGAATCCACAAGTATGCAACTGGGAAGATTGTTTTGTAGAAAGTTTTTTAAGTTCTTCCAAGCAGCATAAAGTAAAGTCTTTTTTTTTTCTTTTTCTGTTAAGAGTATGAAATACAAGCATGAAGAGTCCCTAAGTTTTTTAAAAAAAATATTTATTCTGAGACCTTATTTTTAATATATCGCTCTTAATTGAAAAAAATACAGGGTTTGAAAATTTGTCTTAGTGATAGTTAATACCATTATGTAGTTTTAGTTGCTTCATTGTATGACAGCTTCCTAATTTGCTGTTCTTCATGGAGGTTAAAGTGGTTTATGTTTCCAGTTTATGTTGGCAGGTTAAACTTTGGAAAGATGTAATTGTAGGTTGGCGTGGAAATATTGAAACTAATACGCATTTTATTGAAAAGATTTTCGTAATCAGGTTTTAGAAAGAATTAATATTCAGAAAGAGGCATTTATCTGTTACTCCTTTGTCAGCCGCACCATTGATGTGGACCTGGGAGTGTGTGGGGCCTGGAGGTGCTGATTTATTAAGGCCCTCTGGTCACCTCTTTAAGACACTCAAACTTGGTTTGTTGGGTTTTGTTTTTTTTTAAATTGAAAAGATTATAAAGGTTCAGATATTTGTTTATTCTTCAAATGGGCTTTGGGAATTCTTGTATTTGGGCAAGAGATGATGATACTGGTAGAAATGTGATGGCCACTTCGAAGAATAATTTGAAAGCAAGAGTGGAAGAGCGCCTTCACAGAAGAGTGAACTAGTAAGTCATTGTTGAGACTCACTCCACGCAGAGGCTGTGCCGCGGAAGACTAATGTTTCCGTTATTTGTCTTTGCTCACATTTCTCCTGTAATCTGAGGCACTGATGGAAGCCTGTTCAGGCGTAAGTTAGAAACGTCTCCCTTCCTGCTTTTGGTGATGTGTACACATTGATGTTATATTCATCATGTGAGGACCCACATTTTTAGAAAAGAATGAAATTTATATTGAACTCATGTTAGATGTTAACAATTTTAAAATAATGTAAAAAGTTTTAGATGGATGATATTTAAAATTACGTATTGTACACTTGGCAAGCATAAAGCATTTTATTTCTATAAACTCATGAATATCTCAGGTAACTTCATTGTTGGCTACTAACAGAAGTTCCTAGATGGATAATCAAAAGATTTCTTTTTAAATAGAAATATCCATTTTCTGCTTTTCCTATTTTTGCTCCCCCTCCCCCCAGCTGTCTGTGTAGATATATAGTATTGCTCTAGGCTCTCCCTGTAACCTAGACCTGGTACTCAGATATAGAGTCATTTTAGGGCAGTGTTTGACACTTGTACTCTGAAAAAAAAAATCAGTACATTCTTACTTAATTCATTTTTTGCTCCTTAGTTGGAAGACTTTGCAGTAGTCTCTTGGTAAGAGAATATTGAGTGGGAGTCCCATTTTATTTCTTTGGGAAGCAGTATTGAAAATACATGAGTGAGTGATGTAGCTTGGATTGTCGATCCTCACTCGGTTCTTTTTTTTGGCATAACCCTCAAACCTTTTGAAATCTTCCGTTGGCCTAGGACTCTAGAACTGGGGAGAAGCTGTGAGGTCACACTTTCCAGTTGGGTCAGGGAACAAATGCAGAGCCAGGAAAGAACTAGTTAATACCTCAAGCTCTTAGAAACAGGAAAAGGTGTTCAAGATGACCAGTGTTGCAAGGATAACTAATAGCTTGTTGTCTTCATGCAGAATACACTACCCTTACGTGAAGATACCTTATAGTACATATCTCTATACTGGAATAAGAGGAGTACTCCCAATGAATAAGAGGAGTACTCCCAATGAAACTTTGACCATTTGTTACTAGATTTTTTTATCATTTACCTGTGCCTACAATGGCGTGATATACTTAACAGCAGAATGTCAGGCTTGTAACTGTGACTGAGGACTAATGCTGCTGTAATAATATGGGGAAAATGGGGAGAGAGGAAGGGGAAGGAAAGGGGGAAATCCCTTTTCCTACAAAACTGTGTCTTGGAAAATAATACTAAAAAAAAATTAAGAAGACTTTCTGGTACAAAGAAAGAAGGTACACTGCCTTTGTTCTGGTGAGCCTGGAATGGGTGCCTGGGGATGTTGGCAGGAGTGTGTGTTGGCAATGGAGGCACACTTGAGGCAGAGGTGGGGCAGAATTGACTCACTTGTGTATGATGGTGGAGGGGAAAATCTAAGGTTTGAGTTAATCTCTTTGAGGTTCTGATAGGTTGAACTTCTGTTTTCCAAGTTCTGAGTAACTAATAAGGAAAATTTGAAACTCATTTAGTTTTAAGTTTGCTAAAATATGTTTTAACAGTTCAGTTGATGAATGAGGAATCTGATGTGAATCTATACTAATATCCATATGCCTTTTTTATATATATTGGGTGACACATTTAATTCTTATTGGGTCTTGCTTACAAATAAATTGTAAAAAAAAGAAAAAAAAATTTTCTTAAAGCTCTGTATTTTCCAGAAATTGTTCAGAATGAATCTGAGAGAAATAAAACGGGTTACAACCAGTATGTAGAACTCATGTACAGTTCTCTGTTTGGAGAACAGTTGTTGCATAAATGATTTTACTTTGCAGCAATTATTTTATTTGATACACTGCAGTGATTTTTAAAATTTGTAACTACTTTCTTCTCTGATTTCTTAGGAAGTGCTCTTGAGAAGGTTTTTCATTTTGTATGTAAGGAACAAGAAGAATATAGCTTTTTTCTGTTTTTATTATTTCATATTTCTCTCTTCTGGGTTCACTATCGTTTTTTTAGCCCTCAGATGTTGTTTTCTTTTGGGGGAGTTCTTCGGAAATATGACTTGAGCATCTCATTGAACCAAATGTTATGAATTTTTAAAAATTTTTGATTTCATATTACCATGACTCAGTTTCCTTTTAAGTAATGTCTTTGCTTTGCAGCCATCTTAAAGAGCATTGTGGTCTTTATAAAGAAGGTTTGCTATCCAGAGGAACTTCGGCTTTTTTAGTAACTTAATTACTAACAAGAATCAGCTGTTTTTTATTTTTTGTTCAATGCATGCAAATTGAATTCTTATTTCTTTTCATTATTTCCTACGACTTTTCACAGTTATTTACTGTGGGCTGTAACTGTGTGACACAGCACTTATTGTTGTTTTCTAGCACAAATTAGCATTATCTGCTGTGATTTCTGTTAGACTTATCCAGCTACATGAGAGTACTTAAAAAATTGTTGGACAGTAGAATTTAGAAATGTATTTCTTTTGATGTAAACTTTTTGATACTCATACATAGGTTCTTCATAATATGCTTTTTTGTGACCTTTTTGAAGAACACTGATAATTGGATTAACTTTCAGTTACAGTTTTAATTTTGAATACTTATTAAAAATCGTTATTACAATTTGTCTTTTCTTGTTGTTAATTATAGCCTTGTTGTTACCTTTTCTATTTTGAAAGAATGCCATCTTATTAAGATTTTATATATATACATTTTTGTAATCAGTATCCTTGATCAGGGTACTTCTTTTTCACACCTGGAAAGTCAGAATACTAACTAGCATTTATTTTTCTCACAAGCTAATTTTTGCATCATAACTACTGTTATCATATAAACTGTATAAAACAATTTGTTATTAATGGAATTTTTACTTGATTTTTATTGTTTTCCTGTGGCTATCCCCTATTTCTTATTTTCTTTTTATAAATATTTTTAAGTAACTAGTTGACGTTTAACAACTTTCTCAAAGGTTGAAGTTAGTAAATTCTGGCAAGTTTTGTAAATTTCAAACCATTTTATAGTGTCTTCTGAGACTGAATACTGTGAAAATTTTACTCTGTGCATAGAATTTAATTTGTTCACTTTGCATAAATTATAGTTTTAGCCAACAGATTTCAGTTACTGTAAATTCAGTCATACTCTGTATTTCAGTAGATACCCTACTTCTATTTACCTGTGACCTCCCCTGTTGCTTTTTCTCTCCGCAGAACTTCCTCTGCAGTTTTACAGTGCTACCTACAATTGTATCCACTTCTGAGTTATGGGCTCAGTTATTTGAATCTGAAGGTTTTTACAGTTTTGCCTTTTTTTTTTTTTTTGGCTGAGTAGTACAAAATGTCAAAAATTAGAAGGAAAGTCACAGTGGAAAATACCAAAACTATCTCTGACAGCACATCCCGAAGACCCAGTGTGTTTGAGAGGCTTGGCCCAAGCACTGGCAGCACAACAGAGGTGAGTCACCACTGAGGCAGGCACAGGGCTTCTCCTAGAATGTGCTTGTTGAAATACTGATTGGTGTCATAAAGGTAGATAGATCTCAAGAATGTTGGGTTTGTATATTTTGTTAAATGTATTTTATTTTATTTATGTATTTTATTTCTGTTGCCAATTTTGTTATAGGTTTTTTTTTTCCTGTTCCTGCGTTTCTGAAGCTCTTTGTAAATCCTGGATATTAGTCCCCTATCACTTCTATAGTGTGCAGAAATTTTCTCCCATTCTGTTGGTTGCTTCTTCACTTTGTTAAATATTTCCTTTGCTGTACAGAAGCTTTTTAGTTTGATGTAGTCCCATTTGTTCATTTTGGATTTGATTGCCTTTGCTTTTGGCATCTTTTCTAGGAAGTCTTTCTCTGTTCCTGTATCTTGGAGTGTGCTTCCTATGTTTCCTTTTAATAGTTTGATGGTTTCTGGGTGTAGATTTAGGTCCTTGATCCATTTAGAGTTGATTTGTGTATAATATGACAGGTGTGAGTCTTGCTTCTTAATTCTACATGCTGCTATCCAGTTGTCCCAACAGCATTTGTTGAATAGACCAGGATTTTTGCCTGGGTTATTTTCAATTTTCTTGTCAAAGATTAGTTGACTATACATGTGTGGGCTCCCTTCTGGTGTTTCTAGTCTGTTCCACTGATCTTCTCTGTTTCTGTACCAGTACCAGACTGTTTTTGATAACTACTGCTCTGTAGTATGTGTTGAGGTCTGGAATTGTGATTCCTCCAGCTTGATTTCTATTTTTCAGTATAGCTTTAGCTGTTTGTGGTCTTTTATGATTCCAGATGAACTTTGGAATCATCTTTTCTATTTCTGAGAAGAAATTTGTTGGGATTTTGATTGGGATTGCATTGAATCTGTATATTGCTTTTGGTAATATGGTCATTTTGATAATGTTGATTCTGCCAATCTGGGAATGATGGCATCATTTTTCCCAAGAGACTTGTGTTTCCTTTTTGTCACCCATGTGTTGGTTACTCAGTGGCGCATTTTTTTTTCATGGTGCTGTAATTTGTTGATGTTGTTGTTGTTGTGGCTGTTCTGACTCATGCCAGTTGTTAACCTTGTTTTATGGCTTCTCACTTATGGAAGTATATAGTAATAGAGTAATGGGGTCTATCAAATTCAGATGTCGGGGTATAATGGAACATGCATCCCTGTTTCCAGACAAAAGATGGATTCCCAGTTAAACTGTTGGACATGTGTAGACAATGGGATGCTGGACTGTCTGACATTGTCTGTACCAACAATGTTGGGGTACACTTAAATAAGAGACTGATAGAATTATGATTCCTTATGAGGGACTACATTATTGTAACAAAATGGGAATAATCTGATGGGGGGGGTGGGAGTTTAGGGGGAATCCCAGCCTACACGAAATTGTGCCACATAATTCAAAATTCAAAATAAAAATTTGTTAAAAATGAAAAAATATGTTTTTTTATTTACAAAAAGGAGTGAGTGGAAAGGTGAATGATAGGGTTTATGGATTTTTCGTATGTTTCGTGTTTTCATATTGGGGAGTAAAATATCATGAGTGTACTGGACTTCTGATAAAAGTGTGTTTTAATTTTGCCCCTCTGGCATTGTTTTTCTAGAAATAAATATGAAATTAACTTAGTAATATCTGTATTTTAGACACAGTGCCGCAACTGGCTGAAGACTGGCAACTGCCTTTATGGAAACACATGTAGGTTTGTACATGGACCCTCACCTCGTGGTAAAGGTTATAGCAGCAATTATAGAAGGTAACCAAGAACTTTGAATTGTTTACATACTGTTGTAGAAAATGATGTTTGTAATTTATCTCATATAATATGAATATGAATTATCTTTTTTGATTAGATTTTTTGATTTTGGTTTTAGTCTTAACATGTTTTGACCATCTTTTAAATAACAGCATTTCTATGTACCTCTCCCCTGTTATTGCTTATTGAATAGATATTTAAGACAACAGGATGACATGATCTCCAGATTTAGTTTTTTCTAAGGAAAGAGTATTTTTGAATTTTAAAGCATTAAAATTTAAATGAGCAACAGTCAAGATGGCGAAATAGAGTGAGGACACTTGAAAAGATGGAGAATCATTAGCCAGGGTGAAACAGAGAGCACAATACAGGGAAATAGGAGAGGTCAGGCCAACAACAAAGGGACACCTGAACACCTGTGGACACAGGGAAGCACTGGAGACAGCAGATTGGGGTTGCAGTAACCAGACATCCCAGCAGCAGTCAGCGGTTAGTAATCAGAGCTCCACCAGCAGCCAGGTGGGAAGAGAGTTAACGGGGAGCTCAGGAGGTGAACCTGGGTGTAGAACTGCCTATCCTGGTGATTGGCTTGATTTGATCGTGAGCAGAAGCAGAGTGGCAAAGCCCAAGCAAGTGGGTGGAGGAACAGGATGGATTTCACAGCTTAGACCCCTACCAGTGACACATCAAGTACCATTTTGAGTGCTGAGGAAAAAGGTTATGGGGCTAAAGGAATATTAGAGAAATGTGCGGGGACTGAGGCAGGTGAGAACTCACTTCCAGCTCAGTGCATTGCACTGATCCCATAGGGAAATAGTACTGACTTGGCCATCTTACAGGTTCCACCCAAAATAGGTGCGGATGGCCCTCATTGTAGTGGCCAGCAGTTTCAGCATGACCAGCACTGCTGACAACCCACAGCTTGTGTCTCCCTAATTCACTACACTGCTCAAAACTGGGAGTGGGAGAAAGGCTGTGCAAGCAATGGTACAACCACAGCATAGGATCACAGCGGGTGGAGAATGGTGAGCCAGAAGCTGGGACTACAGAGTCCACGGTGGAAGCCTAGGACAAGAACCTGGGACTGAAACTCCTTTGAGGGAGTGACACAGGTGATTGCAAATGAAGAACTGGATACCAAACCAATTGGCAAAATCAACTTGTAGACCAGTAGGTGGCACAATTTAGAAACTGGCTGTAAGGAGAGGAATCTGCTAACCAGAATAGCAGTAACCAAGAGCAAAAGAAGAAACAGAGGCACAATGAATATTACTGATGCCTCCACTGCAAAGGAGCAAAAAGCTTTGTCAACCTCAGTTTTAACTAAGGAAGACATTGAGGAAAAGGGATAATGAATTCTAAAAGCTTGTTATAAAGTTTTTTAATAACATCAGGACACACAAACAGGATTTCAGGGAATTTAAGGAATAGGTCACACAGGAAATCGCAGCACTGAAGCCAAATCAAGGTTTTTGATTTTCATTTCCTCAGTTACACATTGGTCATTCAGTAGTGTGTTATTTAAATTCATGTAAATCTTCTCTTTTACTTCCTGTTGGTTTTGTTTTATGGTTTTTCATTTAAGGGGATGTATAGTAACTGTAGTAGAGACTGTCACATACAGGTGTGAACATACAATGCAGTGACTATCTCTACTTTCAAATCAAAGATGGACCTTCAATGAAACTGCTAGATATAACTTGACAATGGGATGCTGGAATCTGCCATTGTCCATACCTACAATGTATATGCATAAAAAGCAGAATGATGAACTTATTACTGTATATGAAGAACTATACTATTGTAATGATATAGGAGGAATTAGTAGGAAAGTGGGAGCTTGAGGGAGGGGAAATACCGGAACCTATGGAAGCGTATCATAAAAAATAATGAAAAAAGCTGTGTGCGAAAAAAAATGATAAAATTTAAATGAGATATGATTTTGTGTTTTCTTCACATGTTTCTAAATTCAAATCTTATATGAACTCTTGATTGAAAAAAATTTGCCAAATCCTTCTGTCAGTCTTTTAGAGTAAATAAAAATATGCATTTGTTTTCTAGATAAATGGCAAATGGCAAGAAATGTGCTATTTATGATCATTTGCTTTAATACATTTTTAGCCAATATGAATATGATTTATAAGTTCCGTTTTTCTTTTGATTCTCTTCTGATGATTTTAGTGGTTAATGAAATAGCATATATAAATATAGTTAGAAGAACAGTTTCAACTTGATTGGTAAATAACCTGCTACTACAGAAGTAGTATAATGTAAACTGAGTATTGACAATTGGTGATCATTTTTTAACTGATGAGTTTGTGTCTGGAGGCCTGGCATAGATTTTGAAGTTTATCAGAATTTAAAATACATGACACTTACTAGCTAATCTGCTCACTTAAACAATGTACATTTTAGTTTATTTGTAATGCCAGATATGTTATTTTATTCATGTTGTCATTCTTCTGTTAATGAGGAAGATATTAGTCTTTATTGTAATTGTTTAATTAGCTGTCGGTATATGCACACAAAACATACCTGGGAAAATTATTCAGTAATTTTAATATTTCTTGTTTATTTTTACCATATTCATGATACAGTTTTAATGATACCATATTTTAATAAATATACCATATTTATGATAAAGTTTAGCTGAAAAAAATTCAGCTAAAATTTATTAGCTAACTCAGAATGTTTGTATAAGATAGCCTTGAAGAAATTTGTTCAGAATGGAAATTAATAGGTGTAGAGTAATATTTTTATTGTATTCTCTGCTATGCTATGAATGTTTTTCCATTTGGTATTTGTGTATTTTTCTTTTTCTGTTAACAAAAATATATTTCATAATATGACTCAGATATTAAAAAAAAGTACTTACTGATGCATCAGACATTGAGAGGGTCTTTCTCTGTGGTGTGGCGAGTTAATCTGCCGTGTGCAGCATCGCATCCCATGTGGGCTCAAGTTGTGGTCTCAGCTGCTCCAGTTCTGATCTGTCTCTGCTGACACACCTGGGAAAGCAGTGGAGGATGGTCCAAGTGTTTGGTCCTGGCCACCCACATGGGAGACCCAGAGAAGCTCAGGTCTCCTTGCTTTGGCTTGGCCCAGGCCTGGCCTTTGTGACCATCTGGGTAGTGTGGATGAAAGATCTTTGTCTCTGCTTTTCTCTAACTCTGCCTTTCTAATACATAAATCTTCAAAAGATATTTAGTGAGCATTCACTCTTTTAGATGCTATTTGGGTAAAAGCAGTTTCATGGTAAATGATTTTATTATTTAAAATATATTATTTGTAAATTCATTGTTACAAACCAGGGTGCATAGGATTTAACTGATAGAATATTTACTATAATTGTCTTAAATACACATGTGTACATGTAAATATGGAGATGCTTTAAAATGAATGAACTAAATTTACTTTTGTACTAACCATATAGTTGGTATTAATGAGAAAACTGAATTAACATGATTATTCAGTTATTACTTACATGATTGAGTTATGACTTTGCTAATACGTGGAGAGAGATGGTGCATCTTGGTGGTGAGAGGGACGTAGTGTTCCGTAGTTTCAGTTATCCTTTTGTAAAGTTTGGTTGAAAATATTTCTTAAACACAATATGGCTTCCATTTCTCCTTTGTTTCTCATTTAATAATAAAGTAGCTGCATAACCAAATATTATCAGATTTTCAGTATAAATTAAAAAGCCTTCCTGGTTTTTTTTTTTTTAATGTTTTCTCCCTTTCGTTTTAAAAACAAAATCATAGCAGAATGTAAAATCACCATCTAAAAATTTTGGTTTAAATCCTTTGGTTTTGTTCTGAAATAATTTAAAATTTAATAAAAGTTGTAAGAATAACATGAAACTCCTATATAACTACTTTATTCATGTTAATAAGAAAACATGTCAAGGTGTTAATTATGTAATTGTTTTCTTATACATATTTGCCAGTACCTGTAGATTTTATATATATACATTTGTTTTGTGTGGTATTCAGAGAAAACATGTGTTCATATTTTTAGATATTAAAATTTAAACTGAAACAAATTGGTTATTATACAGAAATTTAGCAGCCAGGAACAGTTAGAAAAACTACAATGAGGCTTCTGGGGTCATTCTGATGTTGTGTAAATACATATTCTTGTTGTTTGTTTTTATGTTTTGATTCCAAGGTCACCAGAGAGACCCACAGGGGATCTCAGAGAAAGAATGAAAAATAAGCGTCAAGATGTGGATGCTGAGTCCCAGAAACGGAATGCAGAGGAGTCTTCCTCACCTGTTAGGGTAGGAATTAATTGTCCAAAGTAAATCTGAATTTCAGTAGTGATTGTTAGCTAAGTTCTATTTTAAGCATTATCTTATGGCAGATGTGTAATATGGCATTAGAATGTTCATCATGGGTAATGATAAAAATTCTCTGGAAAATTGTTTTTTTTTTCTGTTCTTCAGGGTAGTTGAAATGGAAGAGATTGTCCTCACCCAAGCTGAATGCAACAGGCTTTTTTGTGTCTGAACTGAGAATATGAGTATCTGAATATATTGTTACATTTTCAAAATTTGGCCAACCATCACATACTTCTTCCAAGGAAGATTAAAAAGGGCTAACAGTAAAATACTCACAAATGAGAACAGTGGTAGCAGTGCAGCAGGTGACAGAAAGTGAATTAGAAAGCTTAGCTAAAGGAAAGCAGCTTTGAATTTGCTGACAGTGAAGCCAAAAGAGAAATAACAGTTTGTGATTTAGTTCATTAAGTAAAAGAAAAATGTGTCAGGAGTAGAATCTTTCCCACAATCAATTTTTTTCAAGAAACTACTTTTCTGACACAAATAAAATTCACACACCATATAGTTCACTTATTTAATGTGCACATCAGGGTTTTTAGAATATCCAGTTGTGGACTATTTCCATTACTCACGCTTGTCTTGACACACTCTCCACTAGTCTAGAATACCTGTTGAGCCAGTTCTGAGCGGCCTTCTTTGACTAGCTTCCTTCATTTGACATAGTGTTTTTGAGGTTCATGACCCATATAAGCTGTATTGGCATTGTATTCTTTGCTTTTCTAATTATTATTATGTTCCATTGACAGTGTTTTGGTTTTCTGTTCATCAATTGATGGATATTTGGGCCGTTTCCCAATTTTTCCATGTAGGCTTGTGTACATTTTTTGTTTGAACATATGCTTTTATTTTCTTATATTTATGCCAGGGAGTAGCTTGCTGAGTCATAGTGAGTATTTTTAGCCTTTTGAGGAATTGCTGAACTGTTTCCTTATGTGGCTGTACCATTTATTGTTTTTTAGAAAATGTACTTTTTCAACTGATACGTAGTAGTTTTACATTTCTATATGCGATTCCATTCATACATATATTGTTGGAAAGATCAGTTTAAGGTAACATATCTGTCATCTCAGACATCATTTCTTTGAGTAATTTTGAAATACTCAAGTTGTTACCATCGTTATCCTACCTTGTTTTGGAACACTAGGGATTATTCCTTTTATCTGACAACACTGCTTAGCGCATCGACCATACTGCATCCTTTCCCGTTAAATACTCTTGGCAGCAGAATATGGGAGGTTCCCTGTATCTTTCCTAACACTTCACCATTATCATTTTGATTATAACTATTCTGCTGGATGTGAAGGGACAATAAGTTTGATTTTTTTTTTGTACACTCCCTGATAACTAAAGGTGCTAAGTATCTTTTTATATGCTTTTGTACTTTTGTGAAGATCCTTTATTCATTAAATTTTTTGAGGTGTGAGAGTTCTTTGCATTTTAGACATAAGTCTCATATATTTGCAAACATCTTCTTCCATTCTGTAAATTATCTTCATGTTCTTCATCATGTTCTTAAAACCCAAAAGTTTGGGCCCAGTGCGATAGCGTAGTGGTTAAAGTCCTCGCCTTGAATGTGCTGCAGTCCCATATGGATGCCAGTTCTAATCCCAGGGGCCCTGCTTCCCATCTAGCTCCCTGCCTGTGGCCTGGGAAAGCAAACGAGATTGGTTGTAATGGATTTTTAATAAGTAACATTTACAGTATTTTTGCTATAAATTCTAACTCCATGTCTAGTTTCAAATTGTCAAAGGTATGTCACTGAACAGTTGAAAGAGTTAATGTTTATACCATTCTGTAGTATATTCAGTAATTTTACTGTCATTATGCAGTATCACATATAGTGTTCATACTATAAATATTATCTTTTTAACATTTTTAATCAGTTTTAACAAATCAGTATTGTTTGCAGATGCTTTTGTAAGACTGTAGTACATTTCCGATCTTCCTCCTTCTCTCTCTCCCCTACCCTCCTGCCTTCCCTTTATTTTTTTTTCCCTGTGGGATAGTATTTTAAATATTTTAAATTTATATTATAGTAAAAAAGGCTTAATGCTGGAATCATCAAGTCCAGTATGCATCCACAGGTTCACTCCCCAAATTAGTCATCTTATATGTAATACAGTAAAGTTTAGGGGGCAGTTATATTAGAATTCTTTACACTTGATCTTAGCCAAAAAGCCAAGAAGTGATGTTAGAATTCTTTAAAAAGATTTCAAAGAGTGATTTGTGTTTTAAGGAACCAAATTATATGGCTGATGGTGCTCAGAAAGAAGTTTGAGCATTTAATATCTTTATATTTTAATGTCTTATACTCAATAGTGTAAATAAAAGGGAGAATTTTACTGTGGTGGAAAAATAATTGTGTGACATTGGTTATTCCCTTTACTTAGCATCTAATTAAATGTAGTTTCAATCTGATATAACAAAACATTTACTTAATTTTATAAAATGAATTACTGTTCTGTAATATGTATAAGCTCTTGGTATACCTGAAGTAAAATGTAAAACCTGGATTTTAGCCACAGTATTAAAGACTAATTTGCTAAGGCTATTGGTAACAGCATTTAGTTTTATTAGTATAAATGAAATCTCTTTTTAAAAGTGTCTTTATGAAATTGTTGAAATCTGGGTTTATCTGCAGGTGTTTAGAAAATGTCTTATTTTAATTGATACTGAATTTTAGGTTAATTATGTTATTTGAAATTCTATGAATTAGCCCTCATTTACTTGTTTTTAAACATGGTTATATACAGTTTCTGTCATATTATTTTCTTTTTAGCCTCATTTCCCTGGTGATTTTCACTTAGAAACTCAGTATGTAGTAGAATATCAAATACTTGTTAAGGTATTAAATTTGCTTTGTATGTTTTAAAATCTTAACTGCTCTACGTTTACCAAGTACTGTTCTTAAGTGGAATGGATGTAGAATAGCCTTTTCATTGGGGTGCTACACTAGAACCTATCATTTTATCTACTTGGTCGAAAAGGTGCTATTTATAAAATTAAGTCTTTGGTGAAGCAAAGCTGGGGGAAATGAAAATGTTCTGTAGTGTAATACCTATCTTGGAGAGTTGTTTAAAAGTATTTTTTTCTATATGTATATATGTGCTTTTTAGAAAGAATCTTCAAGAGGGAGACACAGGGAAAAAGAAGACATAAAAATCACAAAGGAGAGAACTCCCGAAAGTGAAGAAGAAAATGTGGAATGGGAAACAAATAGAGATGGTGAGTGTCAAAAATCTTTTCTTATGCAGAGAATTTGTTACTCGCTTAAAGGTTGTGGGCTTCAGAACAGCTTTCAGCTATGATCTTCTAATTGTTTCAGAATCATCTTATTGGTCTGTTTCTATCCTGCTGAGTTACAAGGTGGAAATAGCAGAATAAAGGAAGAGAAAGCAATTTGTGCTGTGGATTTTAAGTTCCCCATCTTTTGCCTCACTCCCATATAACTTTACTTTGTGATTTCATAGTTCTTAAAGTTTTTGTTACATTTATACATTTTTAAATTTACACTACTAAATTCTAGCATCTAAATTTATATTTATTTTACATAAATTCTAAAAATGGGTTTTTTAAGTCTTAAGTCTTGGAAAAGTTCCAAAAAAATTTGGCTTTCCTTTTTCAGAAGAAATTCAAGTCAAATTGTAATTAAGTCTTGTTGTTTATTCATGAAAAGTTAGCCAAGACATCTTTGAACCATTATCTTAAGATCAGTGGAACAGAATAGAAACACCAGAAGGGAGCCCACACATGTATAGTCAACTAATCTTTGACAAGAAAATTGAAAATAACCCAGGCAAAAATCCTGGTCTATTCAACAAATGCTGTTGGGACAACTGGATAGCAGCATGTAGAATTAAGAAGCAAGACTCACACTTGTCACATTACACACAAATTAACTCTAAATGGATCAAGGACCTAAATCTACACCCAGAAACCATCAAACTATTAAAAGGAAACATAGGAAGCACACTCCAAGATACAGGAACAGAGAAAGACTTCCTAGAAAAGATGCCAAAAGCAAAGGCAATCAAATCCAAAATGAACAAATGGGACTACATCAAACTAAAAAGCTTCTGTACAGCAAAGGAAATATTTAACAAAGTGAAGAAGCAACCAACAGAATGGGAGAAAATTTCTGCACACTATAGAAGTGATAGGGGACTAATATCCAGGATTTACAAAGAGCTTCAGAAACCCAGGGACAGCCAAAAAAACCAACCCTGTAACAAAATGGGCAACAGAAATGAACAGACTTTTCTCAAAAGAACAGATTCAGATGGCTAACAGACATATGAAAAGATGCTCAGGTTCCCAGCCATAACAGAGAGACAAATGGAAACCACGTTGAGGTACCCCAGATTCCAGTGAGACTGGCCTACATTCAGAACTCAACTAACACCTTCTGGCATAGATGTGAGGAGAAAAGTACCCTCCTTCACTGCTGGTGGGAGTGTAGGCTTGTACAACCACTGTGGAAATCAGTATGGAGAGGGCTTGGAAAATTGCAAATAAACCTGCCATATGACCCAGCTATCCTGCTCCTAGGCATATTCCAATAGAAATGAGATCTACATGTGAGAAGGGGATCTGTAATACTATATTTGCAGCAGCACAATCTGCAATAGCAAAGACATGGAAACAGTCCAGATGTGTATCCAATGAAGAGTGGTTAAAGAAACTGTGGTACATCTATTCCATGGAATATTATTCAGCCATTAAGAAGAATGAAATTATTCCATTTACAGCCAGGTGGTTCCAACTAGAGACCATTATGCTCATGAAATGAGTCAATAACAAAAGAACAAATACCATATATTCTCTTATATAAGGAAATCAATATGGAAAGTGTAACTCCAATAGTCCAATTTGTTGTTGTTATGGCTGTTCTAACTCATACCAGTTGTTAATCTTGTTTCATGGCTTCTCACTTATGGTAATATATAGTGATGGAGTAATGGGGTCTATCATATACAGACATGGGGGTATAATGGAACATGCATCCCTACTTCCAGACAAAAGATGGACCCAATGAAACTGTTGGACATGTGTACACAATGGGGTGCTGGACTGTCTGACATTGTACCAACAATGTTGGGGTACACTTAAATAAGAGACTGATAGAATTATGATTCCTTACGAAGGACTATATTATTGTAACAAAATGGAAATGATCTGACTGGGGCAGTGGGAGTTTAAAGGGGAATCCCAGCCTACATGAAATTGTGCCACATAATTCAAAATTCAAAATAAAAATACATTAAAAAATGCACTTATATTTCTCTGTTTCTTCATCAGTTAACAGTTTTCATATCCTCATGAGAGAATTAGTAAATCTGAAAGATAATATAGTACTGTGGAAATAGTTTTGATCTTGAGGCTGGTGTAATGGTACAGTGTTTGTGGCCACCAAGGTCACTTTGGCATCCCATATTCAAATGCTGATTCAAGTCCCAGCCACCTTGCTTTCTGTCCAGCTTTTTGCCAATGCACCTGGGAAGGCAGCAAAAAGATGTTCAAAGGACTTATGCTTCTGCTTTTGGCATGGGAGACCAGACTGATGTTCCATGCCCCTGACTTTGAACTGGCCTGAGGAGTGAGCTGGCAGATGGAAGGTCTCTGCCCACAAGACATTGTGGTTTTTATTGGGGGTTTTATTATAACATATGTGTGAAATAAGTACTTCCTGAGTAAAAGCTTGTGAGCTTTTCCTTTGAGAAATTGTGTTAACTGTAGTACATTGATTCTGATTTTTTTTTTAACCCTGTAGGTCTTTTCTCCGTTAGTTGGGTGGCTGAGATTGAGGAATGAAAACAAGCGTGTTACAGGCTTATATGTTGTGTCTGCCTAGCATTTCCAGAGAACAGTTTTTGGATGGGCAAAGCATTATTGACAGTACTTTAAGACCACTGTTAATAATATTTCTCATTTATTCCTTCATTTGTTTTCCATGAGTGTTTGGTAATAGGTTTTGATTTAATCTGAACATGCTCAAACTTGGTCATTAGATCTGGCGATAGTTGCTGCTGATTAAGTTGAATTTCATTTTGGTGATGATTTTATCTATTAAGAACATGTGCTCAAATATTTAGTAGTTACTCTCTGAGTGAAAAATTTGATATATTTTATATGTATTTACTGAAAAATTGTCAGTCATTCTGCAAAGGAAGATGAATGATCAAATTTAGCCACATAGCTATCACTTTACTATCCTCTTAGTCCCCAAGTGTGAATGGGTAATTGCACTTTAATGGATTTGAACTATACATGATAATGATATCCACTTTGTTAGGATTAAGCAGTCATGTTGGATACTTTTTATTGTGCTTTAGTTCTTCATTTTGGTTGTTAACTCTGTTAAGAAATGATCTTATGTGCAGAAACTGTTTCTTGAGAATACACCAAAGCTTGTAATTGGTCAAGCCCAACAGGATCTATGTTTTAGTGAAGACAGTGAGATTCCTACCTCTGACCTTCTTAATGTGAGGACAGATGTGAGGCGCTTCGTACTAGTAGCCATTGAAAATATGTTTTGTAATGAAATGGATTTGCATAATACACTTCTTTTACAATTAAAAATGAGTCTTCATATTTTATGCATCTGATATATAGGTTTAAGCTCCTGATGATACTTCCCACCCTCTTTGCTTTTCTTTAATTTTTCCTTTTAATACTTACTGTCACATATACTTCCCACTCTTTGCTTTTAAAAAATCTTTTCTTTTACGATTTACAGTAACATACTTAACAGTTTACTTTATAGTCAGAGACTTAACCCTCCACTAAATAAAGAATTCAGTAGAAAGACCACACTTGTTCACAGGAGTAGGACTATAAACAATAATAAAATCTGAAGATGCCATTTTAATCATATTCATTACTTTTTTTGATGATCTGTACATTAACTACCAAAACCTTCATCTTTTTAGGATGTAAGAGGGACAATTCCCATGCCCTATTCGTTTTAAAATTACTTTCAGTGACTTTGGGTTAAGGGCCAAATCTAAAACCTTGTAACTCAGTCCAGGTCTCTCTAATGAGTGGCAGGGAGCCATTCACTTGCTCCATCACTCCTGCCTCCCAAGGTCTGCATTAACAAGTACTGATGTCAGCACCAGAAGCAAGCATCAAATCTAGGCACATGTATGGGTGCTGGGAGTCTTAATTGGCATCCCAAGACCTGGGCACAATATCTGCCCAAACCTTCAAATCCATTCCTCAGAAAAGATTGAATAGAAACAGAAACATGGCATTAGATCTATTGAGATGCACAGTAGTGTAGGCAGATAGTACACATCACTTGTTAGTGAAGTTTTATAAAGTCTCAGAACTTGTTTATTCACTCGCTAAAAGTTAACTTTAGTTTTAGATATATCAGTTGTCTCACAAAAAGGAATATCTAGCAAAACGATAGAAACGGTGTTACATAGCTAACATGACCTACCATGAATAATGAACCGCAATGCATGCACAGTGAAGGGCTTTGGGACCTCTAGTACCTCAACTATCTTTAAAATATCCATTTCTTAACAACAAAAATATCCAACTTTCAGAACACCTAGACATTGTAAAGTGTGAGGCTTTTTACATATTATGATTTTTAAAGATTGACCTGCACAAACGTACCTATACATCTCTGAGTATAATAGTACTTTGATGCAATCACACAGCACGTGATGATAGGATTGGATTGAGTAGTGTGCCTGACACCCCAGATACGTGTTATTTCTTCGTGTTTGAAACACTAGAAGTCATTTCTTTATGCTGTTTTTTAAAAACACAGTAAGTTACTGATAAAGTTAACCTAATCTGCTGAAAAAAAATATCAAAATTAATTTCTTTGGCAGGCTGTCGGTGTGGCCTTTGTTTTAAACTGTGATTCTAGCGTCCATGTGAGGGCCAGTTTTGTCCTGGCTGCTGCCATCCATGTTGGAGACACAGATGAATTCCTAGCTCCTGGCTTCCAGCTGGCTCAGCCCCTGCAGCCATTTGGAGAGTAAACCAGCAGATGGGAGATATTTTATCTCTCTTTCTCTGTTTCTGTCTCTTGCTGTCTCTGTATAACACTTTCAAATAAATAATTCTTATAAGAAAAACCCTAATTCTTCTTAATCAAAATGTATTTTTATACCCCATAAGAAAATTGTTTTCATTCCTTCTTGCTCCCCTTCCCTTCTTAGCCTCTGGCAATCCATTTTCTGCTCTCTACTTCTATAAAAGCATATTTTTCCCTTAAAGATTGATTTATTTATTTGAAAGAGTTGCAGAGCAAGACAAGCCAACACACAGACCCAGAGAGAGAGCAAGCGAGTGAGCCTCCACTGACTGTATCAGCCAAGGCTGGGCCAGGCCGAAGCCAGGAGCCAAGGCCTTCATCTTGGTCTCTTGTGTGGGTGGCAGGGGCCCAGACGCTAGGACTGTTTTCTACTGCGTTTGCCAGGCTGTTAGCAGGGAGCTGCATCAGACGTAGAGCAGCTGTGGCATGAGGCAGCCCTGGTGGTGGCTTAGCTGCTACGTTACAGCACTGTCCTCCAAATCACCTTTTTAAATTTCCAGTTGCAAAGAAAATATGAGATATTTATCTGTCTGTGTTTTGTATGTTTTTACTCAACATAATGGTCTGTATTGAAGTGTGATTTTCAGCCATTATAGGAAGTGTTGCTGTCTCTTTTGCCTTTCGAAGTTTGTTATCCTCATCAAGTAATTTGCTGTTTTGTTTCTATAAGATTGTTTTTTAAACATTTTGTAGCATTTGGTATAGATTGTGATAGTTTCTGACATTTCCTGGACTCTTTTATCTTAAAGATTCTGACAATGGAGATATTAATTATGATTATGTTCATGAGTTATCATTGGAAATGAAGCGTCAGAAGATTCAGAGGGAATTAATGAAACTGGAACAAGAAAACATGGAGAAGAGAGAAGAAATTATCATTAAAAAAGAGGTATGATATTTTTACAATAAGTATGTGTTAGTAACTAATATAAACATAGATATTGATGTGAGAAATCAAAGCTTACTGCATCCTAAGTTCTAGGATATTAGTATATTTATCCACTCACTGTATGTCAGCTATTCCTTATATGTTAATCATTTAATCTTCATACTAACTCATTAGATAGAAATTCGTTTTCTTGTGAGCAGTGAACAAAACTGATTTTATTGCCGACAGTCACCAACTAATAGGAAATTGGGTTTGAGTCTACGTGTCTATCTTAGATTTCTGTTACTTCTAGAAGCTCTTGTTTAGTTTTTCATTTTAGTGTTATATATTTATTTAAAAAGGAAGAGGGAGAGTACACAATCTCCTACTCCTCAGTTTCCCATAATATCTTAAACTGGGCCAGACCAAAGCTAGGAACCAAGAACTGAATTCTTGGTTTCTTGTATGGATGGCACAAATCTAATAACTTGAACCTACTGCCTCCCAATGTGCACATTACCAGGAAATTGGAATTGGATGTAAGCTTTTGGTTAAACCTAGGCACTCTGATGGGATATGGTTATCTAAAGTGGCATCTTAACTCTTAGGCCAAAAACCACCTAACGCCCATTAAAGGATAGCACTATTATTCATGTGAATATAATTTGTGATTTTCTGAGGTTATTTTGAAGTTTCTGATTTGCCTTATTGATGTTAATATATGTGAAGGCAGTTATCACATTGGTTAAAAAACATGAGTTCTGTTGTCTGATGTCAATACATGATGCCTATGATAGTAATTAAATCTTAAAATTAAAAATACATGTTGTATTATGAGTACAGGAGGTTCTCACTTACTGAATTTTTTTTAAAGGTTTCACCAGATGTGATTAGATCAAAATTGTCTCCATCACCCTCTCTGAGAAAGTCCAGTAAATCTCCAAAGCGAAAGTCAAGCCCCAAATCATCTTCAGCTAACAAAAAAGACAGGAAGACCTCGGCAGTCTCGTCGCCCCTGTTGGACCAGCAGAGGTCAGTAGGGTAATAATTAGTGCCAGAATGAAAGTGTTTTTCTCAAGTGAGATGTAAGGAGCTAGTAAGTTATAAAATGAGAATTTTAAATACTGAGTCTATATTTGCTCTTAAAAAGTAAAATATTTCAGTTACAGAATAATGTAAAAAATATATTTCATGCTTATGTGCTTCAGAGCTTTTTATTTTCTAAGAAATGCATAAGGTACATTCTCTATCTTTTCCCTCTTCAGTTTGCTGTTTGTGTTGCTTGCTCATGGGTTCATAGTTTTAATTATGTCTTTTAATTTACAATACTGTTTGCATCTGTTTCATCAAATTAGAGAGGTATCATTATAACTTCTTTTACAACCTTTTTATTTGCACTTCTTCAGATTGGTATGTAGTCTTAGTTCATTCCTTTCAGTATTTGTACTACATACCTGCTTTTCTGCTAAATAGTTTGTTATTTTAGTTGCTGGTTGGTGAACTATCTTTTTGTCCTTGTTTACAGGAGTAAGTATGTTCCTATACTATATACCTAGTGGTATGAGTATTTACTTTCAATTATTGTAGTGGCTAGTTGAAGAAATAAAAATAGAAATATGATCAAATAAAAATGCAAATGATTAAATATTACTACACTGAGAGGCTAGACAGGAGGCTTTTCTAAAAAAAGATTTATTTATTTTTATTGGAAAGTCAGATTTATGGAGAGAAGGAGACACAGAAAGATCTTTCAACCACTGGCTTACTCCCCCAACTGACCGCAATGACCAGAGCGGAGATGAGCTGAAGCCAGCAGCCAGGAACTTTTCCAGGGCCTGCTACATAGGTGCAGGGTCCCAAAGCTTTGGGCCGACCTCAACTGCTTCCCAGTCCACAAGCAGGGAGCTGGATGAGAAGTGGAACAGCTGGGATATGAAGTAGCACCATATGGGATCCAGTGAGTGCAAGGCGAGGACTTAGTCACTAGGCTACCGTGCTGGGCTGTAGATAGGAGACATTTTTCACGTAATATGACTCTGTACTTTTTATACTTAATTTTAAAAAATTCTATTAAAGGCAACATTTTATGTATTTCATCTATATAATTCTAAGATAACCATACTTATTCTTATCCCCCTCTTGCTCTTTTTTTTTTAGTTTTCTATTAAAGCACTTTCAATTTATTTTGCAATTACAAAGTTAATGCACCACTAAAGTTGATGTTAAACAACTAAAATATGGGCCCGGCGCAGTGGCGCAAGTGGTTAAAGGTCCTCGCCTTGCACGCCCGGGATCCCATATGGGCGCCAGTTCTAATCTCGGCAGCCCCGCTTCCCATCCAGCTCCCTGCCTGTGGCCCGGAAAAGCAGTCGAGGACGGCCTAAAGCTTTGGCACCCTGCACCCGTGTGGGAGACCCGGAAGAGGCTCCTGGCTTCGGATCGGCATAGTATCGGCCCGTTGCGCTCACTTGGGGAGTGAATCATCTGACGGAAGATCTTCCTCTCTGTCTCTCCTCTCTGTATATCCGCCTTTCCAATGAAAAAATAATAAAAATAAATCTTTAAAAAAAAAAACAACTAAAATATAACAAGATCATTGTTCTGTGGGAACATAGACAGTGACCCAAACAATAGTCAATTCATAAGGTGTTAGTTTCATTCTTAATTTTTTGTATTCTGCTAGTTATCACATGATTCAGAAAATATAATACTCGATGCATTTGATTTAATAAAGTACATACACTCTTTTTGTTTAAAATAAAAATAAATGGCCTAAAACCCTCCTCTTTGCAATGTTTGATCTGTTGGAAAAACCTCTCAAACTCTTTAACTATTAATTTTTTCCTTGTTTCTGGAGATTCCAACCCTACTTCAGACTCCAGTTCCTTTTTTTTAGATGGTTATACGATCTTACTGTTTAGTTAATGTAATATCTTCCCCTAGACAGAAAAATACATGTTCATTCACTTCTCCTGTTAATTTTATAGTTGCTGCTAGAGAAATCTTAAAGATCCCAGTTGATTGACAAACTCAGTGAATTCTACTTTCTGTGGAATGAAATTCAGACTCATTAATGGCAGTCATGCTTCAATTTTACTGTTTTCACCAATATTCTTGTCTGCTTTTTTCTACCTTTTTCTTCCCCATTCCCTTCAAACTCTAGCAGTATTTCCCATTGAGTTTCTCCTTTTGTCATCGGACATAAATTCTTTTTGTTTATGAACCCATCAAGTTTTATATATGCCTTCCTGTTAATATTAGTTGCTTTTTGCATTGTATTTCAACTGTGACATGTATATCTTAAAACTTCTAATAAATTTAAGCTCCGTGAAAATTGCGATTTGGAGGGTTCATTATTCTGTTATCCCATAGCACTCTCTTTACATATAATTTTGCATTATAATAAAGCATTCGCTAAAGTTGACTTCATCCTCTTTCTTAGTACTAAGTCAGTATTGTAGAGGATAATGAAAGGATTGAATTATAAAGTGATGCAGTCTTTTCTGTTTGTTCTTAGTTTCGTTTTCTTCATATAACCTCTTTATTAGTAACTCATCCTTTGGTTTACCTGATTTAACCATTATGTAATTGACCTTAAAATATACCATTAACCTAATAATAGGAGAAAAAGGACCTGAAAAAGAATCACATTAATAATACAAAATAAGCACTTGTTATTTATTTTAAAGATTTTCTTTTTACATTTTTATTGGAAAGTCAGATACACAGAGGAGGAGAAATGGAGAGAGATCCTCCATCCCCTGGGTCATTCTCAAAGTGGCCACAGTGGCTGGAGCTTAGCCAGTCCAAAGCCAGGAGCCAAGAGCTTCTTCTGGGTCTCCCACATGGGTGCAGGGTTCCAAGGCTTTGGACCTTTCTCTATTGCTTTCCCAGGCCACAAGCAGGGAACTGGATGGGAAGTAGTGCAGCTGGAACACAAACTGGTACCCATTTGGTATGCGGTGCATGCAAGGAAAAGACTTTAGCCACTAGGCTACCATGCCAGGCCTAGTGGTGCTTTCTTGTGCTTCTGTATAAGGAAGCGAAACAAGAGATGTGGATGACAGGTTAATTCTGTGTTAGAAAACTCCAAGAGATATGGTGTTAGAGAACTTATAGACACTGGAATACAGAGCATGCAGAAAGGAGAGGCAAAGATCTTCCATCCACTGGTCTCTCTCCAAATGGCCAAAACAGCCAGAGCTGAGCTAATCCAAGGCCAGAAGCCTGGAGCTTCTTTCTTAGTCTCTCATGTGGGTTTAGGGGCTCAAGGACAGAGCTATTTTTGATGGCTTTCCCAGACCATAAACCCAGAGCTGGGTTGGAAGTGAAACAGCGAGGATATGTAGCAGCAATGGTATGGAATGGTGTTGGCAAAATAAGTAGCAAGTACATTAAGTCTGTGCTCATTTCAATGAATTATTTATGAATATGGGTTACTAACATACATATAGTAAAAGCCAAGTAATCTAAAGTAAAGCCACCATTGTTAAGACACTTAGAATTTTTCCTTTTCACTTTCCAGAAATATTTGGACCTCTAATGATAGGCTCTTGTTATATTTAGGAATTCAAAAAGCAACCAGAGTAAAAAAAAAGGACCACGTACTCCTAGTCCACCTCCTCCAATACCAGAAGATATTGCTCTGGGGAAAAAATATAAGGAGAAGTATAAAGTTAAAGATAGGATAGAAGAAAAACCGAGAGATGGAAAGGACAGAGGACGAGATTTTGAAAGACAGAGAGAAAAAAGAGATAAACCCAGGTAAGTAGGCTTGTATGTTTTAACATTACTGCTCTATAGAATCTACATTGTTTATTTTTCAGAAGTTTTAGGCCTTTGTGTAATTGAAATTTTTTGTCCAGCTGTGTGTATGTGCTTAATTCCAATAATTGGTCATGGAAATTCAAATAACATTAACTTTCAGATTTTATTTTTGAAATATTTATTGGTGATGAGCACATGAACTTTATTATGTTAATCATTTTGAGTTCAGAATTCTGGAACATTTCCATCTTGTATGTAAAATTCTGTACCCTTCCAGCAATAACTCATCTTTAGCCCATTACCCTCAGCCTTAGTAACCATCTTTCTGCTTTGTGTTTCTGTGAATTTGAATGCTTTAGTTATCTCATAGAAGTGAAATCCTGTAGTACTTGTGTTTTGAGACTTATTTCATTTAGCTTATTGTTTTCAGTATTGTAGCATTTGACTAAATTTCCTTCTGTTTTGAGGCTGAGTCATAATATTTCATGTGGCATTCACTGCGTTTTGTTTATCCATTAGTGGGCATTTGGTTTGCCTCCACCTCTTGGTTATCCTGTGATTGCTGCTATGAGCATGGATTTGCAAATATCTTTGAGTCCCTACTCCTGGTTCCAATTCCTATTTCTTTGGATACTTGAAGAGGTTTCAAAAAGTTTGTGGAACATTGAATTAAAAAATGATGTATGTTTTCCATTATCGTTTGAAACTCTCATATAGCCAGAAGTGAGATCACTGAAATGCATTGCTTCATTTTCACAGTTGTTTTCTAATTTTCATACTGCTGTTCGTTTTTGATTAGAAAAAGTACTTTTTGATTAGAAAAATACTTTATATCCTTTCAGTCTTGAGTAGCTGGAACTTGTTTTGTGAACTAATGTGATCTTTCCTGAAGAATGACCCACATGCTTTTGAAAAATGTGTATTTTACTCTTATTCGGTAGAGAGTTTTGTAAATGTCTGTTAGGTCCAGTTGGTCTGTAATGTCATAGAAGTGTTCTGTTTTTCTTAAAATCTCCCATTTGGAAGATAATGAATGTTAACCTTTTGATGAAAATGGAATTCAAACAGCTGGACAGTGAAAGACCCAAGGAACTTCTCAATTTCTGTTCTTTTTGAAAAATAGTGTGATTGTTTCAAAGTTTAGAATTTTGCTCACCTGCATTGACTAATTTAGATTTTTTCGAGAAGGCTTGGTGGGTTTTTTCCCTTAGTTTAGCATAGAAATAAAAAGCTGAGGGCCCGGCACAATACCATAGCAGTTAACGTCCTTGCCTTGAACACACCAGGATCCCATATGGGCTCGGTTCTGATCCAGGCAGCCCTGCTTCCCATCCAGCTCCCTGCTTGTGGACTGGGAAAACAGTGGAGGACGGCCTAAAGCCCTGGGACCCTGCACCCGCGTGGGAGACCTGGAAGAGCTCCTGGCTCCTGGTTTCAGATTGATTCGGCTCCAGCCATTGCAGTCACTTGGGGAGTGAACCATCTGATGGAAGATCTTCCTCTCTGTCTCTCCTCCTCTGTATATCTGACTTTCCAATAAAAATAAATAAATCTTTAAAAAGAAATAAAAAGCTGAGAATGACTTGGATAGAGTTTTGTTTGAGAAATCACAAGGTGTACGCGTACTGAAAAGGGAAAGCACTTCCCAGGCCCGGGCCCGGAGGTGGGGTGCCTCTTGAAAGGAGAGGTTTTCGGGGAAAATGTTCCCAATTGGTGATTTCTCAACCAGTTAGGAAATGGCTAGATAATTTTTTTTATTAAAGATTTATTTATTTTTATTGGAATGTCAGATTTACAGAGAGAAGGAGAGACAGAGAAAGATTTTCCATTTGCTGTTTGCTGATTCACTCCCCGAGTGTCCGCAATGGCTGGAGCTGAGCTGATCTGAAGCCAGGATCCTCTTCTGGGTCTCCCACTCATGCACAGGTCCCAAGCCTGCTTTCCCACGCTACAAGCAGGAGCTGGAAGGGAAGTGGAGCAGCTGGGACATAAACCAGTGCCCATGTGAGATGCTGGGGCGCATACAAGGTGAAGACTCCAGCCTCTGGTCTACCGGACAGAGCCCTGCTGGGCAATTCTCATGCCACCCACTTGAAAGTGTGGCAAGAATTTAGCAGGTATAGGTGGTTTCAGACTGTGATTTAATAAATTCTTTTTAACAACAAATGAGAAAATTTTCTAAGTTTGTAAAAACAAGCAACAGAGGCTGGCATTATTGTGTGGGTTAATCTGCAGCTTGTGACTTGGACATGCTGTGTCAGACTGGCTGCGCCACCTCAGATCCAGCTGTCTGCTGATGCTCCTGGGAAGGTAGTGGGAGACATCCAGTGGGTGCAAGATCCCTTCCTCTCTCTCTGCCACACTGCCTTCCCTATAAATAAAATATACATGTCTTTAAAAAATAAAACTAAAAACATATGGCCTCTTAATTTTTTTTTAAGATTTATTTTTATTATTTTTTTATTGGAAAGGCGGATATACAGAGAGGAGAGACAGAGAGGAAGATCTTCCGTCCGATGATTCACTCCCCAAGTGAGCGCAACGGGCCGATGCTAGGCCGATCCGAAGCCAGGAGCCTCTTCCGGGTCTCCCACGCGGGTGCAGGGTCCCAAAGCTTTGGGCCGTCCTCGACTGCTTTCCCAGGCCACAGGCAGGGAGCTGGAAGGGAAGCGGGGCTGCCGGGATTAGAACTGGCGCCCATATGGGATCCCGGGCGTGCTAGGCGAGGACCTTAACCACTTGCGCCACCGCGCCGGGCCCGGCCTCTTAATTTTTTGAAATCTATTTTCGTACTACTAAAGATATTTTAAAATAAAAATTTGCTTTGTAATACTTGATTTTATTATAAAAAGTCAGCGTAGAGGCAGTATTTTTCCAGGTTCATGAAATTTATGAAATGCATACGGATTATGTAGGAACACAGTCTCTTTTTTTTTTTTCATTTTTAATTTGTTTCCAGGTTTCCTTTTTTATGAAATTAGTATTTCATCAAAAAATTGAGATTTTTCCTTCTTGAGTTATAGGGTAATGGAGAATGCAGAAGCTTCCAAGTTAAATAAATAGGAAATTTTTTGGAAGACATGGAATGAATATGCAGGTTTTCAGGTGAAATTATTTGCATTTTGAATGAGTTTTCTTTTTTATTTTCACATTTTTTCCCCCAAATCAAGCATACTTTAATTATTCTCACCATGCTACTTTATATCCTTTGTTATAGCAGCATTAAAAAAGCTAGTCAGGCTACAGGTCACTTTTCCCTAAGTGCTGTAAAATATAGTCTTCCTGTTGATGTTATAGATTTTCTTTTTATGTTATTGAACATCTCTTCATTCAGTATCATTTTTACTTTATGTGAATTTAAGATTTTACCTGTGGTTTTTTCCTTCAGATAAGAAACCAATCAGCTCAATAGTGTAAGAGAATTTTGGGCAAATTCCTTTGCTTAGAAACAAACCTTTCATATAATCAGAAAGGAAGTGGGTCCAGGTTTAAGTGGGCTTACGTTTATGGCTTGACCCATCTTATTTTAGTAACCAGAGAGGCCTTTTTTTAGTAACTGGATCTTTTATCTTTCTTAATGATTAGACTTTTAAAGATAACAGAAACAAAAATGTAAATTGAGTCAGTTTTTAAATGCATTTTTCCCCCTAAAAGCTAATTAAGAAGAAAATATTATCAAAATGCTGAAATACCAATACTGGACAACCCATTAGCATTCTGGCTTTAATATGCCAACTTGATTTTCATAAGTTTGAACTGAGCTTTTTTTCTTTCATACTGTAGATGTGAAGCTTAAATAGAAAGTGATTAGATTATGCTGAGGGCTTTTTTATCTCTGAGAGATGGTATGTGTAAAACATTTAATTTCTTAGGTTCCGTTATAAACTAAACTATTATAAACATCTTTTAAACAGTTTTAAGTCTACACCACAAAACAAACTGAAAACTAATCGAACAATCAGTTTAAAGAGACTTGGTTTTTGTTTGTTTGTTTCATTAATTTAAGTAGCTCTGAGTTATCTGGAGCCTAATCACATTGAGATTGTAAAGAGATGATGGAGATTTTTCTGTTCAGTAGGTTACATTTGAATGCCCATTTATCATAAATGATTCTCCAAGTCTGGTTAAGACTTATTGAGCATTTTTCCTAGTATCTCTAATAAATTTTACTTAGCGTCAGTTAAATTCTAGTGACATTAAAAGCTACAGAATTACAGATAATTAGATGTTTAGGACAATGTAGTGTTCTAAGTAGCATATGTCTGTTTTTTAAGCAGCTGTTAACCAGAAAGTGTTTTTGTTTATTTGCTTAACTTCTTTTTCTGCAGATGTTTGTAATATCTTGGATCATTTTCCTAACTTACTTACTTGTTTCAAAGATTTAGAGCATTTATTGAAAAAAGGTCTACTAAGACGTCATTTTTACACTAGATCCTAGCCACAAGACCGAGAAGTGATTAGGGCATCATGTTTAATCTACATGGATTGAGGTGGTTATTTTTGGCTGGGATTTTTGCTTCTTAGGGGACATTTTGTAATTTGGAATAATTTTTTTATAGTCACAACCTTGTGGGAGAGATAATCTTTATCATAAGCACTAAATGGCAATTCCACAGTATGTTGACTGGAACAGCAGAATTTTTAAAAAATAATCATCTAGCCCCTGAAGTGAATACTTTGAAGAATATGGTACTTTTCTAAACATGTAATGTTTAGAAATGTTACATTTTGAATATTACTGCTGCAGCCAGTTAAGCCATGGTTTGCAATGCCAGTATTGCATATGAGCATAAATTGAATCCCAACTGTTGATCTAATTCCTTGCTGATGGAAAAAGCAAAAGAAGATGGCCCACGTGCTGGTGTCCCTGCAACTGAAATGGGAGACCCAGATGGATTTCTGCAATCCTGGCTTCAGCCTGGCCCAATCTCAGTTGTTACCGCCATTTGGGAAGTGAATCAGGACATAGCAGATTGAACTCTCTACCCATTCCCTCCTTCTCTATCTGTAACTCTGCCTTTAAAGCAAATAAAGCAAATCTTTTAAAAATAGGAAAAATAAACATTAGTTGTGTTTGTAGTTATTCACAGGTTTGTGTACTCCAGCTCTCCATTCACACACATTGTATGTGTTTGGTGTGAACAGTGCCTGGGAGCAACATTCTAGGAGGCATCGAGCTTGTGGTTCTAAGTTGCTTCTCTGGTAGCAGTGAAAAATGCTTTGAAGGAAAGGGTAAAAGCCTTACTTAAACCAAGAATTGTGTGTGAACTAAGTCTCAGTTTAGTTAATAAGGAAAGACAAATTTAAATATAAACACAGTATATACTCTTGTCCTTTGCTTAAGCATAGAAATCTTTCATAACCCTACATGTCAATCAAGGAAGAACAGACGTTTTGTTTGGCATACCTGATGAAAGTTTACTTTTTCTGAAAGCCAGGAGTTTACAGACTTTTTTACAGCTTTCTTTCTAGAACTCACTAATACATTTTCTCAATAATTGTTGGTGAGTTTTCCCTCTCTAATACTTACAGTGTCCTAGTGAATCCCATACTTCGTCTATGATTTAAAGAGAATATTGCTTGGGAAAATGACAGTGTGTCTTGATAGCTATGCTTGGGAGAAATATATTGCATATCTCTTCTAGTTCTGCCATTTTCAATTAACTTGAAAATTGTTCGCATATTTAGAAGGCTACTTACTTAAAATTTTGTATTTGAATTAAAGTTTGTCCTGAGGTTTATTTTTTTATATACATTTTAAGTCTTAACTTTTGCTCTCAGTTTTTTGGTTTTTAAAGCAGTGAATGCTCTTGAACACATTTCTTCCTTTGTTTTCTTTCTAGGTCTACTTCCCCTTCAGGACATCATTCTCCTATATCTTCTAGACATCACTCATCTTCTTCACAGTCGGGATCATCTATCCAAAGGCATTCTCCTTCTCCTCGTCGGAAACGAACTCCTTCCCCATCTTACCAGCGGACACTGAGTCCACCTTTACGGCGCTCTGCTTCTCCTTATGCTTCGCATTCCCTGTCTTCTCCTCAGAGAAAGCAGAGTCCTCCACGACATCGCTCCCCAATGCGAGAAAAAGGGAGGCATGATCATGAGCGAACTTCGCAGTCTCATGATCGGCGTCATGAAAGAAGAGAAGGTATGTTTAATGTTTATTTTTTCATAAAGTTCTTTTCATGAAATGATTAAAAAATTGAACATTCAGATTTATTGCCGTAAGAGATGAAGGGGGATTATGCTATATTAGGTATTCCAGGATGGAGTTGTTTACAGGCACCTGGAACTGCTTAACAGCACAGGAGTGCAGCTTAGAAATACACACAAATGGGCATTTAGAAGTATGCTAAGTTAGTGCTCTGTAGGGAAGCTGCTTTACTGAATACCCTTGAGTTTAAGGATTTTTAGCCATGTGACATCTTGAACGTCCCTTCCAGTTGTTAAGTTAATATCTAATAAAAGGAAAGTGGGGCTGGCAGTGTTGTATAGTGGGTTAACTGTGGCTGCATTCTGTATGGGGACCACTTGGATTCCCAGCTGTTCTGCTTCTGATGCAGCTCCCTATTAATGCACATGGGAAAGCATTAGAAGATGATCAAGTCCTTGGGACCCTGCCACTCATGCAGTAGTCCTAGGTGAAGTTCCACACTCCTTGCTTTGTCCTAGCCTCGCCCTGGCTGAATCATTTTGGGGCAGTAAACCAGCAGATGGAAGATACTTTTTCTCTAACTCTGCCTTTGAAATGAAATGAATGAATGAATGAATAATATCGAATAATGAATGAATAAATATTCCTTAAAAATTTTTTTCTGTCTCTACCTCTCTGTATCACTCTGCCTTTCAAGTTTGTAAATAAATCTTATCAAAAAAGTCAAGGAAGAAAAGGAAAGAAGCAAACCAGGCAGTGGGACTTCAGCATATCAGAAGTGTTTTATTAAAAAGATAAAGCCTGGGGGAAGCTATCCGAAGTGCAGCTTAAGCCAAGTAATCATTTCTTGGTGTTACTCGTTTAAAGGGAAGGAAGTAAGCAAAGCAGTTTAGCTTTCTAAATTCCTGGGCATCATATTAACTTCAGATTTACCATTTCCTGGCAATACATCCTAATAACACTCATCTATTTTTGTAAATCTTATTTAATAAATATTTTTCCTAACTTTTCTTGAATTAGTTCTTGAGCATAGTGTCCACTCAGGAAATACTTGACTAACTGCAAAATTTCTGTTTAATATTCATTTTAAGGGCTTGTTAATGAGTGTAGTATGGAGATTTCCTGTGATGGATGTTGAATTTAGTTATTCTTTTGATATCAGCAGTATAAGCAGTAATCAAATGTTAAATATGGAAGAATTGGGTTCTTTTATTTAGGAAAATGATTAGTGTTGAGGTAGAGCTTGGGAAAAGCATCTGTTTTATGGAATTACTCCTTATATACAGGATTTTGAACATTTTTATAGAGTACCTGATAAAACATCAACCTAGTAATGTTTATTCAACATGAATAAGATGGGAAAATTTTCTTAATACTTAAGCTATTACTTTTAAATAGTATTTAACAACTAGACTTGACCCAGATTATAGTGTATTTTTAGTGATTACTCTTTGAAGGGAAACTATTATAGTTAAACATAGTAGTGAAAGGGAAGTTGCACTTGAGTTTCCCAGAAGTGCTTTTTTATGGTAACTGCTTATCTTACAGGAAGGAGTTTATCTCAGTGTAGTTCTTTACCTTTTCCAGTAAGAGACACATTCTTGTTCCTCTGTTTAGATGTCATTTTCCAATTTCAGTGGAAGGTCAGGTAAGTTGTGAAAGTAGTCAACTTTATGTATTGTAAAGCCAGTTTGGAAGTATTGTGAGCAAAACATTTGGTGTTTGGGTTCTTGAGAAAGTAAATGGACCTAGTTACTGGAGGCAAAGAGAAAATGAGGCAGAGTTGTGATGTTTTAGTCATAAAGTTTCTGTCATTGCTTAAATAATCTTAGACTGAGACTGTTCTAAAGTAGTAAGAGGCATTTTGCAGAAGATTCTGATTAAAAAGGACAGGGTTTATTCTTTGGTATCTTATTGTTACTTCTCTGACTTTGTATCATATTTATGTTATAATCAGTTTGTGCCTTTTCTGTCATGCCTAAAGAGTAATTTCTAATCTTAGAAAAATTGATTTTGGGTCTCTCTTTGGCTATGATTGGTTAGCTTATCAGTGATGTTCATTCCGATTTTTTTTGAACTGTGGAAATATGGAAGGAAATAGTGTAAGTAGAGAAAATTTTAGAAACCGTTACATGAATGAGCTTGATACGATTAAGCAGGCTAGAAAAGAATGAGAGTGAGTAGTAGCACTGCCAAGCAACCAAGAATTATTCACTACTGGCAAGGCTTTAGCATATTTGACATGGCTATATGTGATCCACTTGAGCCTAACACTTGATAGGTGTGATTGAAAGTATTGTGCCTCTTGATCTAAAAGTGATTTTTTTTTAAAGTCAGTCATCAGTAATTCAAGACCAATTTATTTATGAATAGGATGGGGCAGGAGTCATTCAGAGTATCTAATCAGAAGTGTTGTCATCAATTGTGGTCAAATTGTCTGAATTTCAGTTACAGATAGTTGTAACTTTTTAATTACCAATGTCTTCTTCCCTTTTTCTGTGAAGAAAATAATAGTTTTTAAAGTTGTCTATTGTATGTTATCTAGTTCCTTGAAAAATTGTAAAAGGAATTAGTTTTTTTCCAAAATTTTGTTACAGATACAAGAGGCAAAAGGGATAGAGAGAAGGACACAAGAGAAGAACGGGAGTACGAACCTGATCAGAGCTCTTCTAGAGACCACAGAGATGACAGAGAACCTCGCGATGGCCGAGATCGGAGAGATGCGAGAGACCGAAGGGAGCTGAGAGACTCCAGAGATATTCGGGACTCCAGAGAGATGCGGGATTATAGCAGAGAAACCAAAGAGAGCCGCGATCCTAGAGACTCTCGGTCTGCACGCGATGCTCATGAGTACAGAGACCGCGAAGGGCGCGACGCTCACCGGAAGGAAGACACATACCAGGAGGAATCCCGGAGCTATGGTAGAAACCATTTGAGAGAAGAGAGTTCTCGTGCTGAAATGAGGAGTGATTCCAGAAATGAGCCTCGAAATGAAATTAGGAGTGACCGCATGGGCAGAAGTAGGGGGAGAGGCCCAGACATTCCTGAAAAGGGTAAGATTTTTGACTTTTCAATCAGTGAACTGTTTCTTGAATGCTTATGAGGGAGGTATTGAATTTCTTAGGATTTGTTAATATATTATTTCTTACACTTGTTATCGTTTTGTCAACGTAACTTTTAATTTGAATTTTTTATCTTTCCTGTAAATTCACAATCAAAATTACTAGTTAAAGTAGCCCGGTATGGTAGCCTAGCGGCTAAAGATCTCACCTTGCACATGACAGGATCCCATATGGGCACCAGTTCTAATCCCGGTGGCCCTGCTTCCCATCCAGCTCCCTGCTTGTGGCCTGGGAAAACAATCAAGAATGGGCAAAAGCCCTGGAATCTCGCACCCATGTGGGAGACTTGCAAGCTCCTGGCTCCTGGCTTTGGATCTGCTCAGCTCTAGCCATTGCAGTCGCTTGGGGAGTGAATCAAGGGACAGAAGATCTTCCTCTCTGTCTCGCCTCTGTATATTTGCCTTTTCAATAAAAGTAAATCTTAAAAATTATCAAAACATAAAGAGACTTGACCTAGACCCTGTAATTGGTTGCATTCAGTCTTGTTTCCCATTTTAGCTAAGATGAAACACGTAGGAGGTAGGTGGCTGTCAGGCATAAAAGTATTGTGCAATGTTCTGCCATTATACAAGGCTGAAATTACATAGTTTAAGCATGTCTTAGTAGGTTGATCACTTTTGGATAAAGTTTACTAGACATCGTTTTTTTAAAATAGTAATTTCTTAAAATAGAGAAAAGAATTTATACATTCCGTAGGTACAATGTCAGGACACCCAAATGTTCTTTACTTTCCTCCTCTTTCTCAGTCCCACCTCTCCCACCTCTCTTCATCAGTTTTTGCAGGACGTAATTTTAACCAACTCTATATTCACAAGCTGAATTTGCCACCAACCATAATTTTCAACAAAATAAAAACCAGGATGATCTTGACTCCACATGAGTGTAAAGCAAAGGATGAAACTTACATTCACACCCAAAACAAACATTTCATGCTAATGCATATTTTTGTGTTCTATATTAACTGCCACATATCAGAGGAAGCATATGATATTTGTCTTTTTAAGAATGACTTACTTCATTAAGCATAATTTCCATTTTGTTGGAAAAGATAGGATTTCATTTTTAAATGGCCAAGTAGTATTGTATTGTGTGTATATATGTGCCACATTTTCTTTTTCTACTTGTCAGTTGATGAACATATTGGCTGATTTTGTATCTTAAGAATATTGACTTGAGCTATAATAAACAGGGTTATTTGAATAACTTGTTCCTATATTAATTTCATTTTGTTTCAGGAGTTGGAGTTGGATGGCTGGGTTGGATGGCAGGTGTATTTTAAGATCTCTTAGAAATCTCCATATTGTTTTCTGTAATTGCTGTACTAGTTTACATTCCCACCAGTGGTAGATTAGGGTGCTTTTTTTTCATACATCCCCACCAGCTTTTATTGTATTTGATTTTTGAGTGACGGCCGTTCTAACTAAAATGAGCTGAAACTTCATTGTGGTTTTTATTTGCATTTCTCTTGTCTAGTGAAGCCGAGCATTTTTTTGTGTGTGTGTGCCTGTTGGCCATTTAAATTTGATCCTGTGAAAAAACGCCGGTTCATGTCCTTTGCCCATTTCTTGACTGGATTGTTTTGCTATTGTTGAGATTCTTCATTTCTTTATACATCCTGGGTTTTAATCCTTTGTCAGTTGCTTAGTTAGCAAATATTTTCTCATTGTTTTGGATGTGTCTTCACTGTGTTTGCATTTGTCTTCACTTCCTTTGCAGTGCAGAAGCGTATTAGTTTAATGTAATCCCATGTATCTGTTTTTGTCATTATTGCCTATGCTTCTGAGGTCTTTTTCAAGAAGTCTTGTGCTATGCCAGTGTCTTTAAGAGTTTTCTCGATATTTTTCTGTAATAACCTGAGGTGTTGGGTCATATGCTTAGAGTTAATTTTTGTATAAAATGTCAGGTACGTGTCTTATTTCATATTTCTGTTCACATGGATCCACCTTTCCAAGCATTGCTTTTTGAACAGATTGTCCTTTCTCCAGGAATTGATTTCAGTTTTTAAGATAAGTTTTTTAAAGATTTATTTATTTTTATTTGAAAGGTAGATTTACACAGAGGAAGAGAGACAGAAAGAAACATTTTCCATCCTGGTTCACTCCCCAAAAGGCTTTAACAGCCAGAGCTGGGAGTATCCAAAGCCAGGAACAAGGAGCTTCTTTGGGTCTCCCACATGGGTTCAGGGACCGAAGGACCCAAGACATCCTCCCCTGCTGGGAACTGGAATGGAAGCGAAACAGCCAACACTAGAGCTGGCACCCACTTGGGATTCTGGCCTTGTGGGCAGGAAGATGAGCCTATGAGCCACTGTGGCTTTTTTGTTTGTTTGCTGGGATAGCAGGCAGCATTTCATTCACTTTGCCATAACACTGGTCCCAGTTTCCCACATCTTTTAGAGATGCCACTTGATATTGACACAATACCTTCACTCTGTATTTAAAAGTTTTCAGCATAAACTAAAATTATTCAAAATATGGTCATATTTCATATTGCTTTCATGATGTTTCTGTGAATTAGATACAAAGTAGTATTTTAATGTTTGTTTTATTGTTTTATAGTTTTCTTGCCTTGAGACTCCATAGTGACTTTTTTTTATAGATGGGCAAAATGGAACACAGCTTTCTCAAGTCAGTCATTACACAACTTGGATGTTCTCAGCAAAGCCTAATATTCCTTTCAATAATGGTTACCACTTTGGAATATCCGGTAAAGTGACTGTTTTATAGGAGAAAAAAAAATTATGACTGGTGAAACTTGTTGCATAAAGTGTCTGGATTATAAACAATTATGGTTTATGTTGTTGCTGTTGTTGTTGTTGTTGTTATTATTATTATTATTATTATTATTATTATTATTATTTTTAGGAAGCCGAAGCACAAGAGGCTCTCAAATGGATAGTCACAGTAGCACTAGCAACTATCATGACAGCTGGGAAACTCGAAGTAGCTATCCTGAAAGAGACAGATACCCCGAAAGAGACAGCAGAGATCAAGCAAGGGATTCTTCTTTTGAGAGAAGACATGGAGAGAGGGACCGTCGTGACAACAGAGAGAGAGGTTTGTCAAACATGATTTTGTTGATTAGTACCAGTATCAAATTGAGGATTGGTTTTTAATATTTATTTATGACCTGAGCTTGATGATACATTTTATTGAAACTCTTAGAATTGCTTATGCAGTCGTCTTTGTTCTTGTTGTAGGAAATATTATGTAAGTAAATAGCTGCCGGTACTGGCAGCAGAGTGCAAGAACTGTGCTGTCATCTTAACCAAGCAGCCTACAAGTACCCTTTAAAGAATGCCATCCCAGGCAGTTCAGGAAATAATGTTAACCATTTACTTAAGTATTATCTATGCCTACTTCCTCATTAGCCATGATCCATAGAGTACTATGAGGGTTGCCAGAGAAGAGAGAAAAGGAAAGAAATGATAGGGCTAGGACTTGGTTCCAAGAAGCATTTACTAATATCCTGGCCTGAGATTGTATAATTTTGTATTCTTGTATGTATTAAACTAAAAGTTTTCTATAATTGTGTTAGATAATTTCTTGAGGAAATCAGTCTTGAAGTAAAATTACTAGAAAGTATTTAAATGCTCTAAGTACCTTGTTTGAAAAGCTTGTATTGTGTATCTGTATAAGGAACCTTAAACATTTTAAATCAGTCTTGTCAAAATTTTACTATCCTTGGCTGATTTCTGAAGTAATATTCATTATAATACCGAGAACAGTATAATATGAAACGATTGACCACGGAATTGAATATTGATGGTTCTCATGTGTGCTGAATCAAAAAGTTAATTACTGTATCTTGAGATGAGTCATAATAGAAATAAAATAAAGTTTCTAAGATACCATATGTGTCTGGCAGAATAAATAAGATTAAGAGATAGGAGAGTTGGTTGGATTAAGTTCATTAAGGTAAGCCTGCTGCATTTGGGTCAAAAAAAATGAGGATTTTCCCAGCCATAGATAGAGCTAAAATTTATTCAGTATTGATATCTGAAAGTATTTCTTTCAGAATTTTAACTTGGCTCTTTTTAATACTGCATCCTGATAATGCTTTATTTATCTGTGTTTGTGTGTATGTGTGTGTGATATGTACCTCACTTTCCTTTTTTCTGTTTTCTTACTCTTGCTTAGATTTGTCTCTTCTTCTGCATGAGTTCTATAACAACATTTGGTTTCACTCCTGTATATATTTAGTTTAACCTGAGCTGCAAGAACTAAATAATAGTTGTTTTACATATATTCTCAGATTTTATTTTTATAATATTCCCAGGAGATTAGGTATTATAAAATGATCCATATTTTACAGTTAAATAATTGGGTTTAATTGAAATAAGTTCCAGAACTGGATTTAGACTGAGGTCATTTGACCACAAATCGAGTTCTCTTTCTGTGTTAGTTTGCTGGAACTACTTCAGTAAATGTCAGGTGTATGATTGAAGTAGGAAAATATATTTGAAGCCAATAAAATAATGGTCTATTCTACAAATGTTTATTGAATGAACTCATGCTATGCAGTTTGCTAGGTATTCAGACTGCAACAATTTTGGCCTTAAGTTTCTGTAAAGAAATTTTGTCCATAAGTTTCTGTAAAGAAATTGATGGAAAAAGAGGAGGCCCCCCACCCCCACCAAAAAAAAGAGGATGGTTATTGCTGTCAAGAGAATGAAAAACCTAGATAGAAATAAAAAATAAGAGAGGGATTTATTTACTTGAAAGTTTTATGGAAAATTTGAGAAGATATTTATACATATGTATAAATACAAGAGAAGAAGCTTGTTTTTGGAAATTTAAAAGTAAAAGCATGCTGTGCAGAGGAAAAGTATTATGTGCAAATTCCTTAATGGGGAAGAGCATAGCAAGGCCTGAGATATTGGAGGAGGCTGTTATGGCTGGAGGATGGTTGAATAGGAAAGAACAATAGACACTGGATACAGAGATGTGCACGGGTGTCTTATTCTGTGCCTGAGGGTTTATATCTTTTAATTTTTCTCAATCTAATAGTAAAAATAAAACTAAATGTGTGGCAAATGCTGCTGTAATAAGTACTGTGAGGAGATAGAGGAGCGAAGGCAATTCTAAGGAATTTCCAGAAAGCTGCCTAAAGAAGTAGTATCTGAATCAGGGCCTGAAAGATATAAAAGAGTTTGCGAATAGGAACAATGGAAAAAACACTTTACAAGGATATGCATGACACAAGGACTGAAAGAAAGCTGAATTTTAAAGGAGTGACAAATTGTGTTGTTGGAATAGTATGGTATAAATGGTATCGAAAGAAAGAGGCTAGAAAAAAGGGCTGATGAGAGACCAAAGGCCAGATTGTGAATGATCTAGCAAGTCAGAATGGAAATTTTGAATTTAATAACCTTTTTGCAGCCTACAAGATAATTGCTTTCAAGCAACTAGAGGAAATAGAGTTTAATCAAAACCAGTAAAAATCAAGTAGAAGACTAGAAACAAATACCTATCAGTCAGTCTGTTGATGACAACCTGTGTAAGATCTGATCAAGGTCTAAGTTGATGTATTAACTGGAGAGATTAGAAAAAGAGAAGGAATAAAGAAATATTTTGGAAATGAAATTGGTGGGAATGTGGGCACTTAGATAAGTCAGAGATTGCATTTTTCATAAATAGATTTGCCATTCGTCAAGATATATACCTGAAGAGAAACACATTTTTGAATACCTTTTGAGGCAAAGAAGTGGAAGAAAGTTCAATGATTAGCAGTGTTTTAAAGCCTTGTCTTTTTAGAAAAATAAATGTAACAGAGTAAGGAAAGTAGTAGAAAGGAAAATAATGAAATTATTATAACTAGAAATTTGAAGAATCAATTCCTGTTAGTTTCAGTATTGAGTGTGTTTCAGGTTGTTTTGTAATCATTGAGATTCTAGTTTGACTCCAAAACTAAGAAATCAGATCGTCTAAAACATGGATAGATACACATTCTGGAAATACAAGCTGATGTACAATAAGAACCATTTTAAATATAAGGTGGTTTCAGCTAAAATAAAAGGATTTGAAAAAATTGACTTCTAATCTTATTGTACCATCTCTCACTTTGGTGACAAGTCAACCTCCAGGCCAGAATTTCTGTTTTTAAGAGAAATGGAGTAAGGAAATCCCAGGCCCTTGGAATTGTACCAAAGAATTCAAAATAAAAAAAGAGAGAGAGAGAGAAATGGGGAGAAAGGAATAGGAAGAGTTTTATTTTTATTTAGGTTTAAAATTCTATGAACTTTTGTACCTGGGTCTTTTGATGAATTCTTAAATTTTTCATCAGAGATAGGAAGAGAACTTTAAGTTACCATATAGAACCCTTCCCCAGAAATATCCGAAAATTACTCTGCTTGATGAGTTGATGTTAACTATTATGCTTAATAGCCTATTGGTCATATTGCATTCTGACCTTTATTGACTAGCCAATAGACATTATTATTAAGCAATATAAAAGTTAAAACATCACAGTAGCCTGGGGGGTAATGCTGCATTTACTTTTCAGAAATGACTGTCTCTCTGGAAATATCCATGCCATCTTCTTACACCTTTTAAGATCCTAGACTAATCTCTTACTCAACTAGACATTTGGACAGTATGCATTCATTTTCTCTGTGTTTATGTGATTTATGTGTAGATGGGGGGGTTATAAAATGTGATGAGATCATTAGTTAACATTTTAAGGAAATAGCTCTTTATCTGAATAATCATTTATATGATTAAATGAAACTATTAATAGTTATTAATTATAAATATATCATTAGTATGAACCACTTTTTACATTTATTTGAAGATTGGTAGATATTAATACCCTTAACATTCTAGTTTATAATAGAGGATTGATTATTGCAGCAACAGATTTTGACATGTTTTGTTCTATATTTTCCTCACATAATAGCTGCACTTTGATGTGTATTTATTTTGGCCTGAAATTAGAGGTGTGACTTACGAGGGAAATTTTTTTTTTCCTTCAGCTCCTATGTTCTACACCTCCTGCTGCCCCTATCCTTTGCCACCAGTGTTCTCAGGTCCTGCTGGGGGGACAGAGAAGATCAGAGGTGAAGGGTAGAGATGGCAGAAAGTGGGGTTGGAGCAGCGGGCTGGAGGTAGGGTAGGGAGCATGCAGAGAAAGATCAAAAGTTGATCAGTGGGAGGGGGGCGAGGGGGGCAGGTGGGGAGCAGAAAAATCGGTAGTTAGAAAGCATAAAATTATCTTTAAGAGAAAATATTTTTAAAAGGTCTAAGGGTGATTGTATTGTTTGATTAATTAAAAGTAAATGTAGTGTCTGGTTTTATGGTTTTTTTTTCTTTTTTTCTTTCTTTTCTTTTTTTTTTTTTTTTTTTTTTTTTTGCTGGTGTGACTCTATACATAGATAAAATTTTAAATTTGCCATGCTGTTTTTACCACTGGGTTATCTGTCAAATTAATCACTGACAAAACTTGATTTTCATTGTAGATCAAAGACCAAGCTCACCAATTCGACATCAGGGAAGGAATGACGAGCTTGAGCGTGATGAAAGAAGAGAGGAACGAAGAGTAGACAGAGTGGATGATAGAAGAGATGATAGGGCGAGAGAGAGAGAGCGGGAACGAGAGCGGGACAGGGAGCGGGAGCGGGAGCGGGAACGGGAACGGGAAAAGGAAAGAGAGCTTGAAAGAGAACGAGCTAGGGAACGGGAGAGAGAGAGGGAACGAGAAAAAGAGAGAGAACGTGAGAGAGAGAGAGAGCGAGAGCATGATAGAGAGAGGGAAAGGGAGAGGGAGCGAGACAGGGAGAAAGAGCGGGAGCGAGAGCGAGAAGAAAGGGAGAGGGAAAGAGAGCGAGAACGGGAGCGAGAGAGAGAACGGGAACGGGAACGAGAGAGAGAGCGAGCTCGAGAAAGAGAGAAAGAACGAGAACGCCAGAGGGATTGGGAAGACAAAGACAAGGGCCGAGAGGGCCGAGAGGAGCGCAGAGACAAGCGGGAAGATGTCCGAGAAGAGAGGAATCCCAGGGACGGCCACGAGGAGAGAAAATCAAAGTAAGAAGGGCACATTGGCGTTCGCAAGTAGCATCTCAGCAAAGAATTCACAAAATTTTCTTTCATACTTCTCAGTATGTCTCTTACTTCCTCAGTCAAATACCTTTGATCTATCTTGAATATTTCAAGTGATCTAGGAAAAAAGAATTGAAATTTTTTTTTCTTTTTAAGATCTATAAATTTTATTGGAAAATCAAATATACAGAGAGGAGGAGAGACAAAGAGGAAGATCTTCCGTCTTCCGTCTTCCGTCCGCTGATTGACTCCCCAAATGGCCACATGGCTGGAACTGAGCTGATCCGAATCCAGGAGCCAGGAGCCACTTCTGGGTCTCTCACATGGGTGCAGGGTCCCGAGGCTTTGGGCCATCCTCAACTGCTTTCCCAGGCCACAAGCAGGGGGTTGGATGAGAAGCAGAGCTGCAAATATGAGATACAAACCAGTGCTCATATTCCCAGCCTGTGCAAGGCAAGGACTTTTAACCACTAGGCTACCATTCCCTGCCTGAATTTTTAAATTTGATTTTTGCATCCAGCAGCAGTATTATTACTCCCTTTTGGCAGCTGTATTTTTGATGGCACATAGGCTTGCTTAACTGTTGCATATTTTATTTTACATAAGAATTCATAAAATGATAGTATCAGTAGACTAGTGTCTCATCATCTCCGGTTTATAGCTGGTTAATGGTGTTAACTAGTCACCAAGAGATGCTTCCTGTATCATTTCTGATGATAACAGTGGAGTCACATTCTGGATCTGTGAGAGCATTCACAGTAGCTTAAGTGAGGGAATCCTTGTAATTACTGAATGACCGGAGAAAATGAGAGAGACGTGATTATAGTGGATTACTGGGATTCAAAGACATCTCTTGGAATCTCGTATTATGTATCTGGATATACATTTTCTTATTTTTCTTTTTCTTAAGCCAAAAAGAACTCAGTTTGCCTAGGTATTGGGCAAGTGAAGGATTAGCTTTTGCTTGGGCTCATGCGACTATATTCGTATTGTCAAAATGCCTGCATAGTATCTGATCGCTTCTCTTTTATCCTATGTTTATTCCAGTCTGACAATTGTTGCTAACACCTTAATAATAAACCTAAGAATTTAGCACCATTTTCTGTGTTGGGGCTCGCATTTGTTGAAAAGTAGACAGTAACTAGCTTGAGTCGATCACTGGCCATGAGAATTCTGAACTGATTTAGTCAGTTTTGGGGTTTTAGAGGCACAAAGCCAAACTTTCTGGAGTTAACTATGTTTTTATACAGCTACTAGGATAGTACCATGGTTAAGTTTTCTAAAACAGAGGGAGTAGTGTATGTGTCTCTGATTTTATTGCCCCTGCTTCAGCTCATTTGTCTTGGGTTGGGTACCACTTCCTTGCTTTATGCTGTTCCACCGTCGCTGTTTCAGGTTAGGCTTATGGAAAACAACCTAGCACAAATGTGTAGTCTGCTCTCTCTGGGACTTGGTTGTTCTTTAATCTATTTGAATATGTTCTGCAGTAGATCTAAAAAGAGGATTCAGAAGCTAAGTTTTATGTACATATATCCATGTTGTGGCTGCCACTGGCCTTCTGATATTACTATTTTCTGTTTCTTGAGATGACTCATTTTCCTCACATTTTCTGATGAAAATGCTCAGGTTCAGTGATTACATTCCATTGCATAATAAGTTGTACTATGACTTATTTGAACTCAGCTTTTTGGCTCTGAAGTCAGAGCAAAATTGTTTTCTAACATAAGATTGATAAATATTTGTATTACTTTATTGATTTCTCAGCTGCATGTTACCATCTTATAGTATTTGAATCTGACAGTTTTCAGCTGACTGATTTTTCTTGTATTACTAAAGAAAGAAAGTGGCTGAGTGCTTTATGTTTATGGCTGTAAATTCTTAGCAAATGAAGTACAGAATTTTTATTGAAGATGCTAAAAACTATTTTGTGATTCAGTTCTAACAATATTGCTATCCTGCCATTGACTGTTCTAGTTGTAATTGAAAAGTATGTGTAAAATAACATATCAAAGAAATTTGTCTTTCACTGCATGGAGTTTTATGAATCACATTTGCTTGCCTCATTTAGGAAACGCTATAGAAATGATGGCAGCCCCAGTCCTCGGCAGTCACCTAAGCGTCGGCGTGAACATTCTCCCGACAGTGACACCTACAACAGTGGTGATGATAAAAGTAAGCACAGTCTCTTTTCCATTTCTCTGTATTAATTTGTTCATATGTAACCAGCATATCATCCTTGGACATTAGTCAGAACTCAAGGCTTTAAAATGTTTTTTTTTTCCTCTTCTGCTTCTGTATATCTCATGTGACTAAGATGTATATTAAAAATAGTCTATCTCAGTGTCTGTGTCATTTTCTTCTATTTGTAATAAAATTATGCTATTTTCAGCTGAAGTCATTGCCATTTAAAAACGTAAAAATGAAGTAAGAGATTTGCTTATTACTATTATTATTATTACTATTACTCTTATTTGAGCATAATATGCAGTGTTTGTTAACCGGTGGATGTGTGATTACTTTTTTCTTTCTGTAAAGATGAGAAACACAGACTCTTGAGCCAGGTTGTACGACCCCAAGAATCACGTTCTCTCAGTCCATCACACCTCACAGAAGACAGGCAAGGTAGATGGAAAGAAGAGGATCGCAAACCAGAAAGAAAAGAGAGTTCAAGGCGCTATGAAGACCAAGAGCTCAAAGAGAAGGTTTCTTCTATGGATAAACAGAGAGAACAAGCAGAAGGCCTGGAAAGCTCAAGAACACGTACACAAGACGTTACAGGACATCACCAGTCTGAGGATAGAGATATATCTGATCGAGCTCATGATGAAAATAAGAAAAAAGCAAAAATTCAGAAGAAACCTATAAAGAGAAAGAAAGAAGATGATATTGGAATAGAGAGGGGTAACCTGGAGGCAGCATCTGAAGATGGGCAAGTATTTTCACCAAAGAAAGGTCAGAAGAAGAAAAGTATCGAAAAAAAGCGCAAACGATCCAAAGGTGACTCTGATATTTCTGATGAAGAAGCAGCACAGCAAAGTAAGAAGAAAAGAGGCCCACGGACTCCCCCTATAACTATTAAGGAGGAATTGGTTGAACTTTCCAATGAAAAGAATGGCATTTTGGGGGATCCTCAGAAGAAAGAAGATACAGCATTCAGTGACTGGTCTGATGAGGATGTTCCTGACCGAACAGAAATGACAGAGACAGACCACATTGCCACCAATACCACTCCTGGTGGTACCCCTTCTCCCCTATCCTCTCTTCTTCCTCCCCCACCTCCTATGGCTACTGCCACTGCTGTTGCTACTCCTACTCTGGCCACCACTGCTGCTGCTGCTACCACCTCTGCCACCACCATTTCCACCTCTGCCAGTACCACCAATACCACTTTTGCCAATGAAGATTCACATAGAAAATGCCACAGAACAAGAGTGGAAAAATTCGAAACATCTCATGTTACTATGGAAGACACACCACATCGCAAGCCAGTAGATCAGAAGAGGAGTAGCAGCCTTGGGAGCAATAGGAGTAATCGCAGCCATACGTCTGGCCGCATGCGCTCACCATCCAACGACTCTGCCCATCGAAGTGGGGATGACCAAAGTGGTCGAAAAAGAGTGCTGCATAGTGGGTCAAGGGACAGAGAAAAAACAAAAAGCCTGGAACTCACGGGAGAGAGAAAATCCAGGATTGATCAGTTGAAGCGTGGAGAACCCAGTCGAAGTACTTCTTCAGGTAATATGATTATGATCTAGTCAGCATTTCTTGCGATGGTCATAGCTAATACAAGTTATATGTAGTTATATATAATTTAAGGTAATGCTAAATTGGTTGTTTTATTTGTTGTTGTAAATTTTATGAAAGTTTTTTGGCTGTAAATTTTATGAAACTCTTTTTTGTTGCTGTAAATGTTACTTGTTACCAGTTTAATGCCATCATTAAAACAGGTGCATTCAGTGCTGTTAATTATTTTCATATCAAGAGTTTAATAGTATATGTTGATGGAAGTTTATGTGTTCACATTTGTTAATAATGCCCATTGGTTCCTGCTGTGCCTCCTATGGACACAGCTCCCTGTTTGGTCATAAAGAAATAGGAGAGCAAAGAGAAATCAAATAGTGAAAATCATCAGTTCTATTACCTGCCTAACTATTTTGTGTACTCATTACTTTCAACATATTTTGTAGTTATAAGAAAACATTTTTAACATTATTTAGCATATTATTTGAGAGAGGTTGATTTTTTTTTCTCTTAAAATTCAGGTCCTTGATATATAGAAATAATACATATGAGAAGTGTACCAGAATGTATAGAAAGAATGGATAGTACAGAGATATGTGTAGAATAGACAAAATCATGGATTGGTTTTAAAGAACCTCCCAGGTTAAATATTTTGTTTCTATATTGTCATGTATTAACTCTTTGAATATGTTGTGTTTATTTTAGATCGCCAGGATTCAAGAAGCCATAGTTCAAGAAGAAGTTCTCCTGAGTCAGATCGACAGGTCCACTCCAGATCTGGGTCATTTGATAGCAGAGACAGGCTTCAAGACCGAGATCGATATGAGCATGATAGAGAGCGCGAGAGAGAGAGGAGAGATACACGGCAGAGAGAATGGGAACGAGAGACCGAAAAAGACTGGACACGGAACAGGGACAGAGATCGATTACGAGAGCGAGAAAGAGAACGAGACAAAAGGAGAGACTTGGACAGAGAAAGAGAGAGGCTAGTTGCTGATCCCATTGAAAGGGATAGGGACAGAGACAGAAATTTTGAGAGTTCTTCTCAAATAGAATCTGTGAAACGCAGTGAAACAAAACTGGACAGTGAACATGAAAGAGACTTAGAGGGCAGTTCACGGGAGCCTGTTGCTTTGGATAAAGAAAGAATGGATAAGGATCTGGGATCTGTGCAGGGATTTGAAGATATGAGTAAAGCTGAAAAAATGGAGAGTGTGGAAGGTGAGTGCCACACCTTTTTATGCGTTGTACTGCTTCATTCCATTTCAGATTTCATGTGCAACAAATATTTTCTTTGGCTAGGCCATCTACTAATAGGAAAATTGACTCCATTCTTTTATTTTTTTCCATGATAGTTTGTAGTATACAGATTCATTCTTCTGTCATCTTCCCTCCCAGTTTTCTCCCTCCATTATTTTTTTCCCATTTTATCATAGTAATATAGCCCCTTAGTACAAGTTACAGGTGTAACTTTCTGATATTTAAATGTATCATGACATGAGAAACAAAAATAGAAACCTAGTATTGTAATGTAGAGGTGTAATAAATTGCATTAGGAGTCCTACTTTTATTTGGAAGTAGAGGTGCGTGCTGTATAGTACCTTTACTTCTCAGTATGCTGGTCTCCCTTATATAGTTAATGTATATGGCTGTGTGTGTGTTTACATATATGTATATATAAATATAGATGTTGTACTTTGCATATTAACTGTCTTATACCAGAGAGAACTACAGTATCTGTCCTTTTGGGACTGGCTTACTTTACGAAGTGTAATTATTCCCAGCTGTGACCATTTTATTGTAAACAGCAAGACTGCATTTTTTATGACTGAGTAGTAGTCCATTGAGTAGATGTAAAGGTTTTTTAACCATTTTTCTGTTGCTGGACATCTGAGTTGATCCAAGGTCTTCGCTATTGTGAATTGTCCTGCTACAAATATAGCAGGCTGCAGGTTGCTCTCTTGAATTAAGGTTTTGTTTCCTTTGTGTATATTCCCAGAAATGGGATGGCTGGGTCTTAAAATAGATCAGTTCTCAGTTGTTTGAGCACTCTCCATACTGACTTCCAAAGTGTTTGTACTAGTTTATATTCCCAGCAACAGTAGATCATGATACCTTTCCCCCATATCCTTGCCAACAATTGTTTTGCTGATTTCTGTTTGTAGACCATTCTGACTGGAATTAGGTACAACCACATTGTAGTTTTTAGTTCTATTTTCCTGATAGCTAGGGAACATCAGTGCTTATTCATGTGGCTACTAGGCTTTTTAATTTCATCTTTTGAGAATTATCTGTTCATGCCCTGTGCCTGTCTCTTAACAAAATTATTTGTTTTGCTATTGTTGAGTTTCCAAAACTGTAAATCTTAGATATTGATCTCCTATCTGTTGTAGTGTGCTAGCATGCACAGATTTCCTCCCATACTCTTGGATACTTCCTCATTTTATTAACCATCTCCCTTGATGTAAGAAGCTTCATAATTTGATGTAGTCCCATTTGTTTATTTTGGTTTTAATCGCCTGTGCTTTTGGTGTCTTTTCTAAGAAGTCTTTGCCGATGCCTATTCCTGGTAGGTTGTTCCCTGTTCTCCTCTAATAATTTGATGGTGTCTGGGCATGGGTTTAGATCCTTGATGCATGTAGAGTTTATTTTTTTATTAAGATGAAAGGTAGGAGTCTCTTCTTACTTCTGCAAGCAAATACCCAATTTTCCCAGCAGCATTTGTTGAAGAGACTGTTTTTTCTCCATGGGTTATTTTCAGTTATTATTAGGTTGGTTGGCTGTAGATGTATTGTTCTTGTGGTTTCAGTTTTGTCTATTTCCTAATTTTAGTTGTTTCTGCTTTTTGGGGTTAATTTACTGTTGTTTTTCTGGCTCCTTCAGATGTATGATTAACTTGTTTACCTGGTGCCTTGCTTGTTTTTTGATATTTGCACTAATTGCAGTGAACTTTTTTAGCACTGCTTCTGCTGTGTCCCATAAGTATTGACATGTTGTATTGATACCTCCAATTATTTTAAGGATTTTAAAAATTTGCTTTTTGATTTCTTCTTTGACCCCTTGTCCATTCAGTAGCATGTTGTTCAGCTTCCAAATGTTTTCATATTCTTAGTATTTTGACTTGCTGCTCTCTAGTTTCATTTCCTAATGGTCTGAAAAACGTGGTATGATTTTGATTATTTTGAATTTGTTGAGGCTGCCTTATGGCCTCTAATATGATCTGTCCTGGAGGAGGTTCCAGACACTGGTGAAAAACAATGTGTATTTTATGTTAGGAAGAAAGGTTCTATATATTATGAATCAGGTCCATTTGTTCTGTTGTATAAGTGAAATCTTATTTCTTTGCTGAGTTTCTTGAAGTTAGTGGCATGTTGCTGTGCAGCAGCAAGGGAAATGGTGCACAGGGCCGTTAATTACACACAAGGACTGCTGATTGATGGTCAATAGCCAAGGTTTATTAACAGTTAAAGACTTTTTTTTTAAAAGATTTATTTATTTTTATTGGAAAGACGGATATACAGAGAGGAGGAGAGACAGAGAGGAAGATCTTCCATCCAATGATTCACTCCCCAAGTGGCCTCAATGGCTGGAGCTTAGCCAATGCGAAGCCAGGAGCCAGGAGCTTCCACTGGGTTTCCCACATGGGTGCAGGGTCCCAACGCTTTGGGCCATCCTCAACTGCATGCGTTCCCAGGCCACAGGCAGGCAGCTGGATGGGAAGTGGGGCTGCCGGGATACGAACTGGCATCCATATGGGATCCTGGCGTGTTCGTGGCGAGGACTTTAACCACTACGCTATCATGCTGAGTCCAACAGTGAAAGACTTTTAAAAACTGAGGGTCACGTAGGCATAAGGGAAGGAGGATCTGAAACAGGATGTGGTTTACGTACTTGCATGCAAGAGGGGTCAATCAGTGGACAATATGTTTTTCTAGCAGGCTACTATTATTTAAACAGCATACAGGGGAAAAAAAAGTCTTTGAGCTGTTATCTAAGCTTGAGGAACAGGGAGTTCCTAATGTTCCAAGTGCTTCAGGATCTTTGCCCTGAGTTCCTGGAGCTTTCTCACAAGGTTACAGCTGGTTACAGTTTTACACCTGTGAAGTTCCCAGTTCTCGATCTCCCTCTGTTACTGTATTGATGTCTATACTTCCCTTTAAATCCGTTAGCAGTTGTTTTATTTAACCAGGTGCCCTCGCATTTGGTGTGTATACATTTATTATGTCTTATCATTGAATGGATCCCTTGGTCATTATGTAGTGCCTTTCTTCATCTTTTTTAGTGTTTTTCGCGTTAAAATCTGTGTTATCTGATAGGAGAATGATTACAGCAGTTTTTCCTTTCTGTCGGCCTGGAATATTCTCTTATATCCTTTCACTTACAGATTCTGTGTATCTTTGTTAGAAGATGTTTTTCCTGTAGACCTTGGATAGATGGGTCCTGTTTTATAACCCAATTTGGTAATGTCTTGTGGTTGATGAGTTTCAGCCATTTACATTCAGGGTTAATATCAACAGCGATTAGATTCTGTCATTCTTTCATAGGGTTTCTCAGTGTTTGCTTTAGGTTTCTTTTGTGATTTTACTGATATGCTCACTTTTGTCTTCTTTGATTATGATAAGTGTCATTATCTTTTATTGTCTGTAGCACATCTTTAAACAATGTTTATAGAACTGGTCAAGTAGAGGCACAATCCTTTAGTTTTATTTGCTTTGGAAGTTTTATGTCTCCATTTTCTTCTAGCCTGTAGGGTTTCTGGTGAAAAGTTAACTGTGAGTCTGATTGGTGTTCCTCTGTTGGTTATCTGATGTTTCTCATGTGCGCTTTTAAATATCTTTTCTTTATGATGTGTTGTGTTGAGGATTGCTTCTAGCCATGTCTGTTTGGGGTTCTGTGTACATTCTTATTTGGATTTCCCTTTGGTTCTCCATGTTAAGTAGAAGGTTCTCCCTACTCCTGGAGTCAGAACATTAAAAAAAAAAAATGTGTTCTGTCGATTCATGGTGCCCCATCTTGTTCCTTTGTAAATCATGGCCTAAGTTAACAGTAATAATAGCCCCCCTGAGAATTTTCCTGGAAATTCTGCTTCTTTGAGATGTCTGGTTCTACTATCTAACAATTAACACTGCTAATATGTCTAACTGTAAAACATGATATTCTTTTATTTGCATTGGGTTATAATAAATCCACACTGATTTTCTTACATGCTTTGGTTATATGATTATATGTTCCCATTTGCCATCTTGCTACATACTTTTTGTATTTGACTTGACAAAACATTTGTACATTGTCTTTCTTCATACTACAATTTCACTTCACTGTTGAGGAAAAATAGCATCAGGTCATGAGTCCTGGTTCTGATGGAGGTAAAAATCTTAGGATATAATTGAACTAATCATTTTAATAGTTCTTTTGTGATTGGAGGCAGTGTCCCTGTCCCCTAAAATACATCAGTTGCTAGTTGTGATTACAAATAATACAACATAAAAACTTATAGTAGAATAATCTGCTATGTAATGAGATTTTATTAGAGAAGACAAAATTTTCATATTGTGTATGAATAATGTACCTTTGTATGCAATATTATTAAAATTAATCATCTTAGAGGTGAAATGTTGGGAATATAGAGAAATTAATGAAGAATTTCATAGAACAGAAAAGTATTGGAATGAGCAGAAACATCTTACAGGTTCTTTTTGTCTGGCACCAAATTCCTGTCCATGAAACATCATGCTGCAGTTTGTCAACTAGTGTTGTAGACTTGGTTAAGGTGTATGGAAAACCAGTGCTTAGAAATACTAAGACTGTCTGGTTTTCTGACTGTGTTCATGACAGGCTCCTCAGGAAATAAAGTTGAGAAAAATTGATTAAATAAATACAATGTATATGAAAAGAAAACATTGGGATGGGCAGGAGAAATTGGAAACTTAGAGGGAGAATTGGTGTTATCCTTATAGTTTTGCCACATTGCTATAAAGTTCTTCATATGACAAGCTGAATATTATAAGCTGTGATTTAACTTTCAAAATTCTTAAATGAGTTTATGGATTTAAAAAGAAAACCTAATGACTTTATGTTAGGTACTGAATTCATAGCTTTCTGAAATTGGATTTGTCTGACTTAACAGTGTTATTATCAAAACCAAAACACAATACACATAATCAACATTCATGTTAATAGTAGATTTTATTTGATTTTAATTGTAGTCTTATGACTTACTATATTGCTGCTTCCACTATAATTTTTATGGTAAAATTAAGCTAATTAAACTTTTTTGCTTTCTTTTCACATGAAAATGTTTGAATAATTAAGAAATAATAATTTTATGATGAAAAACTATCCTTTACATTGTTACCATGCACACACAGGCTTTCCTTATCGGATTGACTTCTGTGTCCTTTCCCTTTGAGACATGATATTGTCTTTTTAGCAGGAGAAGATGAATCCAAGTTAGATGATGCACATTCCTTAGGCTCTGGTGCTGGAGAAGGATATGAGCCAATCAGTGATGATGAACTGGATGAAATTCTGGCAGGTGATGCAGAAAAGAGGGAAGAGCAACAGGATGAAGAGAAGATGCCAGGTAATTGCAGAGGTAGTTACACATGAAAATGACTTGAGATGATATTTTTTAAGTAGAAGTTGCTGTGAATTAGAGAGGGCCTCATATAAGTTAGCATAATTCTTAAGATTTCTCTTTCAGAGTATAAGATTCTATAAATATGGTATTGAATGTGATAAAATACTGATTGCCTAACAGTGTTCTTTGTATTTTACGTTAAAATTTTGGCAATACTTGAAACATATTTGAGCACTATTTATATACCTTCATATTAATTTTTTAAGTTCAGTAGTTATTTTCATTTACAGCATTATGTAGTTTATTACAGTTTATTGTAAGACCATAATGTGAACTAAGAACTCTTGGCATCCCTACTGATTCATCCCAATCAGTGTGTGATTATTACTAATGGTGTCTTTTACTTTAGAGTCTTGTCTTGGGGTGTGTAGAATGTTGCATTTATATTTTGTATTTTGAATTTGCTCATTTATGTCACAATTATTTTCTCATTTAGAGGGTGTATATGATTAATACCTTTATAATTTTTGACAGTCATTTTATTTCTTCAGTTGTTTCTTCCCAGTTGCATTGATTATTTGCTCTTAATGTTCGTAATAGTAACTAATTGTTAAAGGAATTTTATAATGAATTGTTTTTTAATTAAAGTGTATATGTTTGTGTTTATTCACACATTTAAACTAGATTGATTGATTTAATTCCTTAAAGAACTCTGATACCGAGCTTTAAAATATCAGACCGATCTAATCCTTGTGGAAATATAGAGCTCTTGCATCCCACATAAATCATTCGTTCATAGGATAGCTTGCCTGTTTTCTCTTGGTGGGAAAGCTTTGGGTGCTTAGACCTTAAATATTAGTGTTGTTGGAAAGGCTTTTGGATTTTTTAGTTTGTGTGATTAAAACTATTTGACATTTAATAATTTGTTTTTCTTACATTATTTGTAGATAATGCTATTGATGTTTCTTGATGTGAAATATCCTCTGCTTCAACTTCCTGCAGATCCGTTAGATGTCATAGATGTAGATTGGTCTGGGCTTTTGCCAAAGCATCCAAAAGAACCACGAGAGCCTGGGGCTGCACTTCTCAAATTCACACCTGGAGCTGTGATGTTAAGAGTTGGAATTTCTAAAAAATTGGCAGGTTCTGAACTCTTCACCAAAGTTAAAGAAACATGTCAGAGACTTTTAGAAAAACCCAAAGGTAATTTCATTTTACTTTGTCTGATTATTATCTGTTACAACTCCTAAGATGTCCTTGAAAAGAATTCGAGGGGTTGGCACTGTGGTGCAGTGGGTTAAGCCACTATGTGTAATGTCAGGATCTCTTGGGCAGTATGTGTCTTGACTGCAGTGTTTCCCAATACAGCTTCTTGTCAACAGCCTGAGTAAAGCAGTGGGAGATAGCCCGTGTCCTTGGACTTCTGAACCACCAGTGTTGGAGACTTAGAAGCTCCTGATTCCTGGCTCGTGTCTTTGGCTTGGCACAGCCCCAGCCATTGTAGACATTTGGGGAGTGATCCAACAAATGAAAGATCTTTCTGTCTCTTCTTATCTCTGTAACTCTGTCTTTCCAAAAGAAAAAGAAGTGAAAGTGATGCGTGGTACATTGACACTATTCGAACTGTTTCTTGAACAATCATTTACATTCACATCTACTTAAAAGGCAGAATGCCCAGGACAAAGAATTTATTCTTTCTGCTGGATTATTCCCTGAATGCTTTCAGGGCTGGGCAGGGCTTAGTCAGTACCCTAGAAGTCATTTCAGGGGAACTGAAATGTGGGTGTCAAGACCCAGGCACTTGTGCCATCACCTGCTGCCTCTCACGGTGTGTTAGCAAGATGCTGGATGGGAATTGAGTAAACAGCACTTGACTCCTCAGTATGGGATACCAGTGTCCCAGGAGGTGGCTTTTCCTTCTGTGCTACAATACCCACCCCTTAAAGTTTTGTTGTTTTTTTTTTTTTTGAGAAAAACTTAATCCCGAAGAAAAGTTGCAAAAGTGATACAAAAGTTCCAAAATCAAGTGCTCAGTGATTTATGCAGGGCTAAATGAAGCAGGGTCTGGAAATACACAATAAAAAATTTACATAGTTTTAAGCAAGTTTTGTGTGTTAGGAACCATTTTCCATGAGATGTGGGAAAGTCTGCCCAAATGCGGTTGTCTTTGTTGAGCCATTAACAAGTAGTTAAGAAGTCAGTGTGTAGGGCCAGATAACCTATTCCAGTTGACACACCACTTACTCTTAGCTGATGTCTCTCTGTTGGAGTCATCAGTTAAAGCTGGAAATATAAATCATTGATTTTCTGTGATTATTTTAGTTACCACATGTAACGTTTAGATGTTACTTTTTGGTGCATATAAATACTCAGTATTAACTGCTATTAAGTTTGAAAGTATTTTATGATATTGATTTTTTACATTATTGCAACAAATTTTAACGATTCTAGCAAGCACACTTAATAATTAGTTTATAGATTCCAGGTTCTGTTTGTCCTGCTGCTTATTACATACCTTAATTTATTTTGGTTAACTTGTTAACTGATACCTTTGTTATCAGGGATTTGAGAGTAGGTGATGGATGGAGAAAGGAGGTCAAGGTGAAAGCAGCAATGTTAGTTGACAATTTTACTTCCTGTCCCTGAGAATGAAAGTGCTTATTTCGAAGAATTGCATTTTTTGAGCCCAGCATTTGACACGGTTGATAAGGGAGCCCTGGGAACACCTCCATCCTGTGTCCATACCTGGGTTCTGGTCCCAGTGCTGCTTCCGATTCCAGCTTCCCATGAGGGGGCCCTGGGGAGACAGAAGTTTAGGGCTTAAGGCTCACACATGTGTGAGACCTGAATTCAGTTCCCGGCTCCTGGGCATTTAAGGAGTTCTGTTCCTAGTCTCTTCTCCTCTCAAATAAGTAAACAATAAGTGAAATAACTAACACCAACTTGGACTTAAAACAGGAAAACTTAACTGTATACTGAAACTGAGATTGCTCTTATCTAGCTTTTCTTTCTTTCTTTCATTTGTTCGTTCATTCGTTCAAGATTTATTTTATTTTGCAAAGTCAGGTATACAGAGAAGAGGAGAGACAGAGAGGATTCGTTACCCCAAGTCCTCTCAGTGGCTGGGGCTGAACCAATCCGGAGCCTCTTCTGGGTCTCCCATGTGGGAGCAGGGCCCAAGATTTTGGGCCATCCTCAGCTGCTTTCCCAGGCCACAAGCAGGGACCTGAATGGGAAATGAGGCTTCCAGGACACGAACCGGTACCCATATGGGATCCCCGCACATTTGAGGCGAGGACTTTAGTTGCTAGGCTACGGTGCCAGGCCCTATCTAAACTGTCTAATCAACACTATAGTTGAGTCTTACTGAGATAAACATTTCAAGTTTTTTTGTTTCTTCCCTATGTTTTATTGCTCTTAAGTATAAGTTTAGTCTCTCTTTGGAGTAATTTGATGCTAATCAGATTAAAGCCTTTCAGAGACTAGAAGCAGGTTTGCAAATGTATATTTTGTATTATATTAAAACTAGAAAAATTTTTTATATAAAATGTAATCCTAAAGCAGTTTTCAAGGAAGAGCTAGAATTCAAGATAAATGTATTCTGTATTTGCATCTGTAGTAAAATGGTCCATAATGCTTTTAATTTTTTCAAGATTGATTTCTTTGAAAGGCAAAGAGAGAGAAGACATGTAAAAGTGGATGGGGGAAAAAAAAAGAGTGGATGGGGAATAGGAGAGGAAGATACCAGGATCTTCCATCTGATCAAAGGGTCACTCCAACAGAGGCCACAAGGACTACATGTCATAGCTAGGAAGAGCCTGGAAGTTTTTTATCTTTTTTAAGATTTTATTTTTCATTGAAAGGCAAAGGCAAAGGCAGATTTACAGAAAAAAAAAGAGAGAAAGAGCTTCCTTCTGCTTGTTCACTCACCAAGTGGCCACAATGGCCAGAGCTGAACCAATCTGAAGCCAGGAGCTTCTTCTGGGTCTTCCAGGTGGGGTACAGGGTCCCAAGGCTTTGGGCCATCCTCTACTGCTTTCCCAGGCCACAAGCAGGGAGCTGGATGGAAAATGGAGCAGCCAGGATACTAACTGGCGTCTACATGGGATCCCAGCATGTGCAAGGCGAGGATTTCGGCACTAGGCTACCACACAGGACCCAAACCTGAAACTATTATGATCTCCCACATGGGTCACAGGAACCCAGCACTTGTGTTGTTTTCTGTAACTTTCTTGCTTTCCCAGGTGCATCCGTGGATTTTGAAAGTGGAATAGCCAGGACTTAAACTGTCACCCATTTGGGTGGCTAGCTGGTGATGCACCTAGTGGCTTAACTGACAGTTCCGTCACAGCTACAAGTTTATCAATTCTTGAACTTTGCTTCTTTTAGTCATAACCTATAATCATTGTCTAAATTCTGTTTTCCAAGTCTACTTTTCTTAGAAGATAAAAAAATTTTGAAATGACTGTCTCTTTAAGACTAACAGCTTAACTACATGGTGCAGGTCCTTCACACAGGAAATACTGACTTTAATATGAAATAATTTTCACCAGTGTAGCTAAATGTAAGAAAGTATGGACTTTGTACAGTATTCACTTGAGTCGCTGCTCATATTTTTCTATTTTAGGAAAACTTAATGTGTGTTTATTTTTGTTGAAAGATGCAGACAACCTTTTTGAACATGAACTGGGGGCTCTCAACATGGCTGCATTGTTACGAAAAGAAGAAAGAGCAAACCTTCTTAGTAATCTTGGACCTTGCTGTAAAGCACTCTGCTTCAGACGGGACTCGGCCATCCGAAAGCAGCTAGTTAAAAATGAGAAGGTACAGTTATTTTCTTTAAAGTAAAAATTACAGTTTTATTAGTTTTTGAGTTTGGTTTCCCAGTTTAGTTCATGTGTAAAAGGAAGAACCCTATTAAAATATGTAATACTTTTCATCTTATTCAGTACTGTTGTTACGTAACAGCTACACATTAGAAAAACTCATGCACTTAAACTTTAAAATGTATTTGCAAAATTGTTTAATGAAGCTTCTTTAGATAAGAAAACATTGTAAATTTATTGAAAGTGGAGGACCTAACACTTGGGCCATGCTTGCTGCTTTCCCCAGGCATATTAGCAGGAAATTAAAGCAAAAGTAGAGTAGTCCAGACATGAATTGGGGAATGAATCAACAGTTCAAAGATTGCTTTCACTGTCCCTCACTCTGTGTCACTCACTCTGTCTTTTCAAATAAGTAGAATAAATCTTGGAAGGGAGGCAGGAAATTGGTCCTATAAAGTTACCAGGGACAGTTATATAAAAACCATAAGGATGAATTTAACTGTAAGAACTAAAATGGAAAGTTGTAAAGTGTAGGAGACTTAGAAAAAAAATCAAGTCTTAGATATATAATTACCAATTCTTCATGCTCAAAATTAATTTCGGCAAATTTCTATAGTTGTCTTCTTTTTCTGGTCTCACTTTGTATATACTTATTTTCCTGTTCTATTGCCTACATATATCATAGAACCTTTCTTACCTGGACGTTTCTTTGAGAGAACTAAACTCCCAGTACCATGAGCTTATTTATCATGAACCACCTTCTAGGTTATGCATCTAGAATGATTCCAGATACCACCATCTGGAATATTAAAGTGAATAATGATCATTCAATTCATTCTCTGTTCCATGTAAGGACTCCAAGTTGAGGAAGTCTGTATGATTTCTAACCTCATCAGAATCTTAATCCCTTTTCATGTAAGTTATAGATTATAACATACTGGGATTTCTCCAGTGTGCCATGGTGCTCCTTCAGAATCGTGGAAAACAAAAACACCTTGATAATTTCAGAAAGCCATTGTGCAGACCATATAATCCTTCAGTGCAAAGCATGGACCATGAACAGTGCATGTGATAGATTCGATAAGCTTTAATGTTTCATTGTAGTGCACATATGGGATCTGCAGTCTTCATTCATCTGAAGAAAGCATCACAAGCTTTTATCTATGTAAAAACATCAGCACAAAAGCTGAGACACAAATAAATGTCATTTCAGTTGCTAGACACCTCATAAAATATCCTAGGAAGAATTAATGAAAACCTGTAAGTTACAAATGATTACAGAAGAAAAGTCCAAAAAAGTATAGAAATTGGTGAGGGATACTAAGAGAACACTTAGCAGCTTTCAATGAGTTTAAATAAAAACAGTGTGGTACCAGTAGGAAACAAAAGGATGAAAATGATAAAGAGCAGAAATATGAATTTGAAAATAGGAAAACATTGGAAACTTAATGAAGCCAGTTGCAGTTTCTTTGAAGAGATGAGTTAAATATATAATCCCCCTAGGCCGACTGAACATAAAAGCAAAATGTAAATTATCAACGTCTTAAATGAAGTGGGGATATCACCAACATCCCACAAGTATTAAAAAGATAATAAGGTTATATGAACAACTTAATGAGCATGAATTTGAAAATTTAGAAGAAATGAGTCAATTCTTCTAAAGCTACAAACTACTAAAACTTAAGAAATAATAAAATAGTTCTCTTTCCATTTCTAAAATAGAGTTTTTAGTTAACATCCTAAAAGTAAAATTATAGCCCAGATATTTTCACTAGCAAGATCTATCGAGCACTTAAGCGGGGGACGGGGGGTGGGGGTGGGGGAGGGGACTGGTTCTCTGCTATTTCTTCCAGAAAATTAAAGAGGCAAAACACTTCCCGCCTTATTTTATGATGCCAGGATTTAAACACCCCAAAAGAAAACTTTAATCCAACATATTTCTTGAAACTGGGCATAAAAATTCTCAAAAATATCAGTAAATCAAATTCAGCGATATATATTTGGCCTAAGACTGAAGAAATGGCTCAATATGTTAAAATTATAGCTGATCATGTTAATAGATGGAAGAAAGAAAAATAAAATTGGAAAAGGAAACAGACAGCGTTCCTTCATAGTAAAAATCCTTGGCAGGCTGAAATCAGAAGGGATCTTTACAAAGGGTATCTGTGTAAGACCTTCAGCTAGCACATTAGCTAATAGTAAAAATCTGAATGCTTTGACCCTGAAGTCAATATCAAGGAAAGAATGTGCAATCTCACTACCCCAAGTCAGCATTGTACTGTAAGTGCTAGCCAGTTTGATCAGGCAAATTTTTTAAATGAGCAAAAGGCTTAAGTGTCTTTTTAAGTCTTTTTACCAAAGGGGACATATGGACACAGCTAACAAAAGCACATGAAACAAAATATTTAACATAATACAGATTAAAACTGCAATAAGATCTTTCATCACCTACTTCAGTAGGTAAAACTTGAGTTACAGCCAAAAACCTTAAGTGAGAGAACTCTTACATGTATTGCTTGTAAGATTGTGAAATAATAAAATCACTGTCAAAACTGATGGGTTATTTCTTACGAAGTTAAAAGTACACTTATTACATCAAATACACAAATAAATCATTTTTTAAAAAGTGTACCGTGTTTGCCTTACAAAAGAAAAAAGTCATGAAGCTTCTATTCACTGCAGGTTAAAGAGTTGTCAAGGGAAAAAAATAAGATTGAATTGCTCCTCATCCCATAGAAGAGAACTTATTTCATCACATTGAAAGACAAATGCCATTCAAAAATAGAAAATACATTATATTTGTTTTGTGAGTTGAAATGATTAATTAAAAATGGTTGATTACCTATCACACAATGTCAAGAGGCTAACTACCCCAAGCAACAGGTTCCCTCAGATTTCCTGCTTAGTAGGTACCCTATAAAGTGTCCTTGTTTCCCAAGGTTCACTGATCTAAAAACAGCTTCTAGTTAAATCTAAGAAAGTTAATTTAATATCTATGCAAAACTACGTACTCTTAAAACTTGTATGTTTTTGGTAGAGATTAACCTTGTGATATTTCCAACTGTCAGCTAAAAATATACCCTATTTTCGTATGTTTTTTTCCAAATAGGGTACTGTAAAACAAGCTTACACAAATACTCCAATGGTGGACAACGAATTATTGCGATTGAGTCTTCGATTATTTAAGCGGAAAACAGCTTGCCATGTGCCAGGACCTGAAAAGACTGAAGATAATAAACTGTCACAGTCCAGTGTCCAACAGGAACTGTGTGTATCTTAAGACTGAAGTTCATATGGTATTTTTGGTACTGCCTTCCTTCAGCAGTGCATATTACATTTCAGAGTTCTTTGGTTTGACAGACATGGTTGTGACAAAAGCAGAAAAGATTGACCAGCCATACTACAAGAGGGAGGAAGAAATCTGATCTCTAGAGATGCTAGTTTGGGCTAACTTAGGACTTTACATCAGTTTTTACACAGTACTTGATACTTATGATAAGTAATGTGAAAGCATCTAGATTCAGTGATCTATTCTGTACGTCATGTTAAAACTGAAGATTTTGGAAAAAGGTTGTCACTGCTCTTCCAGCCTATGAATGTTTTTTTATGAAATGGAGCCGCTGATACGTTCTGGATCATATATACAAAAACTGCAATTTTATTCAGAAACAATGTATTCATCACAGTAATTGCACATATTGTGCAACACCATGTTGTACAAAACATTTGAAAGGGATATTGGGCCAGCATGATGTGTTTGTAGGCTAATCTCCAGTGGGAGGGAGCCAATATATTTTTTTCTCTTCTGAAAGTTCTAAAAATACTATTTCATTAGTCTTTGCCTTTTAAGATATGTGTGCATTGTTAAAGTGTGTATTGAATGCATTTGGATCCCAAATGTTTGTTATCAGAGATTGTACTATTTTATTTTTAATAAATGCACCTTCCTTTTCCTTGTTCTAGATTTGCCCTTTATTCATCTTATTGCTGATGTTCTAAAATATTTGTCATCAACATTACATTTTTCATACTTGAGGTCTTTTATAGCTCTCATCCTTACTACTGGACAGCTGTAAAGAGTATAAAATGCACTGAAGATGTACTCCAGGTGTAACTTGGTTACACTTGAAACAAACCAAGAGATAACAAGCCTATGCATCCTGAGGTTGAAGGCCATTCCATCATATTTTCCGCATTTATATTCTTTATTTATATTAAGCTGCCTCCAGCCTGTTATGTGAAACATTTATTTTTTGAAACTTATACCTGCTTTTCTGTATATATACATGTTTAACTTATGAAGTAATTACAGAAGGACTTGAAATGGACAGCAATCTGCAGAATTTTTTGACAGACAGTAGTGAGAATAACAATAATAAGGGACATCAGCCAAAATTATAATTTGATCATGGCCTATCACAGGCTTTTCTTAAGGCTGCAAATCTGTGTCACCCGTCTTGGTAGTTTTGTATTCTCCATATAAAGACAATACAAGATATTTCAGAAAGTTCGTAGAAAAATGGAATTTAAAGATAACACACATTTTCTACACGTATTTTAAAGACACTTTTATACTAATATAAAAATTTCTGTTGATTTTAAGAAATACTTCATGTTCAGTGCATTTGTATGCAAAGGTTACTATCAAAGGGAGTGGCCTTAGTCTCACATGGCTTTGAAAACGTTTATTAGAAAATTACTGATAGGGTATGGAAGCTCGCAATTTTCCCATGCCCTTTTTCTTTACTAAATGTTTTGAATTAAAAAAAGAAAAAGAAACAGAAAATTCCTTCTGAACCCTAGAATAAATTCACTTTAGGGAAATCTCTTCCTAATCAAAGTGGATAATAATAATCTCTGTAGCATAAAGAATTAATATTCTAGAATTTCTAGCCCTAGTTCCCAGAATATTTGAATACAACAAAAATAATTGTCTTCATTTTGTCCTGGTTTTAGGAGTAGTTCGCTTATAGAAGAAAAATTTTGTAGTTACACCTGCTATTTAGTTGAATACATTACCCTTTGTTGAAATATATGTTTTTTTTTCTAATTTATTTGAAAGAATAAATTACAGAGAAGCGAAGAGAGAAGATCTTCGCTCCTGTGTCTGAAACCAGGAGCCTGGAGCTTCATCCGCATCTCCCACATGGGTGCGGGGCCCCCACGCACTTGGGCTGTCTTCTGCTGCTTTTCCACATGTTAACAGGGCAGTGGATCAAAAGTGGAGCAGTCAAGACATGAGCCAGCCATCCCTATGAGATGCCAGCGTTGCATGCTGCAGCTTTGCCCTCTAGGCCATAATGCTGACCCCAAATCTGTTCTCTTTCAAGTTCTGAATGTATTTGTATTGTAAATGGAAATTGTAAAGCTGTACCTCTGTTCACTTTTTCATAGTACTCAGTTTTATTCCAGTGAAAACAGACTGCTAAGTCTCAGTGGGTTTTTTTTTTTCCTGTTTGTATTCCTTCTCAGTATTCCTAACTATATACTTGTGAAGTTCTAAAGACTTTCCATTGGATATTCTGTAAAAGCTCTTGGACTGTAATTATAGTCTCAATTAAAACAGCTTTCCTGAAAATATCTTCCTGTCTGTTAATTGATTCATTAGTACAGCCAAAGGTCTTGTGTGTGAGAACTGTCAGACCCTGTTCACAATTGCATAACTGAATTTCAGCTGCTGTTTGGAAACATCTGATAAAGAGCCAAAAGCATGTGTGAAATTCAAAGTAAGAGTTAACAAGTAATTTGATAAGTCGGTGTTTGATTGCTTTTTGGCAGCTATTCTTATTTAGTAAAGGATAGCATTAACTGACAATAGCTACCATTTTATTTCATGAATTTTTGCAAAATAGACATAATTACTTACTTATGCCAAAAAAAATTTTAGCCTGTCACTTCTTTTTATTCTAACATATAATTTCAGGTTGTCTTCCCCATCCTACTCCATGTTAGTAAGTCATAATATCTTAATGTTATGACTTAGCAACTTGAAAATGTTTGGCATCAGCAGAATATTCCACTTTGTTCCTTACTGTCCAGTTGGGTAAAGATGAAAATGTATAATTCTACTGCTAGTGCCTTGAAACCTCAGAAAGAAGAGCCACTACCTAAACTTCAGCTTGCTGTTCAAACGGATATGGGTACCCCTCATTTCCAGGATGTGTTCTCCTTTATTGAGTTCCCAAGTTAAAATTACATACCATCTTTCTAAATATTATGTTTCTATTTTAACTTAGAATTGCCTTATTATTTCCCTTTAAATTTCTTTACTAAACTTCCTGTATTCATGAGTTTTCTTGGTCTTTCTGTTGGAATGTCTTAAGACAGTTACATATTCTTGGGGATATTAATATTCATCTTTCAAAAGTGAAGTAAAGTTTTGTTAAGCAACTATATGTCAATCTGTAGACATTTCCCAAGTACATTGTGCTGGTCTTTCATATTTTCTGTCATGTTGTATTGGCATTCATTTTCGTGGGCTTAAGTTTTGAATTATTTCAACACCTTTTTCAGAATTAGACATGAATAAACTGCAAGGAAAAAACAAAGGACAGGATTGAAAAATAATAGGACAGGTGCTGTTTTAAATTGTAAGAGGAGGTTTGATCTTTGAGGGTGAAACTTAAAAATTGAAAAGCTGCTTACAGCAAAGAATGAAAAAGCATTTCAAGCAGAGGAATTAAAGTAAGAAAAGGCCTGAGCTAAAAAGAGATTTGGTTATTTTAAGACTGGAATACTAGAGTGACTGAGCACGGGAAAACAGGTATTGCATGATTACTAGAAAGATCTAGAACAGTGCTAGTCAACACAATGTCCGAGCTACAGTCATGCAGATTTTCTGTAAGTGTACTTCCCAATGTAATACCCAATAACCTGATATGACTATTTAACACCTGAATTGTAGCCAATGTGAGGGACTGAGTTTTACTTTTTGTTTAATTAGATTCAGATACTCTTGATGGCTAGTAGACTCATTTGGCATAGTGTAGACCCAGATCACAGCCAAAAAAAAAAAAAAACTTGGAATGTAAAAATGTTTCCCAACATGTTGCATAAAATGGCCCGTTTGTGTTTTATCTCTTTTAATGTTACTTTATTTATAACTAGTATTGCATTTTTAATTTAGAAAAGGGTGATATCTCCTTTTACAATGAATGTTAATGACAAGTGGACAAGGTAGTACAGAAATAAGACAAAATTTCTAGTGCTGAAATAATGTTTGGAATGTACTGGTCATATATACAGCTGGAATTTTATTTGAAGGCAGAAATAATAGGAAGAATAAGGAAATTGTTGTTGCATCCAAAAAGGGAAACAGGAGAAAAAAACTAGTGCATTCTCCCTGGCTTGGGAGCTGTGGTCACATTTGCAGAGTGCTTTGTTCCTCTCTTGGTTGCTATTTCAGATCCCCATGTTGCTCAGGGTTCTTAGCACTTCTAAGTTCCCAGTGCTCTCAGTCACTCTCCTAGAAGTAGCCTCCCCGCTCTGCAGTGGTTCTTCTCTGTGAAGGAGACAAGTGCTCGAATCCATTTTTCAATTGTCTTGGATTTTCTTGAAGCAGCTATTTTTAATGAATATTTTTGTGCCAGTCTTACAACAAATCCTTTATCTTAGTTGCTTGATGTGAGTTATTTGGGGTACCATGATTTGCAGAACATCCTGGCCATGGTGGCCTTCCAGACTTCACGACTGTTTTTTCTTCTGCTTATGCAGCACAGGTGTGCAGTCTCAGTACATGGTAGTTCCTTCCTGTGATTGCTTGCAAAGCTCTGTTTTCTCTTTTTTCCTGAACCAGGCTATGTCCAGAAGAATCTCCAACCACTCTTGCTCTTTGCTCTGGATTGATCTTACAAACAAAAGACTGCTTTTGCTTTTCAGGTGGGTATTCAGGTTTCCTTTGCAGAGATGTATCACCAAGTTCCAAGTGGCTCTTGCTGCACCACCTTCTTTCTGCTAAATCTCAGCTTTTTGGGCAGCCCTTCTATTTTGGTATCTGAAAATTGTATCATCTCCTAATTTCAGTGGATATGGAATTTATGGAGGGTTTTTATAGTCTTTTTGTTGCTTGTATACAACTTACAGAAAAATAGAGAACCAGTTTAGCTGCATGTTCCTATTAAAGACATCTGTACTAAAATTTAACTCAATGGTCACATTAATTTTCAGCTTGTGTAAATTGTCAGGATGCATTCTGCTTCAGGTGAACACCCATAATGAATTAATACTTGGAATTCTGAATTCAATATAGACCCAAAGATAAAGGTTAATTAATTTATTTGATGTGATTCTAGTATGTAGAAATCATATTATCTTTCCTCGTATTTTCTTTGCTATAACTACCACATGACCATCCCTAAAACAAAGGAAACTAGGAAATTAAAGCATTATGGCTTTCAACTATTGCCTTATTAGAAGCAGCCAGGTTTGCTAACCAAAACTGTCTTTCACAATTCAGTAGTGGAAAGGTGAAACAACGGTACCAGTTTGGGCCTTTTGAAGCCAACTTCGGAAAACTGAACAATGCTCCAGAATCCAGAACAATGAGCTCTCATCCTAATTGTGCCATGTACATTGGTGGTCTAACCTCGTCATCCTTATTTATCAAGTGAGTAAGTGGCTAAGGATCATAGACTTTAAACAGAAGCTGACACAGAATAACTCAGAGATTGGCCAAAAACATGTTTACCCTTCAAGAGGTGAGAGCATTCTTTGAGGTACAGAATGGGAAACTTGTTCAGCTAGGAGAAAGGACAGGATTTTGACTAAGAATATGTTCTAATGCTTCTCAAACTTCAGTATCACAAACTTTAACACAGTGTGGAACTTTCAGGTCAAAATTTTCTGCTGATGCTGATGTAACACACAAACAGAGACACTTGAGGAGCCTTCTCAACAAAGATGGACCAAATCTGGCTGATCCAGTTATGAAAAGTAGAGTGTCGCAGAGGAGAAAATGTGTGACTTCAGGGCATATGCCACAAAAGATGCTGTTGTTTTCATTGCTCTCCTGGAATATTTGCTCTGGGAAAAACCAGCTACCATGGCATGAGTACTTTGCTGAGAAATCCATGCCTCTGGCAATGGTCCTATGAATGAACCATTTTGGAAGAGATCCCAGTCAAGCCTTCTCATTTTTTAGCTTAGATTTAAAAAAAATAAAAATATAAATAAAGACTAGAGTTGTTTCTTCCTCCAAAAAATTGAAGTATATGATGTTGAAATCATACTTTTTGGATTTGTATGTTTAAATATAAGCTTCAAAATAAACTGAATTAAAAGAATAGCTTGAATTTGAGCATTACTAGAATATAACTTGAGCATCTTTCAAGTTATCCCAAATAAACTCCAATTGGCAGCAGAATTTTTATGTAGATACAGTCATATCCAAGAAAACTTTGGGGCCAAATAAGTTTATTCAAATTAAATTAGATGAAATTATTGTGTAGATTTTTAAAAAACTATATAGATGTAAGATGCCTGCACCCATAATTTCATTTCACTAGTGCATTTAGGGTGCTGCTGAACTGTGTCCCTCCAGAACTCATTTGTTGAAGTCCTAATCCTCAGTACCTCAGAAGGTAGCTATATTTGCATTTGGATATAGTATCTTCAAAGAGGTACATTTAGTTCAAATGAGCTTGATTGTATGGAACCCAAATCCATATGACTCATATACTAATTAGAAAACTAGTAAGAGACAGCAGGTACTTGGCATAGCAGTTAAGACAGTGCTTAGGACAGCCACTCCCATTATCGCAGTGCTTGGGTTCATATCCCAGTTCCACTTCCCATTTCAGTTTCCTATTAGTGTACAGGCAGGCAGCAGCTGATGGCTGCACTGCTTGAGCCCCTGCCACCCATGTGGGAGAAATGGATGGAGTTCCCAACTCCTGCTTTGCCTGACCCACCCCCAGCTATTACAAGCATGTAGGGAGCAAAGCAATAGGAAGAACTCTCTTTCTTTCAGTCTCTTTCTCTCGCTCTCTCTTTCCCTCTCTCATTACTTCTAATATATCTTTTTAAAATATTTGTTTTAAAAAGGACAGGAGGAACACCAGAGAAAAGAGCAGCCTGTGAAGAAACAGAAGAAGGTGTCACTGTTAGCTTAGGAGAAAACGGTACCTACCAACAAGTTGGTCCTAGATTTCCAGCTTCTAAAACTGTGAGAAAGCAAATTTTGGTCATTGAAACCACCAAGGTGCAGCTATCTTTCATTTGCTTTGCCAACATCCCATATCAGAGTGCTGGTTGGAGTTCTGCCTGCTCCACTTCTGGTCCAACTCCCTGTTATGTCTAGGAAAGGAGCAGAGGATGGTTCAAGTGCTTGGGCCCCTGCCAATCATGTGGGACTCAGATGGGAGCTCCAGACTTGTGGCTTTGTCCGTTACAACTATTTGGGGAATGAACTTGCCAATGGAAGATTTTTCTCTTTTCCTCTCTCTTTATTTGAAACTCTGCCTTTAAAATAAACAAAGAACGTGTAAAGCCACACAAGCTGTGGCATCTTTAAAGATTTATTTTTTTATTATTTTGTTTTATTGGAAAGGCGGATATACAGAGAGGAGAGACAGAGAGGAA